ATTAGGGATTAGAATTAGGGATTAGGATTAGGGATTAGAATTAGGGACTAGAATTAGGTATTAGAATTAGGGATTAGAATTAAGGATTAGAATTAGAGAATTAGGGATTAGAACTTAGGGATTAGGATTAGGGATTAGGATTAGGGATTAGGGATTAGGATTAGGGATTAGGATTAGGGATTAGGATTGGGGATTAGGATTGGGGATTAGGGGGGATTAGGATTGGGGATTAGGATTAGGGATTAGGATTAGGGATTAGGATTAGGGATTAGGATTAGGGATTAGGATTAGGGATTAGGATTAGGGATTAGGGATTAGGATTAGGGATTAGGATTAGGGATTAGGATTAGGGATTAGGATTAGGGATTAGGGATTAGGATTAGGGATTAGGATTAGGGATTAGGGATTAGGATTAGGGATTAGGGGATTAGGATTGGGGATTAGGATTAGGGATTAGGATTAGGGATTAGGATTAGGGATTAGGATTAGGGATTAGAATTAGGGATTAGGATTAGGGATTAGGATTAGGGATTAGGATTAGGGATTAGGATTAGGGATTAGGATTAGGGATTAGGATTAGGGATTAGGATTAGGGATTAGGATTAGGGATTAGGATTAGGGATTAGGATTAGGGATTAGGATTAGGGATTTAGGGATTTAGGGATTAGGGATTAGGATTAGGATTAGGGATTAGGATTAGGGATTAGAATTAGGGATTAGGATTAGGGATGAGGATTAGGGATTAGAATTAGGGATTAGAACTAGGGATTAGGATTAGGGATTAGATTAGGATTAGATTAGATTAGATTAGATTAGATTAGATTAGGATTAGAATAGATTAGGATTAGATTAGGATTAGATTAGATTAGGATTAGATCAGATTAGGATTAGATTACATTAGGATTAGATTAGATTAGGATTAGATTAGATTAGATTAGATTAGATTAGATTAGATTAGATTAGTTAAACAAAAAATAAAACAAATACAAAACACAAAAAAAAAACATTTTTCAAATCTATTTTGCACATAACTCTGATTTCCCAGACTTCCAAACCACCAACCCAAACCGCCATATAAGTATAACCTGATTCTATGTGTCCCATCAGGATTATATATTATATATACATGCGTGTGAATGACACTTCACATATTATCTACACCTATCCAAAGCAGCATACTGTGCTAATTGTACATTACCATCATATCGTCTGACATCATCCTGCCTGATTGAGGCAAACCTTGCTGGTCAAGGTGGTCGGCACCTGAAGGGTGCCCAAGACCCGGTAGTGATCCGAAAGATGGCAACCTGGTACCTGAAAATTTGGATTTGACCCCTTGAAATGGTTGTCAAACTAATTATAGGGGAAATGGTGAAAATTCATCAAAATAATTCTATGTATATATCTCTCTCTCTCTCTCCTATTTTCTTGCATTTTTTCTTGCAAATCCATATCAATTAGGCCCTCCCAAAAGCAGAACAATCAGAACACATATTTCTATATCTTGGGTGTCTGTCTCCATACACCGAACTTGGCCTCGAAGTCAGCATAGCGGATGTATGGTGGCATCGTGACCCCAGTCTCTGTGGTCCATATGGAATCCAACCAGCAAAAATAATGGGAATGTAATTAATGGTTATTGTAACATCAAAACCAATACTAGTGCATTTAGTGCAACTAGGAAGCGAGAGAAACGGCTGAACTGCTTTGTCGAGTTTGATCTTATCCGTCTCTATTCGTGACCTGCTTCTCTGACCCTGTGACGTCAGATATTGAGATGATTCGTAACGCTTTGAATACGCTACGACTGACCCTTGCCAACGCCAAGAAGAGCCAAAGATCTGCAGAACAGACACGACAACCCAAACTCATCAACTTTCAGGGTGGAACCAAACACCTGTGCACTGAAGCCTCTTTCTAATGGACTGCCGCAAACATTGATGCTTTGAAAGATGAGAGTCTCCTCCTCAGCTACTCACAGCTTCGCAAATTTGAACAAGGTTTAGTTCAAGAATCCACAGTCTAGAGATGTCTAGAGATGTCTAGAGCTTTAAGGGTCTGAATTTGTCCACTCCTTGCCTCGATCGCCTCTACACTCTGATGCAACTGAAACACATGCAAACATTATCAAACATCCACAAGGGTATCTAATAGTCATTAAAAATGTCCCGGATGTGCAGGGAACAGCGCGAACAGTGGAGTGCAAGACATCCGTGACGATTTCTTTCACCGAATGCAGCAGGGCTGTCCCTGTACCTGGGCCTAGCGCCAAGCTGTGGCTACCAGCAGTGGAGTCAAATCTGTCCCAAAAGGATCAAAAGGTTGGGCCTTTTTGGAACTTTGGGATCTCTAACTTCACAGTCAGAAAGTCTTGACATGTCTTTGAATTCTTTCTGCCCCGTGCTTGTTTCCCTAGTGCTGTCCGGGCACAGGTGGAAGGACAAATGTCTTGCTTGCATGTGATGCTCCCTTACGATCCCTTACGTACATGTTTAATCCATGCCGTGTCAAGTTTTAGATTCTCCACATGTTCTTCAATGTTCTTTATACTTTCTTTATGCCTGACTATCCATTTTGATTGATTCATTGCAATCCCCCTTGCCTATTGATTCATTGCAATCCCCCTTGCCTATCTATGCGCAATGCTGGGACGGCGACTTTTTGGCTCCGCTACTTTGTTTGGGGAAATCCTCCTAAGGAGGTTTACATCAAGCGATAGCGGCTGTTCCCATCAACCCTGCGCATCCGACAGAGGAACAGCCGCAACTCCAAATGCAGCCTCTATGTACATGTACCCTCCAGCTAACTACGATAGCTAAAATTGCCCATTAGATGATTTTCCGATTCAATAATCAATTAGCCACTAAACCATCTTAAAACCAGAAATGATGACTTTCCATAGCTATCTTAAATCACCAGAGGGTATTTTGGACTGCCCATTTGGATCTCCACATGTTCTGCCGCTGGATCAAAGAAAGTTGGCGCCGGAGCCGATAGGTGAGGCCTGGCGCCCGCTGTCTTCGTCAATGGGGCTGGTATACCTACAAATTATGGGAAAACCATGGGAACATCATTGGGAAAACTATGGGAAAAGCTTGGGAAAACCATGGGTGAAAACTTACTAAACCAAAGCCACAACGGTTCATTTTCCCCATTTGCTGGCCGGATTGTAACTGGGGTTGCCCGATTTTCCCAGCAAGCTGTGTCGCACCTGAGAAGTGACCGGTGGCTGCTCGCCGAGTCGCATCTTGGCCAGAATGTTGGCCTGGATCCACAGGGATCATCATGGATCCACGAGGTTTCAATCATGGGAAAATCAGATCATTAAATGAATGGAATTAACAGAATTACATGAAATATCCATGAAATTATATAGAATTAAAAGGAATTATCATAAAAATAATAGATATTCGAATAATATAGAATAATAACAATAATTGGGGAATTATAGTCATTATATGTCATTATTATGGTTTCAATTAATAATTGGGGAATTAATTGGGGAAATATCATGAAATATCCATGAGTTTTCCATTGCCATGTTTTAAGATTACCGGAAGGTACTTCGTATATCTTCGTATGACTGTTCCACTTGTTGCCACTGGAATCGCATATGATTGCATCATTGTCGGGGAGGCACGTAAAGCTCCAAAGTGGCTTTTGCTCCTCTCTCCATTGCTGAAGCTAGTTTCATACATAAAATGCATCAACATGTGATATGTCATAAAATGCATCAACATGTGATGATATCGTGAAAGTTCATTATTATCTCCATCTATATATATATATGTGTGTGTGTGTCTGTTCCAGACGCGGACTGAGGACAATCTGAGGATCATGCAATGTGCCGGGGGTAGTCATGGTGCCCCTGGATGCCAAGACCATCGAGGTTGACATTCCTAGGTCACAGACTGAGCATAGCACGTTAATTAATTACATCCAACCAACATATATATTCCAACATAGTCCAACAAAGTCCAACATCATTCACATTTTGCCACTGTCAAGGGCAACAAGGAACATATTGTCATACGAACTGCCAGTTACAACTAGGGCTCCATTCTCGAAGTGCAGGATCTCCAAATATCAACCGCAATTACGAAAGGGGCAATCACGAATAGGGCTTGATGCAAAGCGCAGCTGCCAGCAAAGTCGTACCTTTCTTTCAATTTCAAATATGTATCTTGTATATCAGATTCTGGACCGCAACCCTCAGAACATGCTTGTATTGAGAACTCTTGACATCTTCTGACCACAAATCACTTCGACTTATGCCGAGACGTGCCAAGGCTCTCCACTCCTGGAACCTGCAGCAGGGGCCCAGCTTTTACCCGTTTTTCATCGTTTTTCATCATTTCTCTCTCCAGTGGGAACATGTCAGAACAAAACAATCCTCTGAATGTGAATGTACCTGCATAAAATATCATAAAATAACCATTGGCTCTTCAACCGCATGCCTTTGCCATTGGACTCTGAAGGTTAACCAGTACGGCACCACAAATTTGTTGACCGAACACGGCCAAAAATATGGATCCAAGCAGAAAAACTATCACGATTCAAACCCAAACGCATGTGGTTCGCGAACAAATGCTCCACAACCCAAAAACCGGACTTGCTTCCTGTGTACCCGCTACTGGTCAAGCAAGTATGACGGCGCACTGTCCATCTAAAAATCTGCACCGGCCAGGCTGGCATGAAATCAAAACTAAAAAATCGCAACGCGCATGAAAATGGAATATGAACATAAAAATGAACTATGGTACTCAGTGCACTTTCCGGATCAGAAGTTTCCCTACAATGCCCTGCGATGTTTCTGACGCAATGGTTCCCAAACCCCCCACACATGCCTGGACTTGGGAGAGCCCTGCAACTGAGACGCCCCACCTCGTTAAATCAAAGAGATTGCAGCTGCAATGTCAGAGCGAATGCACATGGTAGGATTGTCACGGCTGGTTACTAACGCTGGTTACATGCAGCATTTTCTCAGCAGCCTAGGACTCCTAGGACTTCTCAATCTTCTCAGGATCAAGCTCCAAGTATCGATACAAGAACGCCAACACCTCGCCATATCGCGAGGGATCACCGCGTTTTTTTTTGCACGGCTTGATATTCATCAAATCTGAGGGACCAACCCAGTCATTGCCCAGAAAACCATTGACCACACGCCCTGATGCAACAGACCGCACCTGCCCAGAAAAAGGACAAAGGAACAACAGACCGGACCTGCATGAAGCTGCAGTTCTTTCTATTGGATGTGGAAGCAATATCTGGGTGGTTCACAATGAATGATCCTCCTGAGTCTAAATATGCTATTCAAGATATTCAAGATTAATCCACGACATGAATCTATATTAATTATTATAGATAGCAATTTATATCGAATACTTTGCGCACTCAGCGTTCCGTCAGAACCGGCTTGGAGAACGATTTCGACATTTTCGAAGCTGCCAGTGTTCTGAGGTGATCTCTTTGGACTGCGGCCACTGCACTCAGAAGCTCGCTGCGTTGCACAGCTGCGCTGTCGCATGCAACAACACAGCTGCACAAGACCAAGCTTCGCAGCCCAGCCTGACCACGAAGGGTAAGCAGCTAAGCACATTACATCACATAGTAAGGATAGTAATGTAGCAAAACCCAATGCATTGATCATTAAACCATCCCCAAAACAGAAATGGGTGGGTACCAACTACCAACCGTCAAAAATTGAGGTCTATGATTGGGTTTGCCGTAGTTATCGTAGTCGTAGTTTAATTACCATGAATTACCACATTACTCCGGACAGTATGAACAGTATTGAACAGTATGAACAAAGCTTTGCATTCCTGCCGGAAATGCCCAAACAACAGCGGGGCTTCAACATCTTCAACTCCAACAGTTGCGGCCGCCTCAGCGGTGCAAAGTTCCAGCCCCATCTGCCAACGCCAGGCCTTTCCACACGCGCTGACGCAGGCGCTGCAAGTGATGTCATTGGGCTCCAGCCCATGGCCCATCCGCGACAGCACATCCAAGGATCTTCGCCACTGCCAAGACGTGCAGCAAGCGCTAATCACCGTGTTGAAGCCTGTGCCAAGCCACGGAGCCAAGCTATGCATCCCCGAACTGAAACACGTGCACACCTACACCTCTGAAAAGAAACACCTGCGACAGCATACACGGTATACAGATGTATACAGTATACAGTATGCACGAGAGATGTCAAAGTCTGGTGAGACATGAGACATGCGAACTTGGATTGAAAGTACATGAGAGTGCCATAGACAACTCGGATCACAGGCAGGGGCGACTCGGTATGTCCATGGCAGGGGCGAACTCAGGCGAACTCAGTTCCAAGTGGCTGATGTGATTGGCGCTTGCCCGCAGCAAAGGCACAGCTGACAGAAGATTTAGGGCCAGGTGCCAACGACCAGTGAAGGTGCAGGTGTCCATGAGAATGTTGATGCTGATGATGTCAGGAATGACCCTCCTGATTTCGGGCGGTTGATACATGTTGATACACCATGCTTCGGCGACACCATTCTCACTATGAACAAGAAAGTGAAATATATGGCTATGGATCAATACCTATACATACCATTTTTAGGGGGATGAACATCCATTTACCAGCTATTTTGATGTTCACCAGGGGTACAAGGTTTTGACACACTGCCATATGAATGGAATGGACATGAATTCTGCAAGCATGTCTATGCTGCTTTTGAATTCGCATTTCTGGATTGAACTGGTTCTCGCTCTCCTCTTCTGCATTGTTGCAAAGAGCTGGAATGCCAAGGCCAGGTTGCCTCCAGTCCTTACAACCAGGGCTGGATCTTGATGGTGCATTTCATGCAAATCTGCAAATCAAGTTGCAAGACAAGTGCACATTCAGAGCATTGTCACATAGTGACCAATCCCTTACCCGTAATACAAATATATCAAATATTACCCAGAAACCCTGGTTGACTATCGGATCTATTCATTTTGGGGTCTCAAACGCTGGGGGTATCGATATGTATCAATTTCTGGGATCAAAACTCTCTAACTATGCCATGCTTCTCACATGAGCTCAGGGCACAGTTGAAGTTCACCACATTTGGCACCAGCGACGATGTCACCATTGCTGACAGCAAGTCCACTGCGACCTCGCGGTGCTGTTCCCTAAGCCTTTCCACGTCCGTCTATCTAATATTACCTATTTACAGTACGCATACCCTACGTATATCTAGTCTATATCTATGTACTTTGTATGTACTGTTAATGTATATGCTATGTATGTACTATTGATGTACTATGTATGTACTATGTTTGTGCAATGTATGTCTATGTATGTCTATGTATCTATGTGTCTACGTGTCTATCTATCTATCTATCTACCTACCTATCTATCTATCTATCTACCTGTCTGTCCGTCCGTCCGTCTGTTTGTCCGTCCGTCGGTCTGTCTCTCTCTCTCTCTCTCTCCCTGGAGCTTAGTCAAAAGCAAACTGTGATGTATCTATTTAATCTATCAATCTACAGTAATTCAATCTATACCTCTCCAATTCTATATTTCTATACAGCAGTATGCATATCAAAGTCAGGCAACAGTAAGTATCACGCCACAAGGCTGCAGCATGCCCCTTTGTCAGTCTCCTAGGCGCCTGCCAGTAGCTGCACTTCTCGCAAGTCTTCATGCAATTGGTGAAGCTCACCACGTTTGGACCCCATTCCTCGCGAAAAGATGTCATGAGCCATGGGAAACCTGCCATAAACCTACCAGGACTGTAGTGATTTTGGGGATGGTTTAGCATTGGGTTGACCACAATTATATACTCAAGCCTCTGTTGTTCTTTATATTGGATGGTAAGATTTCCCGGAAAGGATTATAACAACCCCCAATGTAATTGGATATATAGTGTAACCCCATATGATCATCAATCAGCAGGGATCTTGAACACTGCTCACTTGAGGGGTCAAAACCTGGTGGAACAGCGATGTGGTCATCCATCATCCTCCATCCATGGAAAATTGGGAATTCTTCATGACATAATGGGCATAAATATGGATCCACTAAATGGGAATTATAAATGGGCATGAATATATACCATAATATCATTAATATAATGGTATATAATTCATAATAAATCCATGTTAATGAATGGACGATCATATCCCAATGACATGATGCTTGCGTCCCCGCCCATGATGCTTGCCCATTGATTCTTCGGAGCCACTACTCACTTGATACGAGTACCACCGAGTACCTGTCTTTGTTTGCATCGTAAGCTGTGTCGTATTAATCTTTGGTAAGAGTTCTTGGCTCCCTAATGTTCCCTAGCTGAAGCTAATTCATCACATAAGTTTTACAAGAGCGAGAAGCCTCCAAGGTCAGAAGGTGCAAAGCCATCTGCCAATGACCACCCTTCTCGCATGCGGCAATGCAACTGCTGTAGGCAACCACATTCGCCAAGCGTAGCTGCGTCATTTCTGCTAAGAGTTGCAAAGCCATTGTCAGCTGCCCATCCCTGGAACATGCGCTAATGGCAGCATTGTAGGTGATCTGATTTGGGGTTGCTTGTACCTCACCCATGCGCTGTAGCAGTAGCAATGCCATCTGCCAGTTCCCAACTTGTTCACAAGCACTGATCACGCCGCCAAAGCAAATGGCATTCGCTGCTAATTTCTGCTTTGGGATTTCTACTAAGAGCCTCAAAGACATCAGCCATTGCCCGCTCTTCTGGCAACTGCTGATGCAGGATCCATAGCTGATAACTGTATGCAAAATGCTCTGCCCACTCATCCTGTGCAGCAAATGCAGAGCCAAGGGCCACCTGGTTTCTCCACAACTGCTGTGGCTCACGGCATTTGGGGCGTCCATATCACAGAACAAAGTCAGTGCTTTCTGCCAATGACCTGATGCATCGCAAACACGTATGCTGCTACTGCAGCTGACCACATCTGGGAGAATGGCTGATGTCTGCATCGTCGTCAGGATGTCCAACACGGTGAACCACGGTCCAGCCTCAGAAGCCGAAGTTCGAGTTCGAGATCCGTCAATGGTGGCTATGATACTGCTGAAACTGGATGCATTCAGCGGAACTCGGCACTTGCCCATCGTTCCTAGGAGAAGTGTTGCAATGCTCCATGCCCTCATTTTCGCACAGCTCGCGACCGCGCTGTTGCAACTGACCACGTAGGGAACCTGGGAGAAGCTTGCACAGGAGAAGGCGATTTGGCAGGCTTAAAGTTTCACACATATTCACACGGGTATTGAAGCCATCAACAAAAATGAAGGCAAACTGGGGTCTTGAAAGCATGACTCTAGTAGACTCCAGTAGTTGTGCAGTTCAATCATTCAATCCCTTTTTATGATCCGCCTCCCAGTCACACCTCCCCATCCCACCCTATAGACGCTTCTGTCCAAAGATGAGCATACCCATTGTCCTGACTAAGTGAGATTCCCGTTTCGCGCTAAACGAGGCCCTGAATGTTTTGAGGCGCGTGCTATTGAAGGAATCACAAACAGTTCTTGGGAAGTTAGGCATTGATGAAGGAATGAGAGGTACCAGCAAAGCCTGCAGATCGCTGTTTCCCTTTCTAATGAGTCTGCGCATCTGTGCTGTCGTCTTGATAAACTCTGTAGCAACCCCCAAGATGATAGGTGTTTCAGGATGTTATATGATGTGTTCACCATCATAATGGTGTCCAGCTTCTATCTGCGGTTGCCCCAAAAACAACTGATGTCGCGCAAGCCCAAAGTGTGTGCACTTCGTGCTGGCCGTAAAGATTTTAGTACCCTCTGGCAACCAATCATGGCTGCCTGCGAAATCCCTTATAAATGGGCATGTAATGGATTACTCTTGAACTCTGAGCTACCAGAAGATACCAGATGGTAATTCTGGGGAAATCCACATATTCATCGTCTTGCGGAGATGCCCTCGCTTTCGGTCTGGGCTTGCAGCACTCTTAAGATCTTCTTGACTCCGCGCAGGGGCCTTTAGAACTATGATGCTGGAATGTGCTAGCAGCACATTGTGAAATACTGAAAACATACACAGACTGTGTTGAAAAGTGTTGGACTATGCAAAGCTGCAGTTGCCAGTTTGACTTGGGTCATCTCCACCAAATGCCCCAAAGCCATGTTCCAAGCTCGAGCTTTGGTTCCTGCATGTATCATAGCCCCAAAGATCTCACCATCAACTTCTAGCTGTGCATATCTCAGGTCCACACAAAGCTGCACGGCAGCTTGCCAGCTGTGAGATTCACCCAGGTTCTTGATCCTTTGTTTCCATTGAACAGCCGGGATCTCCGTCAGCCCATGGCCAGCCATGGCAGTTGCATGGGCCACGGATTTCTATGGCAGCCGCCTCCATGCCGTGATTCGGGGAACGTGGCGTCTTGGCAGCGGACAACACCCTCTCTGAAAATCTTGAGCCTTTCACATAGAAATGCAATTACTGTAATGATAATGTCATGATATATACATGTAAATACACAGTAGATAGCCGGAGGCGACTTGCAATCCAACTGAGATTAGCTAACTTGTTAATAAGTACAGTAGGTTTTTAACCCACTATATTCCAATTTTAAATAAATGTATCATCGATAATTTAAATTATATATATAGTTGATTAAATCCAGGGCCAATCTAAGTGCGCTTGCTGCGCCGTGCTGCGCCTTCTGCCACTTGGAAGGCTCAGTTGTGACAGGAGTGCCCAGTAGCACCACATCGTCCACAACGTGAAGTTCGCCCATGTCATAGAGTTCACACCTCAGTGGGATATGGATGTTCCGCATACTGAAAGCGACACACAAAAGGGTTCTGTCCGATGGCTACCTGGATCTACTTAGAATACCGTGAATACCTAGATTAATCTGTCCGAGATCAATCTAGAACAGTTAAAACGGAGGCGGTCAACCCATGATTTGTTCATCCTGCGAGACTCTAGGCGCCCCTGCAGGCAGTAGACCAAGAGTCGTGCACCTATGCAGCGGGGACGAGGCTTGAAACCGTGTTTGGCATCTTGACCGGCTAGATTCCGGCTAGATATGTAGGGAAATTGCACCGATATCTGAAGAATTTTTAAGCGCTGCTCACAGGAAGTACACGGAAGTATCATCCAAGCATATCCAAGTATCATCCACATCCTAAATGCCTGAGATGATTGGCACGTCTTGTGCTTTTAGCCCTGAAGCTCCTGATAGCTCCTGACCTCACGCAGGGATCACAAAGCCTTGCACACGTCAGGCTGAGGACTCTGCCCATGGAATGGCCAACCAGGGTAACTGGGCGCTGACCAACAGTTTGCCTGCACACAACCCAAAGATACCCAAAGCCCAAAGCATCGTCGATCCACCCCAAACAACATCAAAATCATCAAACAACCATTGTGCCTGTCTGCCAGAACGTGAGCCAGGCATTTCCCGCCAATCCGAGCACGCTCAACTCCAACAAGCCTGACAAGGGAACAACTCGCACACAGCATACATGACAGAATAACATGCGCACACCAGTCAAATCTGAAGTTCATGAAAGATATATATATATATATATGCACACACACACACATACATACATACATACATTACATTACATTACATCACATCACATCACATTACATTACATTACATTACATACATACATATATATATACTGGGTACTGATGAGTTAGGACTTGTGGCCCCGGATGAGTCAGGACTTGCTGGGGTCTAGTCCTATCTCTTGTGTCCACTGTTTGAAGCGCTTATGGGGAATTGGCTAGAATAGCCACATGGGTTAGGAGTTTTGGTACCTGGGATTTGCCAAAACTCCCAACTCATGTGCGCTGAACCCGCTCTGAGACCTGAATGCAAGTCTGAAAAAAAACACCTTGATAAATGATCGGGACTTCATGTTTTGTGACAGCAGCAAGGGCTGATGAGATAGGAAATTACAATGGTTCTAGAAAAAACAAGTCCTATCTCACATGCGTTCAGTGGCCCATCTTTTTGCCTAGTTACACCCATGTACCAATAGATTTCCCGGATCAACCCCCACAAGTCCTATCTCACCTGCTTTTAGTGGTCAAGGTTTTTCCCTTGCTGCACCCATGTGCCATTAGATTTCCCAGGTCAAATCGTCAAATCCCCACAAGTCCTATCTCATCTGCTTTGTAGTGGTCGCTATTCAGCGTTTTTTCATTTTACATTATTTTCCTGTTGTGTCTCCCGTTGTGTCTCTCCGTTGTGTCTCCCCGGGGCGGCGTTTGCAACTGCTGACCGTCCAGACCGCTCTGAGCAGTGAAGCTGTGGGTGCGAGCAATTCCAAGCGCCTCCCCGGTGAGACACAACGGGTGCCATAGATTTCCCAAGTCAAAGCGTCAAATCTCCACAAATCCTATCTCATCTGATTTTAATGGTCGCTACTTTTCCCTTCCCATGTGCCATAGATTTCCCAAGTCAAAGCGTCAAATCTCCACAAGTCCTATCTCATCTGCCTTTAGTGGTCGCTATTTTTCCCTTGCCGCGCCCACGTGCCATTACATTTCCCAGGTCAAATCATCAAATCCCCACAAGTCCTATCTCATCTGCTTTTAGTGGTCGCTATTTTTCCCTTGCCACACCCATGTGCCATTAGATTTCACAAGTCAAATCGTCAAACCCCCACAAGTCCTATCTCATCTGCTTTGCAGTGGTCGCTATTCAGCTTTTTCTCAGTTTACATCATTTTCCTGTTGAGTCTCCCGTTGTGCCTCTGCGTTGTGTCTCCCCTGGGAGGCGTTTGCAACTGCTGACTGTCCAGCCCGTTCTGAGCAGTGAAGCTGCGGGGGCGAGCAGTTCCAAGCGCCTCCCCGGTGAGACACAACGGGTGCCATAGATTTCCCAAGTCAAATCGTCAAATCTCCACAAGTCCTATCTCATCTGCTTTTAGTGGTCGCTATTTTTCCCTTGCCAAACCCATGCGCCATTAGATTTCCCAAGTCAAATCGTCAAACCCCCACAAGTCCTATCTCATCTGCTTTGCAGTGGTCGCTATTCAGCTTTTTCTCATTTTACATCATTTTCTTGTTGTGTTTCCTGTTGTGCCTCTCCGTTGTGTCTCCCCGGGGAGGCGTTTTCAACTGCTGACCGTCCAGCCCGTTCTGAGCAGTGAAGCTTTGGGGGCGAGCAGTTCCAAGCGCCTCCCCGGTGAGACACAACGGGTGCCATAGATTTCCCAAGTCAAATCGTCAAATCCCACAATCCTATCTCATCTGCTTTTAATGGTCGCTATTTTTCCCTTCCCATGTGCCATTAGATTTCCCAAGTCAAATCGTCAAACCCCCACAAGTCCTATCTCATCTGCTTTGCAGTGGTCGCTATTCATGTTTTTCTCATTTTACATCATTTTCCTGTTGTGTCTCCCGTTGTGTCTCTCCGTTTTGCCTCCCCGGGGCGGCGTTTGCAACTGCTCACCGTCCAGACCGTTCTGAGCAGTGAAGCTGTGGGGGCGAGCAGTTCCAAGCGCCTCCCTGGTGAGACACAACGGGCGCCATAGATTTCCCAAGTCAAATCGTCAAATCTCCACAAGTCCTATCTCATCTGCTTTCAGTGGTCGCTATTTTTCCCTTGCCACACCCATGTGCCATTAGATTTCCCAAGTCAAATCGTCAAACCCCCACAAGTCCTATCTCATCTGCTTTGCAGTGGTCGCTATTCAGCTTTTTCTCATTTTACATCATTTTCCTGTTGTGTCTCCCGTTGTGCCTCTCCGTTGTGTCTCCCCGGGGAGGCGTTTGCAACTGCTGACCGTCCAGCCCGTTCTGAGCAGTGAAGCTGTGGGGGCGAGCAGTTCCAAGCGCCTCCCCGGTGAGACACAACGGGTGCCATAGATTTCCCAAGTCAAAGCGTCAAATCAACACACATACTATCTCATCTGCTTTTGGTGGTCGCTATTTTTTTCCCTGGCCGCGCCCATGTGCCACTAGATTTCCCAGGCCAAATCCCCACAAGTCCTATCTCATCTGCTTTGCAGTGGTCGCTATTCATGTTTTTTCTCATTTTACATCATTTTCCTGTTGTGTCTCCCGTTGTGCCTCTCCGTTGTGTCTCCCCGGGGAGGCGTTTGCAACTGCTGACCGTCCAGCCCTTTCTGAGCAGTGAAGCTTTGGGGGCGAGCAATTCCAAGCGCCTCCCTGGTGAGACACAACGTGTGCCATAGATTTCCCAAGTCAAATCGTCAAATCTCCACAAATCCTATCTCATCTGCTTTTAGTGGTCGCTATTTTTCCCTTGCCAAACCCATGTGCCATTAGATTTCCCAAGTCAAATCGTCAAACCCCCACAAGTCCTATCTCATCTGCTTTGCAGTGGTCGCTATTCAGCTTTTTCTCATTTTACATCATTTTCCTGTTGTGTCTCCCGTTGCGTCTCTCCGTTTTGCCCCCCTGGGGCCGCGTTTGCAACTGCTCACCGTCCAGACCATTCTGAGCAGTGAAGCTGTGGGGGCCAGCAGTTCCAAGCGCCTCCCCGGTGAGACACAACGGGTGCCATAGATTTCCCAAGTCAAATCGTCAAATCTCCACAAGTCCTATCTCATCTGCTTTCAGTGGTCGCTATTTTTCCCTTGCCATACCCATGTGCCATTAGATTTCTCAGGTCAAATCGTCAAATCTCCAAAAGTCCTATCTCATCTGCTTTTAGAGGTCGCTATTTTTCCCTTGCCGCGCCAATGTGCCATTAGATTTCTCTGCTCAATCGTCAAATCCCCACAAGTCCTATGTCATCTGCTTTTACACGGGGAAGTGCATCCTGGCTCCCACTCCCCATTCTTATTTTTAACGGGAAGCTACCAGAGGCCATGTGGGAAACTGCGGAGGTGCACAGCGAGACCGGTTACATGCAACAACAGGGAGACACGCGGCCCGCGAGCCGTGTCGCTTCCCGTTAGAGATAAAAACAGGGAGACACGTGGCCGTCCGTTCTCCGCGAGCCGTGTTGCTGCCCGTTATTAAAGCTAACAACAGTAGAGAAACAACGAGAAAATGAAAAAAAAATACGTTCAGTAGCTTTTTACCTTATTGCCAAATGGCTCAGGATGAAACCCATGAGATGGGAATTCTTCATGGGATATAGATGCTACAGTCCCAACACATGGGTTATGTGAACATACCCCAAATCAGCCCTAAGTCCTATCTCATGTGTCCAAACTGTAGCCTGTAGCATTAAAAAAAACACACCGTGGGAATGTAAAAACTTGATGCAGGTATCCTTCAAATGACTACTAGAACCACATGAGATAGGAGTTTGGCACTTTCAAAGGGCAAAAACAATACTTTACTCATGAGATGGGAAATCAAGAAAACTGGACCCTCCGACAACTCCTATCTCATCCGTACCTAGTATAATAATAATGATTATAAGAAAAATATAAATATAATATCATTTTTTTTTGATATTAATACATTAATAATTATAAACAAACTAATTAAAATATATTGTTTTTTTTTTCTTGGAACGGTGCTCGACTAGATGCCTTTGCTGGAGCACTATACCCACTCCTTGTGTCTTCGACACAGAAGAATCCTCTAAGCCAGTCCCAATTTTTGCTCCCACTGGCTCTACTTGTGACGGTTGGATAATGGACGTCTCTCTTTTCATATTTTTTTTCACTCAGAATTTTGGAACATCTTGTCATGATCTCCTAGTATGTCTCATACCTCATGTATGTTGATGCTGGTTGGTGTTGGTTGATGCTGGTTGATGGAGCTTCTCAGATTGGGGTTTTATCGAAAATTCAAAAAGCGAGGGTCGCCGACGATCCACGTCCGGTGGCAGATCACCTTCACGCCTGGCAAGCCTCTCGGCAGAGGACTTCAGCGCAGCTTTCGGTTGACGTGGGGTGTCTGCGCTGAGGACTTGTCACTTGCCGGTTCGTCTTTGATAATCCCTTTCCCCAAATACTACTCAATACTTTCTATGCACCAAAACCATCCAGAACCAAGCTTTAGTATTTAGATGTTTTTAGTATTGCATATATTCATTGAGGGGTCCTCTTATGGGGAGTATTGGATATTTGAGGATGGGACTGCAATGTATGGAGGAACAAAGTCGATGCTTGTCCGTGATTCATGTCCGGTCTTGAATTGCAGTACCTTCACACCACACATCAAGCGAACCGCGCAATGAACACCCGTCCGCACCATCCCCTGCCGCTGCACTCTCAGTCTTGGAAGCTTCAGTTGACCCATGTTACTGTTATGAAGACACAGTAGGCTCAGTAGGCCAATCCAAGCGTCTACCGCATGACCATCTTCATCCATCAAGCTGTTTGAACGGATCGAACTTGGAATGATCTTTGGCCTCGTCACCACCTACTGGACCTACCGGTACTGAGCCTTCAAATATGAAGGCTTCACGCGCCAATGGAGGGGAGATTCCTAACTTGGGTTGACCTCTTAGTTACAGAACACCAACAAACCATCATAAACCTCAGATGCAACGCTCGGTGGCATGGAAGCTCTAGGTTATAAGATGTTGTAACTGTTATAGCGTTACAAAATGTTACAAGGCTGAAGAGCTACCTGGAGCTACCTTGTGATCTTGGTCTTTGTGTGCTGGAATGCTGCAGCTTCCTAAAATTGGTGCATCTTCTGTTGGCACTGCATGCACGCTTCGGATTCATGGAATCAGGGCACTTCAAGTCCTTGGTTTGGATACAACGTCACACCTGCAGAGTGATTGGAGTAGCATACATTGCTTCCACCACAAAGTTCTTACCATCACAAAACATTCAAACAATCTATGGACTATGGGTGACTGTTGACGACTGTTGACTTGGAACATGTCTGCAGCTCATTCTTGGCTCAGTATCGCATCCTTTGATCAAGCACATGCGTCACGTAAAGCCATTGTACTCACGCCACCCTGCGTTCTGACCGACATCCGGACTAGCACTGAGTAGCACGCCCCATGGATTGCGCTAAATGTACAGCCTGAGTGTGGCAGTTGGTTGCAACGTCTCGGCAAATGGATCCAAGTAAACCCAAACAGAATAAAGTACTAACCAAGAGTCTAACAGGACAATCAATGAAACTCTATGTTAAAACCAAATGGCAATGGCAATCAAGTCAAAAAGTCTGATTCCTTGGTTCTTCTCAATTTACCGATCCAAACCTACTGTATTTGAAAATTTTGTCTGCCTGCGAAACATGCAGGCGTCATCTTCCGATATTACGTACTTGATTGTTTACTGAGGAAACGGGAGGACGTTTTACGTTTTTAGACATTTTAGAGGATGAATCAAAGCAGTCCTGTCGCTTCAGTGCGCATATAGTTTTTTCTTGCTGGCAATATTGCAGGGATCTGCGGAGCCGTTCCCACCTATATGCCGCCTGTCATCAAACATCCTTAAATCCTTGGGCTTTTGTAGCATCACTCTCAAAATTGACAACATGATATAAACATTATATAAACATCATGTAAACAAACATTGTGTAAACATTATAGGCAACCATTATAAACACACAACATAAATGAACATAACATAAATACAATTAATATAAATAAACATAATAATTATAAACACATAACATAAATAAACATAACATAAATAAACATAACATAAATACAAATAATATAAATAACCATAATAATTATAAACACATAACATAAATAAACATAACACAAATAAACATAATATAAATAAACATTATATAGATAAACATTATACAAATAAACATTATATAAACAAACATTGTATAAATAAACATTATATAAATAAATATTGTATAAATCACCATTATATAAACAAACATTATATACACATTCCCCGCAGGGGCGGACGTTCGCCCAAAGTTTCATGGGGGTTTAGTTACGTTGTGATTTGTTCAGGATATATTTCAGATTGTTTTAGGGTTTGCTTAGGGTCGGTTTGGATTGTGTCAGGGTTTGCTCAGGGTCGGTTTAGATTTTCTTTAGGGTTTGTTTCTGGGTTTGCTCACGGTTGTTTTACTAGGGTCTATTTACGGTTATTTAGTGTTGATTTAGGGTTGGCTTAGGGTTTGTCTCGGGTTTATTTAGGGTTAGGTTATTTTGGTGTTCTTTCAAAGTCTTACGGTTTGCTGAGGTCTCAGTTAACGGCTCGAAACACTGCAAATTACGGAGGATATCTTCAAGATACGCTTCAAAAGGTGATTTTGGCACCGTCTTGGGTAAGCCCAAAAATGCCATGAGACGCAGGTAATATCAATAATTTGCATGCTCGCAGTGTGCGAACACGCACGGAAACAACAGAGCAGATTGCAGTCCCGCATGGAATTCCGTGGATTTCGGGCAAACGTCAGCCCCCTAGCGACACATTCATCAACTCGTCGTTGAATTGGGCTCATCTGCACTGAGTGTCCCGAGCCCTGAAAGAGGACGCCTTGGAGACCCTTGAGGCCTTGGACTGGGCACTGCCAGGTCGGCTGGGCCTCGGACGCATCCGCATCCCATCGAAACCCATGGCTTTGTACAGGGTGCTAAGTGGTGCCCCAGGTCGTTTTGCTCTTTTGGTTTATAACTCCAATGACTAGGGTTTATGGTAGATGTATCAGATGTGTATATATATATACATATATATATATATATATACGTGTATCTAAGATTATCCAACTAGGGCTTATGGTAAAGAAAAAACAAATATACGTAGATAGATGGATAGATGGACATATATATATATATTGTATATATATAATTATATATAATATAGAATATATATATAATTATATATATATGTCTAAAGTTAATGGGGGGTTTGAGCCAACTTGCTGGGCTTATAGCTGTAGCACCACCTTGTGGGGCCATGGCTGAGGCATCCCACGGCCGACTGTAGTTTGGAGGTGTTGTCGAGGGAGGCGGTGGGGGTAACCTGAGCTCAACATGGCTGTCATCGTCATCCAAAATCCAAGCCATGCCCACACCAGTGTCTGCAAAGACCTTTCAATAACATAAATATACATATATAAATTCTAAAAACGAGTCCAAGTACATCTGTTTTCATCAGTTTTCCAATCTTCCCAAATCCCTAGCATTGGCAAGGGTGATAAATCTTTGGGCATCTTTGGGCCAAAACCTTTCCAATCCTTTCCAGATCTACATTTCGACATTTTAAGCTTTTCTCACATTCTCCATGAATTCGCAACTTGTGCTGGGCTCTCCCTACGCCTTGGCAGTGGCTGATGCCGGTAGTGGCGGCGGTGGCGGTGTCGAGCTGCCGGGGCCACCCTTGCCCGCCATGATCTGCGGCAGCTCATGGGTGGATCCAGAACTTTAGATGAGCCATTAAAAATTCCCCTATCCCATCATACTAGTTGGTTGATAGGTTTTCCTACTATGGGTTATCATAATCCCCAGTAAGCCAGGTAGTATAATCCCCTATAGCAATCAATAAACCAGGGTATTTTTAATGGCTCAGATTTATTTAGGGTGGAAAGAGCATGCGAGAGTTGGGTAGTTTTCAGACTGAAATTCCAAAACCAAATTAGCTTGATGGTCAGTGACGCTCAGTCGGCAACTCCTTTAGAGTCTTGAAACCTCAAAATGCTCCCACTCAGACCGAGAAGGCCTTGCAAGAATCGGATATGACTTCAATCCTATCAAAAAAACATAAAATCCCATCAAACAACTCTGCTGTATGTGCCCTATCAAAGAATGATAAACATGGGATAAAATGGGTATACACGCTATAGCAGCTATGGTCTCCATCCCATGGGAATCCAGAGAAATCATTGCTGCCTGGTCCCTGGTAACTCCCTATGGATTGATATGGCTTGATGACATTTGATGACCATCAGTCCATCCCGTCATGGGCGGCAAGGCCTGTGGCGCCAGCGGAGCATTCGGCGGTAGGAATGCCGGCCGCGGTGGCGGTGCTGTGATGGCGGGGCCCTTGGGGATGGGCGGCGCTGCCACTGCCTCGCTGCAAATGTGGGGCGGCTTTGAACATCATAAAGGTGTGGGAAGGTGTGGAAAGTTATGGAAAGTCTACAAACACATCATGCCGCACAGATGTGAGCACCTGCTTCCAAAGACGCGGTGGTGGAGCTGGTTGGAAGTCTTTGTCGTTCTCCCTGCGAATCTTCCTGCAACTGACCCAGTTTTAGTGGCAGTCTTGATCTCAAAAGAAAACATTGAACATGAAGCAAAACAGTCAATTACTCTGGAACACGATGGATCTCAAAATGGATGTCAAAATGGTAGGAACCTGTCACATAATCTGTCAAATCTTCGGTTCCGTCTGTGCCTTGGAAGGAAGTGGCCATCTTTGGCCTTGCGACGATTCTCGTACTTTCGCAGCTCCACCAGTGTCCTTGCAGGTTGGCGCAAATAACATGGCAAACACGGTGTATGTTTTCAATGATATTCATAACATGACAAAACATGATAAAACCCTCTACGAGTATATACTGTAAATAGTCTCAAAACACGCGGCAAAGTGTCACGTCCGTTTTCTTCTAGCTAGAAAAAAAATGAACAAATAGGATTGTCCTTACTCCTTGATCCGGCTGATCGTCTAGTTTGCTCGGAATGGCAAAGATGACAGTCGAGCTGCTCAAGCTCAAGGCGATTGCATTTGATGATTCCAATTGTCGTGTCTTGTGATGGGCTAAGGGCTGCACATCATCACGACCCTCACCAGGTCCAGAATACCCAGAACAAGTCCAAGACCTGCCATTTGTTCCATCTGCTGTCTCAGAATTGATCCCCGAAGCATCAAAACCAACAATGCCAAATCACTCCCTTTGTTGTCATTGCAAAAACGCTTCTCGTCGATTTTCTCTTCTTCTCAGAGCTTGCCGACAAGAAAGCTGCGAAGCCGCTTGAGAACAAGAACCGTGCATTCCCAAGTTGGTAATACGGGTGGTAAATGTTGGTAATATGGGTGTTTGCTGAACACAAACGAAGTTGCACCATGTTGGACCCCTAAGGTTTGCCATTGCTCCAACAAGCTTCTTTGGGCGCAAGGAAAAACCTTCTGATTAGGCATGGCGAGCAGCTGAGCACAAGCAGCCCTGGGCCTATCAAAGATCCCTTCCACCACATCTCCTCCTGGAAAGTCTGGAATTTCATGCCGTACCTGATGTTGGTTGAATCGAGGGGTCCATCAACTCCACCAAGGTGCCCCTACCAAAAGCACAGTCTGCTGAGTCCTGCATGCTCAGACATATCATTCACGACATGTCATGAGAGTACTCTAACACAGTTGCCACCACCAAGGATCCAGCTGCAAAACGATGAAAATGGACGCCAGCGTAAATGTGCTTGACCTTGGAGAAGCGTGAATGTTGATTAATATTTCAGACATGTTCGTATGCCACACATGCATGGAACGACTACGCTGGGAATAAAGCCAGTATGTAAACCATATATACCTATTCAATTATTGCATAAATCAGAATATGACATTGCTTCGTCATAGTGTTGACATGTGTTGACTACACAACTGTTTCTGATTGCGTCTTGTGATGGCACATTTGGGACAAGGCTGATCAGCTTCTAGTATTTTATGTTTTTTTTTGCACAAAGATGGTGGTTCCAATCAGTAATTACAACCATTGACTCAATATCTACAGACTCGGTAAGAGCACAAAGATTGTCCACCTTCAACTCGAACTTTTTTCCGACTATTTCGGGCTGAGAACTCCCACGCTAAGTACGGCATGATGGTCATGGTGTCATAGACCCACCCTGTGGCTCTTGGAGTTGTCAATGTATCTTTTGCTTTCGTAAAAGTGTTGGGTCTCCTGGTCTGTAAGATCTTTAAGTAAAGTCAAGTAAATAAGCCTGTATCCTGTATACAGTGCCACTGCAGCTTTGCTCAAATCTTATCTGTTTGGGCGCAAACAACCATCCTAGAACAAATCTGTATTTTTGTGGCATGCCACCACACCCGTCTACGTCCGAAGGATTCCGAAGGCACAATCAACTGTGATGATTTTGGAGTGCCTGGAGTTTCTTTGCCCAGTTCCTGTCAGTTTCTGAGACAACACGATCTGCGAGATCTTAGCTGAAAGGACCAATGACTGAGCTGCTTCGGCAAAGCTGCTTCAATGACTCTCCTATCCTCCAGTCTAATCAGCAGTTTAGGCACATAAACTCCATCGGTATCTGCCGGTGAACCCATGTCAACCTGGGCTAAGCAACGGTCTCGACCGGTGTCCTCAAGGTCTTCCAAGAGATCGTGCTTATCATGATCTTTTGTCACCTGCGCCGCAATCAAATGACCAGCATTGGCCGGAGATCAGTTTTGCCTCCTTTTCAGGGGGCCACACAGCAGCTCCATCACGTGTGGGTGGTGGCTGCTCACAAAATTCACACTGGCCGGAGATCAGAGAATGGCAGACTATATCAAAATATACGAACCCATACGAACCCGACATAGACTGACTCGGTGAAGTTTTAAGTCATGTCCCCCGGCCTTGTCCATGTATGTCATCCTAATCCTTCGCACAAAGGCTTGATCGTCCTGCAAAGATCACGCGCTGTTCTATATGGTCGTGTCCGGTGTTTCAATTTCTCTCACCTTTTAAGATAACATATTGAGGGATATTGAGGGATATTGTGGGATATCGACATTGAGGGTTTGTGACTATGAGATACTAGGAGTATTTCTGATCCAAGTGATTTGCGTTCCACTCTCAGCTCTAAACCTGCCATCGGTGCTTGTTCCAAGAATGACTGAAATGTTTCTTTCAGATGTGTTGGAGATCACTGGAATCACTGGTGGCGGAGCTGGTCCTCTCTTGGCGGAGGTGGTGGTGCCGGTGGCACCATAGGAACGCCTCCGGCCTCAACCACCATCGAGTTTCGATGTTTGCAGATGTGAAATTTCTGAAAGGCACCGATGCTCAGTTGGTCTCAGTTAGTGGTCCCAATTTGCAGAGAGAATAACGACTCGAATAACGACTCCAAAATGCTGTTTCAACACGAAATTAATACGATTACCTACCGATTACCTACCGATCACCCAGTAAAAACAGTTTGTGATACAAACAACTGGTGAAATACAACGAACCACAGGCAATGCCGACTCGCCGAGATCGCCGAGAGTTGCTTTTTCAGGCGTTTGCAACACTCCCGGAGCACTGAGGACCAGGCAGGTGCCATCGCCTCCACATGACCAGGAGACAATGGTCATCCATTGGTATCCATTGGCATCTATGTGTTACTCAGTGCTTATCCTCCTCCCAACTGGTGGATTTCCTACTACTTTGCTGGCTGGAGACAGAAAGCCACCATAGCTCCAATATCTCTATGCTACTGGCCATGTAGCTTCGATTCACAGGCTCTTGCGGAGTTCGGAATCAAGGAAGCATACTGCAATCTTGACTCTACTACCTGAATCTCGAAGACCGAGACTCGTTGGCCAAAAAATGCGAAAAAACTAGAACTTAATGTGAACATCTGTGAAGAAATCTGTGAAAATCTGTGGTAATGTTTGGTACCCAACTGGGCCTGGAATCCCCCTGGAGGTCCAGGGGGTGGACCACCTGCTGGGACACCACCTGGTGGACCCTGGAAAGGGCTTGGCAGCTGCGGTGGAGGCTGCCTGTGTCGACCGACATGATTCCAGCAGGTTGGAACGGGCATTTCTAGGAGCTGTTTTTGAGCTACAACATGCTATAACTTACATTCTTTCTTAATCTTATCCAATTTATCCAATATCTCATTGGAGCGCTCAAACACTGAAGATATTGCAAGAATTTGCAAGATATTAAACTCACATAAATGTACCAAGGAACACGGGGATGGCCAGTGAAGAGGAGTGCAATCATTTTGTCCTGTCCAAATCGCCACTGGGTTTCGGACCCTCGGATAAAGAGTGGCATTGGCCCGTTCTCTGCTGGGACCTGAACCCAAGGTGGCCCCCCAAATCAAAGTTGAAATGTTGGAACATCATGGAACATCCACAGATCGAGGTCTGAGGTCTGAGGTCTTGACCATGGGCAGTGGTGGCCCAGGTCCTCGTGCACTTGGTGGACCACTGCGGTTTCGGGGTGAGGCATTCCGGCTGGTGCCTGAGCGAAAATTGCAAGGTTGGGGTTTGCACCTAGGGTTTCCCCAAAAAATGATAGGGTTTCTGCAACTCATTCGGTGTGTTTTTCTCAAGCGGGAATTCATGATATCTCCAATATCTCCCATATATTCGATCTGACCACGGCAAGCCCAACGTAGCACTCTGGAGTCCTAGAGCCCTTGCGCCTGGTGTGCCAGGAAAGCCACCTCCAGGCATGCCCGGCAGTGGTGGCCCTGGACCGCGATTTGACGGAGTGCCAGGCTGTGACCTCATCATCCAAAATCTAACAGGACTAGCTGACTGCAGCTGACTAGCGATCTCATGCAATCTGTCTCACTGCCGATGTTCTGCGAAAATGTTTCGAACTCAGGCTGCAGCGGACCAAATGACCTTGGAGTGCCTGTCTTCCTAAGTATTGGAACCAAGATATTAATGGACAAGATATTCACTCATCAAAGCCGTGAAACAAACGAGAATCCTCCCCCTTTGGAGTTTGATGCCAATTTCCTTGACTGTTTGAACCGCTGACTCGCCTACACTAGATACGGAGCCATGATGAGCCATGTACCACCACTGAGTTCCGGACGGCGTTCCACTTCCACCTGGGGTTCCGAAGCCGGGCCTTGGAGCAAGCCGACCGCAATGTACGGCACGTGTCCGGAACAGAACTAAAAAGGAGCCCTTGACAGCACCACTTTGGTCTTTGGTAGCTAGCGCTCTCTGGCTCTGTCTGCAATCTTTACACATCACGTACAAGTACGACATCTTTATGATTTTATATAAATGCAAATGACTCTTGTGCGGTGTCTACAAGGAGCCACAAGCCTAGATGAAGCAAGTGACAAAACAATTGTTTGCAGTCCTTCATCCGTGTTGGTAAACTCTACAGTAAAGCCATTTGATGGCAAGGTCGATGACTGCGAACTTCAAAGACAACAAGAGCCTGGAATTTGTTTAGGTTTGGTGGAAGTGAGCAGCACTTGAAATGCTGTAGAACTCTGAGCGATAGGAAACTCTACATCCTCACAGAGAGTACTACTTCAGCATGACTTCACGACATAATGTGCTCATGTGCACAACCTGCTTTCGTACAATGATGCTGCTGATGCCGATGCTGATGATCATAATACAAAAACATGATGGTGATGGTGGTGGTGGTGGTGATTACAAGTATGATGATAAAGAAACGCTATTCAGCCATTCAGAGTCAGAAACAAACAAACCATCTGTCAAGTCATGTCTCCATTTCTCCCTGTTCAATAGGGCTCTTGCCCGGGTGGACCCCGTCCAATGGAGCCGGGAAGCTCAGGCCTAGGCTTTGGCAATGCATGTCGCTCTTTGCATTGGCCAAGCAGGAACCATGACTCACAGGTCACATCTTTGCAAATGGATGTTTATGGATTCTGGATGATTCCAGGCCTCCCATTCTGACAAAATCCCATCAACGATCATATAGGATCATATAGGATCAGGATATATGGGATCGTAGTTCTGGGCTCTCAACGCCATGGTGTGCTTCGCGTCCTCCAAGACATGTGGGTCTGGCAACGCATGCATCTCGTGGTCAGCCATGTACCTTAGCGCAAAGGGAATCCACACAGGAATGCTTTGTGAATGGAAGCTTGAATCCGGACGTCACAGCAAAATGATCTCATAATATCTCATATCTATTGCCTTTTGAAATCTCTTGAAGCACTCAATCCCGGTTTTGCCCATGACCCTGAGATTAACATGTAAATTGGGAAACCCGAAGTACTCTTAGTATCTCTTAGTAGCTCCTGGGAGCTCCCTCCCACGAGGTCCCCAACGAGTCTGGCGCTTCTCCAGTGCCTGGAAGCCTCGATCAGCAGATTATCATTGGGTTTACTAATAATTATTAAGAATAACCCACTAATTAATAAGCCATTATTGGTGAATAAAACAAATCACAAGTAAACAACAACAATTACTATTATTCTGTAAACCTAATCATTATGATAACAAATAAATATCATAGGTAGTATCAAACAAGAATGAACCATCCCTGTAGCCAACTATTTGTCATCTTCCACCATTCCCGAATATCCCAGTGGTATACAGGAACCAATGTGATGCCACCACAACTCCGGACCATTTCTGACATCCTGAGCCGAGTGCGAGCGCATAGGTAGCTGTGAAGTTCCGCCCATGGAAGCATCCTCGCGGGTTCTGCAAATGGGCGCACACTGAGTCTGAGCCACTTCTACCAGTAGAAACATGTAGAAACTGCTGAATTCTGGAAAAGCCATCTGTGGTCCTTCTGTGAGAATGTCCAACAAATTTCAATTATATATGTAGCTGCAAGATGCTGCAAGGGGATGAAGTCGAGAAAAGGCACAGGTGACATCAGGTGACATCAGGTGACGGGATGGAAAACGGCCCAGTGAAACCTGCAGAAGCGGGAATGGTGTGGGTGGAGGCCCAGTAGTTGGCCAGCTCAAAGGAGGCCTTGGTTGCTGCCGACTGCTGCCGACCTTTGCCAGTTTCTGTTTCAAATGTCGATCATCCTCATGAATCCTCAGGCCCACACAACATTCCCGCCGGAGTGGCAGTACTAGCCTTGTCCAAACATATCCAAAGGCAGCATTTTTTTTTGAGAAGATCTCTTTGTTAAAACGGGCCAACATCTACAAACAACCTTGATAGTGGACTTTTATCTACGGTTTAGGATCAATTCAAACCAAGTCTTTAGGAGACTCACTACAGTAGCAAGCAAAAAACATGAATCTCTGGAAACTCACGGCTGGAAGGTACTGTAGCTTCAACACTGAAAAGGGTCGAAGAAACATGGAACCCAGCAACGAATGCTGGGGAGAGGTCCAAATAGAGCTGAAGGTTTGTGGTGTCAATAACGGGACACACCCGGGCAAAAGGCGGCGACATGGGACAAATTCAAGCCATGACATTTCATGAAACACCGGTATAACGGGCTCTGCAAACAGCATAGCGGAAATTTCGGATTCAGCGGCACACAGACATTTGATCATTATGAATCATATTCGTATTTGCTGCCTTAAAGGCAGCAAATACCAGTAAGGTTCTGCTGCTATCACATAGCGGTGCACGCAATTTCTAACGAAATCGCCAGTGAGATGAGGACACCAGTGGTCTCTGACGTCCCGGACATTCTTTGGCGGCGGAGGATACTTTGGCGGCGGTGGCAGGGGCATGCGTCCAGACATCCTCAGCGAAGGTTCTAAATACTGGCAGTAGGTGGCATACTGATTCGTGTCACTGGTAACAGCAAGGTTTGGAAAGTCTGGCAATCCAAGATTCACAACTAGCATCGCAAAACATCTAAAATCTAAAACAAAAAGGAAAGAGCAAAAAGAGCAATGACTTTCAAAAGGCTCACTCTACGCATCTCCATGTAGTGCACACTCTCATCCTACTGTGCCAAATTGCTGAGCTATTGCTTGGATTTTTCTCATGATCAGAATGTGCAACAGCAGTGCCGAACTTGCTTCATACCTGGATCTTTTTCAACATCCACCCTGCTGCACTTAGAAGTTGCCGCCCAGTAACCCGGGAACCGCTGGTAGCGCCAAGTTTGCTCCAAGGCCGGGCACAGCTGGTGGCAACTGCAATTGCTGATGCCTGGGACAGCATTGATGCATGCTGGGGCAAAACACCTGAAAACACATGGGTAGTCATAGCCTCTATGACAACCCAAATTTGGTTGGCCACTTTGCTTCAACTACTGGCATGCCAAACGGGTAAAGAGCGCAAAGCATACAATAAATATGAGTGAACATGAATCACCTGGCAAGCACTTGGCTAATCGTAAAGGAACATCGTTGGAGTCTTAGGTCCTCCCCCAACAATTAAGCAATTAAAGGAAAGTGACTGCCTCTCGTGGAAGTCCACACAAATGTTTGATTTTCAATCATAGATGGCCCGGAAGCTCATGTACATTCTGTTTTTTCTCAAAGCATCTTGCCAAAAAGACCCAAACAAAAATAACAAATGGAATTAAGAACAGGCGTGGCCCAAAACTAAAAACTTTGGCACTCAGGGTCTTCGATGGTCTCCTGACCAATGACTCGCAGTGGAACGCATCTCCTGGGACCCAGACGTTCCAACCATACCAGGCGGCAGCACTGGTAGCGGAAGAGGGGCGGGCCTTACGGCAGCAACTCGAAGAAATCAAGAAACATCAAGAAACATAAGATCCGTCTATGACATTTAGTGACATTTGATGATATTTACATAATGATATTTAATGTAGGCATATCAGGGGGCCAGGCATGTGTCATCGTGTCATGGGACTTTTTGCGGATGAACATGAGACAATTTTCAATGTCTCGGTATTTCTACAAGATAACAATAAGTAATTCTTTGGTGCACCGGGGACTAAAAACATGCGAGAAGGGATGCAAATGAAACCATCTTTGCCAGCTTTTACATGCATCGAAGGCCACATATCTTTTTGGTTTGATGCAAACCTGCAAGAAATGCAAACAAGCTGGATGGAGTTGATAGCCTCTGAAAATTTTTCTGAATGAATAGCTTGGTCTCCGGGCGAAAATACATGGAAAAGGATGGAAAAGGATGGACATGGTTTGCTGATGTTTGCTGTGCAAAGGGCCTTTCCAAACTGGATACGTAGCAATGCACACTAGAATCACTAGGATCCCGAACAAGCTCAACAAGGTGGTGTTGCCAGGAGTTCCACTCACTGGTGGTGGGGTCGCCTTGGACAAAACATCAATTCGCACAGAACTCTCGTTGAGGTGACGCCTGGAGGCTTGGTGTGTGGAGTTTTCTATCCAAACATCACAGGAACACATTACTCAGTCACTACTCACCATGACAGTTGGGAGGTCGTCCCCATTCCACTGAGATCTTCAGACCATGTAGCCAGGAGGTGGAAGCATAGTCCTGACCAGTGAATGTCAACGGCAAATCACTTGGGATCACCGATGATCTGCACAGAGTGATGCCTCTTCCTTTGGTACAACTCTAGTCACAGATCAGTCAGATCAGTCAGATCAGTTTTAAATCCCATGCCATGCGCTCTGTCAGTCTTGAGAGCCCTTCACCGCCTACTTTGACCTTCAAAGAAATATTATTCCTTACTTTAACCCCACCAATCAGATAATCATTCATTTGACATTCACATTCCGAAGGCGACCATGGTGAATGAGACATCCATGGGCGAAGACAACATGCTTTGCCGTTCTGCTGGTGTCTCACCTTTGCCCTGAGCCGCGTGCGACTGATTTGCCAAGCGCTGTCTCTGTTCGTTTAGCTTGTCGATCTCTTTTGTGGAGTAGGCCTCAGAGGCACAAACAAAAACCGGGAAGGTTTACATGTAGATAACACAGTATAAACATGTATAAAACATGATAAAAGAAGTTGAATTTTCAAAAACATGTTTGCACATCTTTGAACTTGACGAGGATTTCTCCACGAAGCAGTTCCGCGACTGACCCCCCCAGGCAATCCGACTCGCTTGATGAGCCGTTTCTTAACCTGTGCTGGTCGCAGGTTGAACCTCAAAGCCGGAAGCACAGCCTGGGATTCACAGCATGAAAGCCTGGGATTCCGTAAACCATTCAGCGAGCGACTGATCACACCCCTTTCTGCACGCATACACGTTTGAGATGGGGAACATGATGAAACGAACATACAAGTCCCACTGCATATCCAAGCATACAAACCTTATTCACCTCTCTCCAACTCTCAGTCCTGGGTGCGAAGCTGTGTTTTAATACAGTGAAACAATAAGTTAACCTAATCACGCTAGTAAGAATGGCCTTAGCACAAAACAACAAAGGAATGACTTCATCCACGTCCGCCTCTACCGTCGGCATGTCACAGTCTTTGAGCGTCCAAACATCATCACAAGGCCACAGAAGATGGGAAAGACAAGGAGGCCAGAAAGGAGGCCAGTAATTACATACTCCTGGATGGAAAGGCAATGGAAAGGGTTGTCCAAAGGGTTTTGGAGATTCAGCAGTGCTGCAACCTAGGATGCTGCCAATCTTGGCTGCCATGGCCATGAAGATTGCTCATTGCTACTCCCTACTCATTGTGTCTGGGATCTGGTAGCCATAGCAAGAGACTGAAAACAGACTTGGCAGACTGAAAACTACACTTTCGCCCGGCAGAGGGAATCTGTCGCAGCTGTCGCCGTGTTTTGTTTCGACCATCTCCTGAGCTTCTTGGATATTTCCAGGATGGCTGTGTACTGCCTTGGTATTTGGCACTGGACCGCCCAGAACCCTCAGGCCCTTAAGGGTTGGGTTTTTTCAAACGCAGTGGGTGATTGGATTTTGACTATTTTGACCCATAACTTTGCAACCCTTCCAGTCGCTAGCTGGGCTCAGGTACAGCGTTCACGGCCAAAAGCCCAGTCAAGAGTGCAATGAAGCACTGCAACCTTTGAGGCCTGGCACATTATAAAATATACTGAACATATACTGAAGTCATACAGTAGTGTCATCTCATGTCAAGTGTGTTCAACGAGTCCTGATGGTTGGACCAACAGCCAACAAGTACAGTAACTTTATTCTTTATTCATACCTTAACATCTCACTTTTAGAGGAAATGATGCATATCATTAGTCATTATTTTTTGTTATTTCCCCGGATTTTCAACTCAACACCTGGCAGAGCCATCCAAAATGACTGTGACCTTGAAGCACCAGGCCTGGTAAATGTCTCGTGATAGAACATGGTGCTCAGCAACGCATGATCACGTTTTGCCTCGGTGAGATGGGCTACATGCGAGGACCAGTGCCACTCACAGCGCGTCTCTCAAGAGAAACCCTGGGGCAGCTGACGACCTTCCACAAAGTGCCGATCCACAGCATCAGCAAGGGGCCTGGCGTAGCTTGGTTTCATCATTGATGTCGCTTCAGGAAAGAAACCTTTCGGGGAAATTCAACAGCTTTAGCCTAAGACGAAGAATGAACCATGCGGTAATTAGATGTATTTAGGCCATATCGTAAAACAACTGCTCACCCATGAGGTAGACCTGATACAGAGATACTGAGATACATCATGATACATCCATCCAAACATGTATCTGTATGAGTATTATGGTGCATTATGAGTACTGAGTACATGCTTCTACAGCTTTTCAGGCCTTCCGAGAACTGATAGGCAATCGGATCATCGATGCTCAAGGGCCTTAGCCAGGCTGGGCGGCTGTGAATCTGCTGCCCAAACCCTTCGAACAAAAACCCACATTTCAAAAGTCAAACCCGTATCAATATAGTCTACGCAGTGTTGCTGCCTGGTTGGCAATTTTCTGATCTATCCCCAACCAGAAAGAATGGGTCTTGAGAAAATTCCAGAAGGTCATCTCACAATTTATACAGAAGCAACAGGACTCCAACACAAAATAAATATATCGGAATGCATCCTGGACTTTGCTTGCATCTTAGACCTCAACAACATTGTTTCTGAAGGCAAAGTGAAACACTGGAAAGAATTACAGCGACATGCCGCAGGCAGTCTACTCTTGGTGCCAGCGCTCACTTGTCAACTAGGCTCAGCTTCCACCACCATCAAAGAATGATGGTTGAGTCTCCCAACGATGTGATACCGTTGCCATCATAGTAGTAGCGTGATTTCACCTCCAGAGCCATTCCCTGCTAAGGGTCTGGAGAGAAAGTGGGGCTGATCATGGCTGATCCAATTTGATGTGGTGAGTCCTGCTCAGTCATTTCACAAGTTCATCAGGACTTAGCAGCTGCAACCTTTTGGATTTAACGATATGGTCACTTTGTTTCCTTCACTACGTTTTTGCTTTCAATTTAAATGTGACTTGGGCCTCGAGGGGACACTACGCTATGCGGTGCCGCCCTGTGGTCACTATAATTCTGTCTCTTTCTCTCTCTCTCTCTCTCTCACCTTTTGGATTTTTGACATCAGTGACATCAAACATCCCTGCAATCCCTGGATCCTTTGGATTGCAACCTGGGCTTAGCCCCATCATCTTCCATACCCAGGACCCAAACAGCTGACCAAACAGCAGTCTCCGGTGCCTTGTTTTGCGCCAGCTGCGTGCGCTGTGACCTGCGGCAAAGGACTCAATCGTGAAGCTGTGAAGATTTTTGTCATTTTTTGGGATCCTGCCACTCTAGGTGCTTTCATATACGCTTTAGACATCTCACATTAATTTTATGTATTTCCAGCATCAGTATAAGACTTATGTGACTATTGAGCCATGGAAAAAGTGGCGCACTCGTCCAGGGTGTAGGTCAACAGGATCAAGAGGATCAGGGCAAAGAGCAGCATACCTAGGACCTGAGTGGTGGTCCACTCCCCTGCAGCAGTACATTTCGTACGAAGCTGAACAGCTCAAGATCTAATGTAAAACTATGTAAAATTGTAAAATTATCTGTAATATCACAGCCGAAGATGTGTGTGAAGTCACTTTCTAAACATGGAGGTAATGGCAATATTCGCAATAGGCTAGTCCCTGCATGTCCCTGCCCACGATGAGTACCCACTGTGGATTCTGGGGACAATTCTGGTTCCAAGTCGTGCCCTGAGGCTCCGGACGGCTACAACGGTCAAGTTACTTTCGTCGCCGCAGCCAATGCAATTGCTGACCCAAACCTGTTGGTCACAATCAATGCACGTTATGGGGCGATGCACAGCAGCATCAATGCAACGTGTAAACAGGAAACTCCTATTCCACTTCGGGGTCCGTTACACTTGCTCCCCGACCAAGCCGAAGACAAGCAGCATCTTCCTCATGTTTCCTAGAAAAAACACAACTTAATTTGCATCCCATGAATGGATGATGACCTCTCCATCAATGAAGTGTTCAGACACATTTTGCCTGTCGCTTCTTACTGAATTAGTTGATTTTGGTCCACTTTGATCAATTTTGGTTGATTTTGGCTGGTGATGGCTGGTTTTGGTTGATTGTGGTGATTGTGGTTGCTGGTCCATGGTATTCCATGGGATCCCCCCATCACCAGATCCGCACCTCACGCTCCCATTGTGTTGCAGCTTCCACCAGACCGTAGCCACTGAACACGCGGCCGTCCATGAAAACTCCGAAGTCCCCCGTGATGTGCGACCTGGTGTCGCCCGTCCAAATGGTCCAAAACTGCAAACGGTTTGTTGATCTCTCTGCAAAAAGGAGTGGATTGGAATTCAAATCCAACAAAGGAGCCAAAGAGACCAACGTTTTGGCGCCACCATCAGATGGAAATGATTCAACTTGGCAGCGCCAGTCAATGCTCTTTTGATTCATCGACTCATAGCCATGTTGTTGTGCAAAAGAATCAGGCTTTCTGCCCATAAAATGCTTGAGGCTAAGTAAGCTAAGTACTGAGGTGTGCCCAAGGCTTACAATTTCCAAACCTTAGCGATGTCCTTACAATTTCCAAGGTTCCCCAGAAACAGCGCCATGGCGCCATGGACTGGGCATCCGTACGTGATGCATCCAACGCCATCATTCACCAGACCCTGCGAAGACCTGGAGAAACTTTGGTCATGTGCCATGCAGCAAATCACATCATTATGAATGCTGGTACCACTATGTACCACTTAAGAACCAATGTGAATGATTGAGATATACATTACACATGTGCCTAAGAAAGGAGCTTCCATTCTTTGTGACAAACTGTCGATGACGATGCATTAAACCATATTAAACCTATTAGAATCTTTTCGATTTATTGGCTCTAACCATGACATCAAGCTAGTCAATCGAAGTCAATGAGGCGCCCCTTTCTTGGGTTCAGACCATCTGCCACCAGCAGTGCCAGGAGCAAAGCGATCCCACCAAAGGCAAATCGACTGGCATCGAACAGTAGTGACTCAGTAGTGACCCGTGGCAACATGACACAGCAAAGCCTTCGGGATTTCACACGAATTACATAGGATGCATTCCATGATATTCCATGATATTCCATGAAACTTGAAGGTTTTCTCATGGCCGTCACCAGAGCATCAGGAACTGATCTTGATACATACGTACCATATCTCACAACACAGAATTTGATATCAAGCGATCCAATGGGTGCGAAGTAGCGAAGCATGTGGATCCTCAAGACTAGAATCGAATATAAATCAGTGTATATATATATACAGACAATAAATATGTATATATATAATATATATATGTTTGTCTATACAAATGTATACGTGTATATATATATATGTATATATAATTATATATATACACATATAAATAATACTTGTCAGTAATGCAATTTTATGTATGCTCCCTGAGAAGTTTCAACAGGCCAGCGACACGTTGGTGAGAAGATAACGATCTGCGAAGACACGAATCCACTCCATGGAGGTGAGTTCATCCAACTCTAAGGTACTGCCCTGTCGCGGCGCTCATGGTGAAGTGGTGCATATGTATAGATATAGGTAAGATCATATGTATGTGTAGTCAAGTCATCTTAAATACATATACGTACAAATGTGTATGTATAATTATGTATATATATATATTGGCGGTATATGTATATGTATGTACATATATATATATATATATACATATATATGTATAGAACATATACGTATTATGTACAGTCATATATGTTAAGTATCTGTACATGTAGAATGTGTATGTATCAACAATTGTCAATGTCTGACCCCCTGAAGAAATCCTCATGTACTATTGTCTATGAGACCCTGAGAGTTAGGGGGGCGCTAGGAACTAGGAGAGCGTCAGGCTCACTCTTTTTGCGCTTCCAGAACAGCAATTCAAGGCACTATGAATCAATTTGTCATAAACAATGTTGACATGATCTTTATGGAGCAAACATATGCAATTTTCATCCGTTTTCGAGCATTCAACAGTAAGGTTATGCACATATCAAATATGTGAAGCCTTCACTCGACCTGCCTTGAGCACGTAGAGTGTGACCAGCTGATTCTGGGGCGAGAGCGGATTGCCTCGGCAAATTCGGCAAATATGTCTCTGTGCTAAATACCGCTTGCAACAATGACAATGGCACTACCAAAAGGCGCCTCCCAGTGGCTTGAAATGGTTTAAACCTATCAGTGCAACAGCAGTGAATTTATTTTGCCATATCTTGACTACCTTTTCTTTTTCATGGAATGATTTAACAAAAAGTACTTCCCTTCTTCTTTATTTTCTATCTTTCCAGAGGTAGCCTGAGCGGTATAAGTAGCAGGATTTAGCAGGGACAGGGTTGCAGGGCTCCGGACTGTCCGACCAATCGTATACATTCCTGAAGTACCTTGATTGCACAGATGGATCGTCAATTGGTGTCAATTGTGAATATTTCAATTCATTCCACTAAACACCTCGCATACCAAACAATGCGTTTCGTAAGTCGAACGTATCACTTATCATGTAGATATATGTAGATATATTGTTCAAATACGCGTAATTCGAGTCTTTTCTCTTCGGTTTTCGATTCTTTTCTCAGTCTCTTCGTTTGTTGGAGACAACCACCTGGCACCTGGCACCTTGCAGGGCACCATCCCACCTTCGTCCACCTTCGTCCACCTTCGTCCACCTTCCTATGGCTTGTTATGGCGTCCACTTTGGCAAGTTACTCCACGTACAGGTAGGCGAAGCGTGTAAACGGGTTCGTTGCGGTGATGAAATCTCGACCTCAGCTCCATATAGATCATATAGTATAATATAGTATATATATATATTATATATATATAGTAGCATGATGTAGCATATAGTTTCATCTGAACATCTTTCAAGCCACGAGCCATTGGAACATACACTTCCACTGCCTTTCACTTATCCGGTATTATCCGGTACAAGTTGGTTGACATCATAGCCGTCATGACCTGGACCTACAGGCAACCAATAGCAGGAATGCTCGCTGCATCGCATTGGCCAAATCTCAAGCCTTGATGCCCTCCCAACATCTCCCATGCCATCCAATGCTCTCCCATGATTTTGCACACTTTCGATCACTTTTGCCCAGCCACTGTCTGGTGGCACTTGAAATGCTGCAGGATAGGCAAAGGCCGGATTCCTTGGCGTGGTGAGTTCTCAAAGGGGTCTCCTCAAATAACATGTGCAACGTGTCAGATGAAGCGCTTGCAGCGGCAAGTGCCAAGCTTAAGTTTTAATGGGGAACCCTGCTGTAAAAAACCAAACCCATATTCCAGTAGCAAAAGGATATATCCAGATGCTGTCCTTCAGGTAACATATTCAATTTTAACTTCAATTTATCAGAACATAGTCGGAAAACAGCGACCAAAGATAGGCCATGACAATGTCCTGATCAGCAAACCTGGGGCCTCGCACACTGATGTTAAATTTGTGGTCTTGCCAATGGTAATCTCGTAGGCGTTGTTGGTGAACCTGGGTCTTGTAATGGTCTTGTCATGTTTGGAGCCGCTAAGAACATGTCAGCGTTGTCCGTGTTCGCCTCCCCAGGCTTCAGTGATGTGCCAAAACTGGTCTGGTCTGAGTGGCCCAAATGCACTTAAAGAAACTTCTAACCCCCCATCCAAACCTCATATCACAAGCTTTGTTTGTGATGAATTGTAGCGAACCTCATGAAACCATGACCACCCCAGCTGCGCTTTGCGTCCCCCAGCTTCAGTGGATCCAAAGTGGTCTGCATGGCGGTTAGCAGCGACTTGGAGACTGTGTCCTGGCTCAAATGGGAACCACATGGCAACCATAGGATGGAAGATATCGAAGGAGCTCACCATATGATGGAAATGTATGGACATGTGTTTTCACAACAGACTCGGTCTCCCAAGCACTTGACAGTAAATTAAAGCATGGAACATCCAATAGCGAAAACACTTGGAACTGCGATGTCAGCAACCTAGGGTAAATCATTTCGAATCTATCCCTCTATCACAATCTTATATATCTTATACAACCTGATAGGGATTTCTAGGGTAACTCTAGGCACCGAATGTGGTACTGTAAGATCTGCACTAAGAGAAAACAGGTCCCGTTGAGGGTTGAAATGAACAGTTTCAAAATGGTGTGGACAAGGTCCACGAAACCAAATAGAACTCATTGCTTTCTCACTGATCCTTCCAGTCCACCCGCTCTGGGGGCCCCTGGCGCGCAAGACATTGAGCCTGGGGCAGAGTCTACGAGGCTTGCAACTGAAAGACTCTTCAATCCTGAAACGATCAGATTGATCAGTCATATGCCAAACTTACACTTTTTAGAGCATCGGAGGTCTCAAATAAAATGAGACTCAGAATCGCTGCACTACCAAAGCTCCATCTTTCCATACCATTCCATAACTACATAGTGCAATGTTGCCAGGCTCCCATCCCTGAAAAGTTGCCTTGTAATGCGTTGGCTGGCATTTCGTGCTGTCTGCCATTTCAGCATGGCTGCAGCTTCGTCCTGGCGATAATTGAATCTCAATTGTTCCACTGCTGTTCGCTATTTCGAAGCTCAGAAGAAACATTTCAGGCCGGCTTTGCCTTGCTAATCTTTTATTTTTGCATAGTGCCAGAGAAGATATGAAGTTGATACATGTTGAACATCATCAGTTCACTCTGTCGGGAAATGCATATTCACAATATTTCAAAATAAATGGCACCATACTAATCCATACTACAGCAAATGACACTAAACTAACCATGCCACCGCTTCAAAATCCAATTTGATAAGAAGTTCCCAGCACCTTATGAACGAAACATCATACTCTGTATGTCTGTACGTGTAATCTATATTAATCTGTGAGGTTCTGACAAATCCTTTGGATTCCTTTGGCAAATTTAGATCCAGCAGCTTCCACCACACCACACAACACTGCCACGAACCTTGGCTCGCTTGTCAGCCTCAAATTTTGCCGCCATTGCAGGCCTAAGGGATGTCGAATATGACGACGAATCAAGGGCAGCGGGGGTGGATGACTTGCTTCACATTGTAGATTTGGTATAACTCAAAATAACATTCTGACAATCATCATATACCAAATATGTCTTGATACTGCTGGGTGTCATTTGAATGCAATCTTGTAAACCATAGAAAAATTGGAGCTTCAGAATCTCTTCGCAGGGGCACTGAGACCACCAAATCAGAAGGAACAACCTATAGACCCTCGCTCAGCTCCCACTGCCAAATAGTCAGAGGCATTGTTAATCCTACTACCGAGTCACAAAAGAAAACATGAGGTGATAATCATGAAACAAGTTCATCAATCTGACAATAAACAATATACTTTGTCCAAACAAATCACACACACACACATACAGGAAACTGCTAGTTCAGTTCAATTCGATCAACACTTTACCTTCCGGTATCTTTGAAAACAGTCTCTTGCGGCGTAGGTACCTCCCAGTGTTTTTTGCATTTGGATACATGGTCTCTTGCCGACAGCATGCCCACCATGTGCGAAACATGAAACACAAAAACATGACATTGCTAGTTACTGGAAGAATATCTTCACAGGAGGAAACGCTTTTTTTGGACACATTGTTAATTTTCACGGTCGAAATGAGCTTGCATCCTCATTGAAACAGGATGAAACAGGTGTGAACGTATGACGACAACGTATATCAAATATATCAAAGTATTCTATGTCGAGATGTTTGATCATATTTGACACTTGTATGGTTCTTCTCTCAGCTGTCAGGATGTCGAATTCTCCATGTCTCATATGCAGCTCAGGTGCGACATGCTCCTGAAAGCGACAATATCTGTCGCATCCTGAAACCCACAGCCGCGGGGACTGAAGTGACTGGCCATTTGCTATACTGCGCAAACACCTGCTGAAAGCGACAATATCTTCTAACAACACCTGACTTTCAACACTTTTCCTGTTTTTTTCAAAATTCTTTTCTTTTTCTGTGCATGCTTGCTTCATTGGAGTTCTTCACAAACTATCAATCAAGAGAAAACACATCTGTCCATATTTGTCTTACTTCACAACGGACCGATCGCCTGAATGTATTCGCTATCAAAGTTGCGTGCCTCAGAAATGATGCTGATAAGGCATCATGGCGTCCCATTAATCACTCGATCCCTCTCTTTGGCTCTGACAGAGCATGGACGTGCAATGCCGTTCAAAGAATTTCTGGCAATCAGGTTCTGTCTGTACCATCAAGATTCGTCAAGTGCACAACGCTTACACATCATATCATGATATATGCATAAATATCATGATATACATATATATATATATACATACACATGTATACATGTATACATGTATGTCATGCATGTCATGCATGTAATGCATGTAATGTATGTCATGCAATTATGTCATGTATGGCATGTATGTCATGTATGTCACGTATGCCACGTAATTATGTCATGTATGGCATGTATGGCATGTATGGCATGTATGGGCGTATGGATGTATGGATGTATGGATGGATGGATGCATGGATGCATGGATGCATGGGTGCATGCATTCGTGCATACATGTATGTATTTACATGATTATATATGTACATGATAAATCAGTAGATAGTTATTGGATATGATTGGATCAGATTGGACTATATCCGGTTGGATAAATGGTTCGTGTATTTAGACTAATTATACATGAATGTATGGTACATACCAATATATATATAATTAGAATTACACTTATATATTTTATATGTATATAATATATATATGTTATGTCATATGTCAATCCTTGAAGGATGCTTGACAACCATTGATCACCATGTCTTCCATCCTCGAGCTGAGGCCATGACTGCTACCGCTGTTTGGTTCCGTGCTATGCCCAACAAGATCCTCAGAGAATTCTGGGTCGCTGACGAAAGACAAGTCAACACGAACATCAAACATGCTCAAACATGCTCAAACAATGTCAAACATGGTCAAACATCCACATGTGTCACGAGTATATCATGAGTTTCCAAGCTCCAGGCGCTTCCGAGAACTCCATATTTCGCAACCTTTCCTCATCTGTTTGTGACCTGAGTTGCTGCCAAAGAACAATCGTTTGCTGTGAGGCTCATCCAACTTTGGGTTCAGGTTTCAAAGCACACTACTGTACAAGTGGAGAAAATGCACCATCTCATCTTGCTCATCGAGAGCAGGCAGCAAGCTTTCATACTGCGACGCATCGATTCCAATCTCAAAGTCAAAATCAGCTCATTCCGAATCATTCCGGAGTTTGTCGCTGTTGCTGTCGACTGCCAAGATTTTGACATATTTTGACTGTGCTGCTTTTCACTATCTAAGCCACGCCAGGGAATGACGCCATTCCCATCTCCTGGGGAGCCTTGCAAGTTGCCATATGCAAAGATCAAGCGCCGCTGGTGCGCATTTGGATGCCTCAGGCTTGGCATATCATGAATGGGCAAAACAAATAACAGGCGCATGGAATCGCATGGACATATTTGGATGTCATTGGAGAAGTCTGTACACCTAAGATCTCAACCACCCAGCATAAACTTTCTGGCGATCGTATTCGGACACCTGGGCCACATGGCATTTGTGGCTTCAGGATGCTGAATTGGCATGTAAAGGATGTAACGTGGGTCCTATCCGGTCCTTGGGCGCCAGAAAAGATGCTGCCAGTCACTTCCAACATACACGATGCACAGCTTCCAAGGCAAAGTGGTAAGAATGGCTCCCATGCCGTCGCCTCACTCTCATCCAGGGAGCTCAAAGCCATGTTCTGCTTCCAGGCATCAAACCAGCCCTGGCATGTTTCTCTTTGTACTGTAAGCTGGCCTAAATGGGGGTTGATCAGCCAACCTTCGCTTGAAGGATGAAACATCATGACATATAATGAAACCGCATTTGCATCTTCAGACGAAATCAATCATCGACCTAAATAAGTGTGATCATGTCCCAGCATAGTCAGCCTTGTCAGCCCCAGCTGCGCTAAATGCGTGCATGCCAGGTCTACTTCTATTTGTAAAGAACAACACAAACGTTTTTGGATCTGTCATTGGTCCTTAAATATCCTCAAATGGTGTGTATATATATATTATACATACATGCATACGTATGTATATATTATTATATATTCATTATTTTGCCGAAAACACTTCTTTGATGGTGCTTTGACCCGCAAGCCTCCGCCGTCTGCTTCTCCTGAAAAGGAGCACATGATATTACTCCATTGATGCAACAAAGCTAGACATTATCCACCTCTGGATGATTCGGCATGATGTATCTCTTCATCTGTATATGTCTGACCAAAGAACGTTCTTGTTTGAAACAGAAATCACAAACTCCAAAACAACCACAAACACCACATAAACATCCGCGCACACACACAGAGACACTCTCTCTCTCTCACACACACACGCTCTATCTCCAAGAAGCAAACGTGTCTGGCTAGATACTCGCACATTTGTCAACCCATTTCTGGGGAAGTCTGTAACCTTGACAAGACACACTATTTCGCAATCTTCACTCAATTGTCAGATGCACAGGCTAGGGAACGAAACAACAAATGTAAAAACGCTTGATTTAAAAATGCAGCCGAGTCAAAAAAAGGTCTCCCTTGACACCACAAACCTATGGATACTCTTGTTCACAGGTACCTGACCTATTCATGATGCTTCAAGTGTCTAAGTGTTCCTTGTTGACACGATCCACACTTTCACACACTTTCACACTTACAAAAAGGCACATCATTGCAGGGTGCCAGTTGGCAGTTGGTTGAAATCGGCTCCAATTGAGGGCTTAATTGATCCGATGCGCTGAACGACTCCCTGAGATTCCCTGAGCCTCTTTGAGCTTTGCAATCCGTTTCTGTCTCTCCTGCAATTTGGATTGCGTTATTTTTGGGGTCACTAAGCCAAATGTGGCCGAAGTGCGGGTCTCCTTTGATGTTGCAATTTCGTCAAATTTCAACAATCCACTGTATCCACTGTATCCACTGTGCAACACATGGAACACGCGGCACCCACCTTCGACATGCGCCGAGTATGTGCGAGGCTTCCTTGCCCTTGCTGCACAGGGACCTCGGCAGAATCTATGGGGCTCTTGACTGGTTCACAGGCATTCAAGAAAACCATAGAACACATTAGAAAACCATATATAATATATACTTTCACAATCTTTCAACTATTTTTGATTGAACCTCTCACTACCGGCATTCAGTGCCGCTCAGCTAGGTTCTGAACCGGACAAGCAGGGCCGTGGAACCAGCACGGTGGCTCATTGCACAAGGTATCCACGTTGCGCCTGGGTTGTACAGTTGCGTGATTTTCTGTGCTGGCAATTCAAAGGATCCTAAGGCTATCATGCTGAATGGACAGGACATGCTAAAGGTCGTCAATGAATTTCAATTCTAAGTTGTCTTAATTGCCTTAGTTCATGCTGATAGCCTTGTATTGCTTGAGAGTACGGGCAAACCTACACACTCGAACCAGGATTGTTATTTGAAATGGGGCTCACAGGAACCACCGCACCAACTCTGCTGGCAAATCTGGGCTTTCCGTACTCATTGCAGCAAGTGAAGAAGGTAATCAGTTTGAAATCCTGTACGCGTGGGTTTGGCTGGGTCGGCACTAGCATACCAAGATAATCCAAGATATGCCAAGCTCTGAACACGGCTTTGCAAACTCACTCTCATGTTGTGATCTCTGCATTTGCAGTTCTCATTCTCAAAGCACACAGTGTAGGTTTCTCCAAACAAAAAATACGTTCCCACATCATCTCAATTGCAGAAATGTCTGGATATGATGCAAATGCAGAGTAAATGCTGCGACAAATGCCACATTCTCCACACTACACGGGTCGCGTGATATCTGACTGTCCAACGTCTAAAAGCAATCAAAACCATATAATTATGATATTTATGTACCTGGACCATACTTAAATTTCTGTCAAGCGAGGGATGAACAATTTTGATGACTTTTGCCTCCTGTGTGATTGAGTTTGTCGCAGGCACCTCTGGGCTACAAGCCAAGCCGATCTGATCGCAGAAGGCTGTGTCGCACTTGCGCAGGATATACCTGGGAATGCCCCCGTGGTGAATAAAGGGCGACTGGAAGCACCGTGCAAACGGCAGTCCTGTTAGATCACTTGGTACAGAGCCGAACGCTCAAATAATCGAAATCATGCCACAGTGGCTGAAAAGGACAACTATTAAGACACATTTTGTAGCTGGAATGAGTTTGCAAACAATTGAACCATTTGCCCTTGAAGTAGTGTTTGCCCAAAGGAGCAATCTGGTTGGCTGGCAAGGATTTGCATTTAGGCTCTTTCGTGTTTGGCCACCTGTAATGTTTAACAGACACATACATGTCTGCAATCATGTTCCAAACACTGTAGATGCATGATGTCTCACATATCTATGCTTACTTATATATATACATAATGCACATGTTGATATATATATATATTGCATGCTTATAGATTTATAGTTTATACTGACGCATAAAGATACATGACGATACATTACATGTTTAATCACAAGGATACGCGTAGACATTGATGCATATCAGTACAGAAACAAACACCTATATAATCATATACAATAAGATCCTGATATATGTGAATATATATATATACACATTTGATCAGAAATGCATGTTGATATATGTTGATATTAAATGAAAGAAATGGTTGATATACACCTCATTCCTTCCGTTGAATGATCCGGTAGGGCACTGATTCGGCAATGGCCTGGGATGATTCTGTTCCAGCCGGGTAGCCTTGGCACATCATTGGCACGTCCCCACTGGGGACCAAGCTACGGAGGCTACGGAGGCCACGGAGGGTGCTTGACCAAGTTGGATCCACGCAGAGAAATATGTATAACTTATACGTTCATATACATACATACATACATACATACATACATACATACATACATACATACATACATACATACATACATACATACATACATACATACATACATACATACATACATACATACATACATACATACATACATACATACATACATACATACATACATACATACATACATACATACATACATACATACATACATACATACATACATACATACATACATACATACATACATACATACATACATACATACACATACATACATACATACATACATACATACATACATACATACATACATACATACATACATACATACATACATACATACATACATACATACATACATACATACATACATACATACATACATACATACATACATACATACATACATACATACATACATACATACATACATACATACATACATACATACATACATACATACATACATACATACATACATACATACATACATACATACATACATACATTACATACATACATACATACATACATACATACATACATACATGCATAACATTACATGACAGTAATACATACATGCATGCATTGCATTGCATTGCATTGCATTTCATAACATAACATAACATTACATAACATAACATATATATATATACATACATGTACTTATTTATGATTTTATAATATGTGAACGCTCCATGACTGTGCCAGTATCTTTCTTTTGCTGGGAATCATTTCCTTTTGTCCCATGATACGACATGTGATTGATCCCACCTTTTCCTAAGTCTGTGTGTCTGCTTGAACCAAGCCAAAAAACCATCAAAAAAGAGGATTCGTGATTATACCGCCATCAAAGCCCGGTCTGGCAACCTTGCAAGCTGCAAATCACCATAGCTTGGTGAAATGGGACAGCGCTGACTTTACGGCCCATACGGCCCATTGCATGTCATGGCAACGCTACATTCTGCGTCCCAACTGACAGACATTTTGAACATTTTTAACCATTGAACAATTTTTTTCCTTCTCAGCTGAAGTTGTCCGATTTCAACTTCGACCTCGACTGGTGACTTCCTGCGACCAGGACACGCCATAGCGGAAGTGCAAATTCGATCTTCGCTTTCCAGCCCTTCAAGCGCTGCAGGTGGTGCAAGGATGTGGACTGCATGCCAAGCCGCAGACGAGAGAATCGTCTGACTGAACCTATTCATATGTGTAAATATTAAATACATGTGAATTCCCATGTATGCATGTAGATATGACGTCCTGATATATCCTGTGTATATGATCATTTCAAACTACTACTACTACTACTGAACCAACAGCGGATATACGACGCACCAAGATACCCAACATGCAAAACAAACTCTCATCATCCCAAACAACCACAAATAACCACAATAAACCACAGAAATCTTACTCTGAGATCCACACAGACCCTTCTCTTCTACATTGAAGCTGCTTTCCTTCCTCACAGCAAGGCACATTCTGAGGCAAACAGGATCAGTTGTTCAATTTCAAAGAGAAAACAACTTGTATGGGCCCGTGATGCTTCCGATGAGCTTTGAGGCCCGCCTAAAGGAACTCATCCGGGTGGAAGCACCAGTGCCAGCAGCTGCGGACTGAGGCCGGTGGAAGGCTTGAAATGGTTGGCCATTTTGGTCCCCAGGTGGCCCCTCGACTTCCGAATCCTCTCATTGCGGCAGGGTGATATCCAGATTGCCCAGGGGCTCTGTTCAAAGCCCCATGGGCCCCATGTAAGAATCAACTTGCAATTGAATTGCAGTTCTTTTCAACAGCAAGAAACATGACACCTCGACGTCTACGTCCAAGTTGGGTGGACTAAATTTACTAAATGACCAAGACCACATCTTCGCCCATTTATTTTTGGTAGGTCCATCATCTCCGCCACTCGGCTGAAGGCCCCTGCTGGCGTGTTTCCAGGCATCAAATTCCCGAAGATGTCGAAGTAAACACCCGCCAAACCCCTGGAGTTCACAACTGATTGTTGCGGCTCACCACCAAATTGACGAGTGAAGATTCCCCAAATGAAAAGATGAGATTAACTACGAGCTCCGGACCCATCCAAGGTGATGGCTCCGGAATTTGCAGACGTCTGCACCAGCCTGTCGTAGCTGTTGTGGTATGAGACGGATTTCGTGGCGGCAAATCATGGGCACAAATTCAACAAACCTTTATAATAAACCTCAACAATCCTCAACAATCCTTTACGATCACCAAGATTAAGTTGAACCTAAGCCCATAGCTTCGTGAACATTGAAACATGAAAAATCATGAAAATCTGATTGGATTGCAGGGGTACCGTGAACCCTCCATGCCTCTCCACTTGGTCCAGCAGCTGATCGCTTTCTTCACCATTCGCCACCAGGTCTGAGTAAAGCAATGCCTGCGCCGAGTCTTGCGGCTCTCAGGAGGCCTGTGGGTTTGAGAGTTGATGCACCGCAACGCACCGTACATATGCTGATAATATATGATAATATATGATAATATCCCATAATGTCTCATAATCATGATGCCTTTACGACTGCCCTTCAGCATATCTGACAAATGTGGACTCCAATGCTCACGGAACCGTGCATGTAAGAATCTGGAAACAACTCGCAGAATGTGGACATGCACACTTGGTATACACACTAACAAGGAAACCTGAGTGATCTCCAATGCTGAAATTTCCTTGGCCTGACTCTGCAATTGCGAGGGTGTAGTCGGCAAATTGTTAGCACTGAGCGGACGGGAAAGAAGTGAGCACTGGAAAGGGACTCTTTGGCGAATTGAAAACTCTGCCATAGACTCTCAACATTCCTAAAACTATTCCAGCTGCTCAGACCATGGGATGGTTGGACCACGTTTCTGCACATCTTGCCATGAGACTCGAGCTTTTTCAAATCAAATCACATCACTGGAATTCTTACAACGAATCCCAGAGTGCTTAAACAAAGACAACATCATCATGACCAGGAATTCCTGCCTCATCTACATGGCTTCTGGAGTCTCGTAGTACCACTAGCCAGGCAACTGTACTCACCATGTCCACGGGAATTGCAGAACTTCAGGGATTTCATGCCATTTCGCAAACAGAAGTAGTCGAACCAGCTTCTGGCATTGACTCTGAGCCACCGCACTTTTGTTCCAACAAATCCAGCACTTGTTGCTGTGTATCGTTGTTCGTCCTTGGAGGCGAATTAGAACAAGCATCTGCGAATGTCAAAAAACAACACTCAATGACTCAATGACTCAATAGCAATTCTCTAGTGACCCCGTCTCTAGAAAATGATCCTTCGTCTGGGTCACGCTTTACTACACAAAGATGCGCACAGAAAATACCAAAAACGTGTTGGACATAAGCGCAAAATAGCGCAAATCTCACAACCCCACAAAAAGGGTAGCAAATGATGGTGGGTCGCATACTTCAGGCTCTATCCGCTCTATCCGCTCTATCCCTTGGTGGCCGCACGGGTCAAGGGACAACACATAGTCCAAGTTGTTGACCAGGTCTGGCGCAATGACGGAAGACTCACGGTCCCAACGCAGTCAAATTTATGGTCTTTAAAGCGAATTTCACTGAAACTCCGGCTCAAACATATTAATTATAATTATATAATATTGTATAAATATATTGGTGAACTTATTCCGATTTCATATAACTTCCACATGTGCCATGGTCAAAACATGGTATATATTATATGGGTTATGGTCATCCATCTCATATTGGGAATCCTGATGCTGAGAATATAAATCCAATATATATATATATAATGGATTAATTACCAATCCCTTTTATGGAGAAATCACGCATGTTTTGACCATGGCACGCATCATCCGGCACACAGAAAGACACAAAGACACAAATATGCAGAAACACCTCTGGGGATAGTACTGGATTGTTAACAAAACCGCCACAGCAAAGGCACTGCTCCTTCCAATTGGACCAGCCATGGAACTGTGGCGTATATAATCATGCCGGATGGACTGGAAGCGTCGGAATTCGCTGCAGCGTCCAAGCCTCAGTGTAGGAATTCCTGCTGAAACACCTGCTTCGCGGCGCCCGAAGACAGAACCACAATTTATTTTGGAGCAAATGGAATGCAAATAGTCCCAATTTTCTGACATTCTTACCAGTTTTGCAATATCTTGCACCCTCGCTCCATCCCAATTTTTGGCTGAAACGTCCCAGAAGACAAATGGCACGGTTTTCAGCAAGGACCCGGCCATCAATCGCAGCTTGTGTGGCGTTGTCCACCTGGAAGCCTAAGAAACGTTCGGAGTTCCCTCCCTCATATTGCACTTTCACCAACTTTCACCTGTCTAGGTTCACACCAAATCTTTAGTAGGCTCACTATTCAAATAATATTCAAATATAAATCCGTGGAAACTCTTGGCTGGAAGGAACCCGCCAAGGTCTCAGGCTTCGCTTCCTTTTCCTGTGCTTCCCTGCTTTGCACTGGCACTTCAGCTCGAGATACCTCGGCAGCGTTAAAGAAGGCATTGTGTTTCTATAGGTGCAGAAACGGGCATTACAGTGGCAGAAGAAAATGGGAGCTTTCTCCACAGGAGAACCATGATCTTGACCTACAAGCTTTGATAAATGGACAACATAACTTGTCGCTGAAGCTGTATACCTTGTGCGAAGAAAGCAGGATATTCTGGGCTCAGGCTGCACTATAAAGATTTAGGGAATCTCTGATCCTTTGAGGTGTGAGGATGTCTGAGGGATGAAAATCAACCACTTTTAGGGACGTGGACCGGTACTGTGCAGCCAGAAACTGGGCTCCCAAACCGCTCCATATGGAGTAAAGACCTCAACGTAAAGATACAGCGTGTAGTTGTTGCCTGCAGCGGAAGTGACGGAAAGATATGGAAAGTGCACAGTGTTGGTGCAGCTATTGACATTTCGCGTCACGAGAACTGGGCTACCCCAACTCTCCTCCCCCAAGACAAGGCGGCTCAGCTCCTGTCTGAGATATCGTCAGCCCTTGGCATCCCTTGGCGGATTTTCTTTATCAATGCTGAGGTCCTTGAGCCCTTCGCTCTGAATTCTGCTGGAGAAATCTTACAGTAAGAGATAGTAAGAGGCAGAAGGTCGTGCGATTAGCGCGTGCTCAACAGTTCGAGAGACAAGACTAGCCTCAGCGACTTTACGTCTCAGCGATCTAGGTGAAGGCAACGTGGTTTCGCGTGGTCCCAAGTAGTTTCATTCTTTCTAGCGTTGGAGATTCCATCCAATTGGACTCAAACCGCACGCACTGGGGACATACTTGGGATATTTGTAGCAGTAGTTCCTGGTAAATATAATCTACTAGTATCATGAAATATCTGCAGATTCATACATCCTTTCATACAGATTCATTAAAGTCCTTCTCTCATTCATGACTCATGGCATCCTTTCATATGCCGCTGCCCATGGCCTTGGAGGACACTTGCTGCGGATCTGCATTGAAGGCAGAGTCCAAAGGGTTGCCATCTACAAATTTGATGTAGCCTCAGCTGATCTCAGCTGGTCATGTGCACTGCAATCTCCTGCACTCCATGATCCAAGGCTTTGGTGGAGACTCCACAAGGAGCTTTGGAGGTGAGCTGTTAGGTCATCTTGGGTCGATATACTATATATATATGTTCACATTCATCATTATTCATCATTGATTCTTCTGACAGCCATGATTGTTGTCTTGGCTCAGTCCTGTCTTCACCCTGTCCCAAATGGACATCTCCGGTGCATGGCTTCAAGGATGATAAGAAACAACGGCAGAGCTGCGCGCAGGGACTTGTAGTGGAATGAACATATGTTCATGGAGCAAATATTCATAAACATTCGTCGTCAACCATCTTGCCTTGCTATCAATGCTATCTAGTCATATCTAGTCTAATCCAGCCTTGCTGTTCCCACAGGTGCACACCACGACTCTTGGATACTCTTGGCTTCCCGGCCGAAGGAGTAGGTCAAGGGCAAATCCGTGGCGACCCAATCCGGCGCACTGACAATGCGTGGCCTCGGTCCGATCGCCTCTGATAGAGAAAGACACCTCCCAAAGAGGTGACACCTGGTGAAAATGGCAGAAACATCTACAGTCTTTCGATGTACTAGTACAATCTAGTACAAAAGAGGCAATTGAATGGTGATACGTATTTTTTCTTGTTGTGAAGAAAAACCACTGTTGCTGTCAACCTTAACACAACACTTTGCATTACAGCACCATGCAATCAAATGAAAACATTGCAACACAACTCCTTCCAGTGCCAGAACATCACTGGGCAGAAGTTACGGTAACAGCAACTGGGTTCCACGGACGTGTCCATGGATGCATTCTGTGGTGTGACCTGTGCAGCTGCAGCTCAAGTGCTCCGCCACCAAAATGACAATCCAACGGCCCAACAGATGTGAATTTGCGACCGAGTCGAACGTGATTCACAGGCACTTTCCCAATGAACGACAGGGACAGGGGACAGTATATCAACAAATCTACACGAATCTGATATTTATATATACATATATATATATATGTAATGATGTATATGAAAAACACTCTCTCTCTATATAATTATGTATGTACATATATATATATATAAATAATATTATAAAATATATATTTGATATGTTTATACATGAGATATGATACATCAATCCGAGTTCTCTTGGTCACCTCCAGGCGCCCAGGACGTGGTGGCAATCCAGCTGTCTCGATCACAATGTCTGAGAAGCCAGTCACCTTTCAGCACGAGGTGTCTGAAGGGTGGGGGATTCATGGGGATATCATGGCATATACACTATATATAAAGTAATAATAATATAATAAAATAATAACAATAATAGTAAGAACATTAATATATATATATAATAATATATCTAATAATCATATATCTAATAATAAAAAATAGTAATAGTAATACTACTACTACTACTACTAATAATAATAATAAATAATAATAATAATTAATAATAATAATAATAATACACAAGCAAGCATATCCTGTTTCTGAAATTGGGGAAAACCCCCTAAATGACTATTTCATGCAGAAAATTATGATCTATTCGAAATGGGGGCACTCTGCTTTCAGACCAACCCAATTACGACGGAGAGATACCGCCCCAGATTGACCCCAGTTCGCTTTGAGTCTGCCACCTTCCAGATTCTGTGGATCAATTCGAAGCAAGATGCCCATGTTGTAATCTAACCTTTTATAATAAAAGTTTTATCGTATTTTTCCTTTGGCTGGATGAAACATAGTGAAACTAGAACGAATATGCGGAATCCTTGGAAAAGTTGGCCACTTTTCCAATCTTCCTGCTGTCGATGAATCCGCAACTGGAGACTGGGGCATCTGGGGCCCACCACATTTGTCAGTTCAATATTCAGGCGCAGCCTGGATCCGAGTGAGCCATAGTCAGATATGTCAGATATCAAGTCTGGTTGAGTCAATAAGATTAAACGATGAGTAAATGATGAGTAAACGATGAGTAAATGATGAGTAAATGATGTTCATGACACTAAGTCAAGACCTTAGGGCGCCAATGAGGCAAGGTCTCTCCCACCGATATCCACTTCCATTGCTTGGATTCAATGAACGGATGAAGATTCAACATTCTTAAAGGATACGAAACACATGAACCATGTAAACATATGTAAACACAGTACGCGGACGTACCCATGGAACAGCGAAGACTCGGAGGCGCACTTGTATTTTGTGGATGGCTGCAAAACATTCGGCTGGATGATGATGTTGGGCAAACCCCTGCAAGTGGAGGCAGTCGGACAACAAAACATCTCCAATGTACTTTCATGTTGTTTCAGCACATCTCCATCCAATCTCATGGCATTCCATAGCATTCTGGTCCAAAATGGTTTGTTTTAAAATGAACAGTGACCTGCTATACCTGCTTCCGGATGCGAGAAGCGTATAGTGGACATGCAGCATGATTGCTTGCACCCTTGCTGTGGCTCGCAGCACAAGAATCTGCATGGCTCAACCTTAGGTCCTGACGGGTCTGTACGAAAGAGCCTTTGGTCTCGCGTGTCCTTGGTCAAAAATGAATCCTTCCTGAATTGTCAAACAGCACCTGCAACGTGTTGATAGCATTTCTGAAATCAAAAGAAACTACCATGTCCAGGCTCAGCTAACCAAAATCTTCTACGAATCACGGCTCGAATAATACCATATATACATATATATATAACCATCTGAAAGGGATCAAGTTTGGGAGCTGGCTGCAGGCATTTCTTTTGATCAAAACCTGCTCAAAGAGTCGATCTGAACCAAGAGAGCTACCGCAGGTTGTTTGAGCTTCAGGCAAAGCGATCTGATTGGTCGATGTAGGTGAACTGATCCACAGTGTATGGATTGTTCGGGTCGTTCATTCGCTCCTGTCACAGGCGTTGTGGCTCCATGGCCAGTAATGTCTTGAACTAGTTTCTTTTGATGATGATGATGATGGTGATGATGAGGATGAGGATGATGATGATGATGATGATGATGATGCTGGTGGTGGTGGTGGTGATGATGATGATGATGATAAACTTTTGGCCACGGCAACGATGCTGATCATGAAAACGCCGACAAACAACAGTGATGGCAAACAGTGGGAACATTTGCTGGCTATTTGCCGGTGGTTTGCCTTTGCAAAGGTCAGATGCAAAATCGACAAGCCAAATCCCTGGACGTTGACGGGCACTGCATATTGTTGCATGATTCTCTGCTGAATCGCTCCCCAAAAATCACTGACCCATGCCATGAAATCCAGCAATATCCACAGCAATGCGCCGCTCCTGCGCCAGGTCGGGATCGTAGTCGGGATTCGGATAGTAGGCCAGGACCTGAGGCAAACTTCGTCCCTGGAAACTTGCGACACGTCAATTCTAAGAGAGTTGCAAGTAATTTCGAAACGAAGGCGCAACAAGTGCAGAGTCTTTAGACTTACATCTCCCAACTCTTTCCCTGTCTGATTGTGGAAAACTCTACAACTAAATTTAGCAAAACAGGACAGGATAGTGGAGGTCCATTTTGTTTCTGCGGTTTGGATGGCACGAAATGGCATCACTATTGATGAATATTAATGGCCATGGCCCGCACGGTCCAGCTATAGGTCCGTGGTTCACTGGTCTTCTGTCCTTCCTGGCGTGGTGTGAAAGCTGAAGCAACCCACCAACCTACCCGTCTTTCCATCCTCCCTAAAGTGGGCAAATCTGGGGTCAATCTTCGAAAGACTTCCAGCTTGATTTCAAATTTGGATCAGCAATCATGACCTTCATGAACATCCAATGAACATCCAATGAACACTGGCAGCCATTGGCAAAAATGGAATAAAACAATACTGATTGACTTTGCAAAGTGCTGGACTTTGGAAACCCTTGACCTGAATACATGAAGAATACATGAAACATGACAAACATTTGCATATTTTGCAATGTCACCAAGCCTCTGTGCCAGAGATCTGGATCGGGAAGGACACAGGATATCTTTCTTTCTGGTCCGCGATGGTCAACAACTGGGCCGTGTTGCCATGGAGAGGTCTGCCGCAAACCACTCCAAGGTCAGGAAGTGCTGGATAGCTTTGATCAGCAAATTGGTCAGTTCTGCATGTGCAATAAATCTTACAGAAGTATACAGAAGTTGGATTCTTCTGCAGGGATCGTGGAGTCTGTCTAAGCGCTTGTAGCTGTTACCTGCTGGTACCAATATACGTCGGCTTTGCAAGAATCAACCTCCTTGGAACTTGCAAGGTTTTACCTGTGAGTCATCATCAGTTGGGGGGTAGTAGGAATTTAGAACAAGCCAGGTGACATTTGACTGTACAGTACTTGGTTCTATATTCCATTACATGTTTATTAATATCCCATGTATATATTTGGGTGCAACAAGTTGCCCAAAAACTTTAGGTGTGACCAACAATTTCGCTCTGAGGATTCCAGGCAATCTTTGGGACTTGGACGTCGGTCATTGTGATGAAGACGTCCTGTTTCGGCGTTTCGGCAAACACTGGTAGGGTTTGTCCAGTTATAACTGGGGTTATGGTGGATCTTACTGAAGGTAAACAGCATAGAGCAGTTTCGGTCTCCCGAATTGGCCGAAGTTGTCCTCCTGGGCTTGTCGGCCATCATAGCTGGTCGCCTCGCAAAGAGACTAGCATTTATAGACAGCTATTGTGACATCTATACACACATGTATATATATATACATGTACATATGTATGTGTATACATATATGTATGTATATATATATATACACATGTATATATATATATATATGTATACATGTATATATATATATGTACATATGCATGTGTATACATATATGTATGTATATATATATGTACATGTATATATATATATACAATGTATTGTATAATATATATATATATATATTATATATTATAAGATATTGTAAGTATATATATATATTTATTTGCATATCTGCGAAGCCAAACCATCAATTCTCACTCCCTTCACTTCCTGATTTTGGCTCCCCATGCTGGAATTGACTCTGATTCTCTTGCCTGCACCGTGAACTTGTATTGACCTGCAACATGCAGTGGAGCATGAGAATGGCATCAATTGAATGCGGGTTCAAACTACAAGCACTGGTTTTCAAATGTTTTCAATTCATTTTGTAGCCTTGCCAGTACCAGTACACCACTATTTGAGTTTCGTGAAATGGATGTTGGACATTACAATCAATACAATGCATTTTCAGTACCCAAGCCACATCCCGCATCTGACCCTGAAAAGCACCCACCCATCCTTTAGTCATCAGTTCTAGAGCAGCTTTCTTGACCAATTTTGCACAGGTGCGAAACAGGCTTCTGAGCGAAGGAGACGACACTCAAAGGTTCGCGCGATTCTCCAAACAAGAAAGACTCACCGCCAACATGGGAGCCCTGCTTGGGAAGTGGGACATAAACCTAAACTGCCTCTGAGGGACCGCTTGTTGAAATCGAATCAACTTTGACTGCCATGTTGCCACCGCGCCTATGCTGAAATTCTGTGTCTGGAACATCAGGACTCCACGCGTGTAGCGGCCTGGGTGGCAGGGTGGGCCACAAGGCTTGGGCTGATAGCAAAGTGTGAAACTTGTTGCTGAAAGCTTACAAGCAAGCTACAAACAGAGCCTGTAAAAAACATGAAAAGTAGCAGCAAGTACCACTGTACCGTGGGCTCCAAACAGAAGATCAAGTCATCGAACAAGGGCGCAGGGAATGTAACCTGGGCACAGAGTCTGGAAAGGAAAACACACCAGGCATCTTGGGTGAAGGTAAAGTTGTACCGAAGAAAAGGTTCCAAACACGTTCCAAATGACTGGGCTTAGGGACGCCTCCATCCTGGATCTGAGTACCAATGTCCTGGGACATGAATCAGTTCGCAGCCTGAACCTGAATTTCACTTCGAGGACTCTAGGACACTCTAGGACACTCCAGAATACTCTAGAATACTCTAGGATAATTAGGATATATTAGGATATATTAGGATACTCTTACCAAATCTTTTCTCAATGCAAACCATGCCACACCACAGGACTTTACATTCTTCTCATTGGACACATGCATTACCACAACAAAATCAACAAATACCAGGATTGTTTGATCTTGTTTGGTTACCAAAAAACATCACGCGGTGGGAGTGGTGGGAGTGGTCCTGTCGACAGGTGATCAAATCTTCCAGGACTCCCGTGGCAGAACCACCGAAGCATGCGCCACCTCGTTAGCACATGGAGGGCCACATGGAGGGCCACATGTTGCCAAGATGAAAGTATAAAGAAATATAAAGAACAATGCCAGAGTGAAATTCCAGGGGTTGCAGTATGGTGCAGTGCTGCGCAGTGAAGTTCTTCTTTCATCTGCTTTCCATGTCCGCTTCGCAACTGCAGAATTTTGAGCATTTGCTCATACTTCTTCTACCTATACTAGTATACTCTCTGCGTGTATGCATCAAATTGAAAACGCGAAGGGTGCTGGGCCACTGGGGACAGAAATGGCAGAGACCACATAGCCGTAGCCCTTCGCATCTCCATGATCTTTGTTCTCGGATTGGATATCGGAACTTTCTCAGTAGTGATTTGGCTTCATATTTTCAATTTATTTTCATATGTGAATTTCAAGATGTCCTTTTGCTTGATTCCTAATATCAGGCAAAGCCGCGTCTTTATGACCGACTGTCAGGTAGTGCATTCATCAATTGTAGATGAGCCATCAAAAATACCCGTACTAAACAGGTTAGTTCATGTTAGTTCACCATCTTCAACTAAACAGGTAGTATAAAAATGTATAAAACATAGTACAAACGCCTATGGTAAGCAACAAGGGTATTTTTCCCAGGATCCCCAGCGCTCTGGTGGCGGAGTGAAGCAGCTCCAGACGAAGGTGCCACGGAAGGTCTGACCCTTGGCTGAAGCCGTTTTTCCGCGGGGATTTCAGTGGGCTTTCCTATGTTGATGACCTTTACTCAATATACTCAATATACTCAATCATGTGGCCGAAGGATGCTGAAGGTACCTGCTTGAAATACTTTGCAACTAGCACAAGTACTAGCTAATATCAACAAACACGATTGGAAAACTTTGTGTGCATCTTTGAGCCTTATAATAACTGGCCGCAATCTTGAGGGCAGAGCCTCCAATGTTGGGTAGTCAGGATCTTGCGAGCCGCGCACGTCCAAAACCTGAGCCATTTGTCACACCGGGAACTCAAATTGAACCAAGGTCAATGGTCCATTGGTGGTCAATGCCTGGGGTAGCAATCGCAGCAATCAGCACTCCTGATACTCCTGGGTTCCCGCGCCAGAATGTCACCCTTCGTCACCATTCTGCTAGCTGTCCTGCAGAGAAAAACTTTGCCGACCCAAGGTGACCAAAGGGCTTCAGAAAGGGTACGTATGCTTTCGAGGTTAAAATGGTTTAAGTCTAAGTAGTACCTGTCAATGGTGACAATTAACATCATGTTATCATGTTCACAAGGGTGCTACAATACACTCTGTGCCTGAACTTTGTGACTCCCACAGAAGTTCTCTCATGGTTGCAGGGGAATGAATGTTCGAAAAGTTTAGATGTGTCTTCACCATCTTCACCTCCTGGCTATGCTGTAGTCATCTGTAGTCACTGTAGTGTGGGATGAATTGCGCATGAAATCACAATACATCACAGAAAAATTACACAAATAGCTTCGACTTTGGCATTCGGCAACAGTCTTGTACACCACATAGACACTGGAGCGGAAGATCTTCACAGTGACCCTGGCATACCTTGGTAAATCATGACTGATGCCGCCACAGGGTCACAGGCTGTTCACAAAATTATCTTAGTATCTTACACACTCTTACACAATGCTGCTGAGGGGATGACGCTATCCGATCTGGCACATCCCCTTGAATGGTGTTGACGAAGCATTCCACAGTGAAATTGTAGACGTTGTAGTCCATCGTGTTCTGAGTGCAAGGGACCGAAGTCGGCTGAAAGCATGGGATATGTCTCTGAGGCTAGATATCTAACCTTGTGCCACCTGTTTGCGACGTGTACGTCCACTTCTTTCAGCCAAGCTTCTGTAAGATCTGGTTCCAGCACAAATGGCGGAATCGTCAAGGTTGCTGCGTTGGTGATGATCTCAGGATAATCCTTATGTACGCACGAGAAATTGCAAACCCTGAAATGCTAGTCTCCTTTGGTTCTTCCTCGAGTGACAAGACCGTGTGGCCAGAACTGCTCGCAAAAATCCGTTACCATCCGTTACATTGGACCAAAGCAAATCTGCCATGGAAAAGACCAGACCTTGGAGGTTAAGTGTTGCACGGCAAAATTTAGATTTCCGGAGGTTGCCACCTGAGTATGCCGTCGAACACCAGACAGAAACCAAGACATTGGTCTGCCTTCGAAATTGGTAGAGCAAAATCAATTACAACAATTTGGCAGTTCACCAATAGTTCACCAACCACCGACTTTTGCAACAAAAACGCAGGCTTTGCATCATGAGGGCCATCGCTTCCACTCAACCTGTGACGACCTGTGACGACCTGAGCGACCTGAGCTTCCGAGCCCATCGGTACCCTAAGTTCGTAGAGGCGTTGGCGCAAGCCGAAGGGATTCCCATGGCCTGTGAGCAAGGCCGGTGAGGCCAACAGCACCATTCGTATGCTGAGTTTTGACCATCAAACAGGGTCAAACAAAGTCAAACTATATGAACTCATGTGAAACATTGTGAAACTGAAGGTCAAAAAAGTCAAATCAATGATCAATCATGATTCATGCGCTATTTTCGTAGGTCTTCATCCACGATCGTGGTGAGCCCAGCTGTCAAATATTGTGCAGGTCACCGATCTCCCCGCCCTGGACACCTCAAGAGTAATTCGATCTGGCCGTGAGCGACTGATCTCGGCTGGACCGTTGATGGAAACCTCAAATGCTTGGCCACACTTGCGATCCACCGAATGCAAGCTTGGACTGTGACACGATGTGACATAGGGATACTAAAGGTACAACGTAGTGGAACATAGCGCATTTTATGAGCCATATCTAGCTGGGTGCTACATGCCAAGGAAAAATATGGAAAAATATCATACAATATAAAAGCAACCATGCACAGAACACGCAAGACTTCAGCGGAGCAGCACAGCAAATCCATGCAAACGCAAAGCAGCATATTCATGCCCCAGTAGAGCGATTCCCAAGGTGTCACTCAACCTTTGATTTGTGCATGGCATTGCCAGTGCCAGCTTCAGCCTTTGCTAGTCTGAATTGATGTCTGAAATAACCAATGGACCAAGACCAGGTCGGCCATTGATTTGAAGTTCCTAAATGACCTCCAGGTCATGAATTCTGACATAATCCTCACAGGAAATCATAGGAACATCTCCTGACCCGGCAGACCGCCAGGACAGAGCTTTCTCCACGGTTGCCTCTGGCACTGAGGCCGCAGCCATTGGCGCGGGGAAGTTCAGCTTCGTCAGGAGAACCTGCCCGGAACAGGATGTGAACAGGAAGAACATGGTCGAAGAACGATGGACACATTACACTTAAACATATTTTAACAACTTTGACATACTTAAACGATCTCAAACGCTCTTACCGTTTTCTATTCTCTAAATATCTCTACATATCTCTTAATATCTCAAAATTACTCTTAATATCTCTCAATATCTCTAAACAACTCTTAATATCTCAAAATTACTCTTAATATCTCTTAATATTTCTAAATCACTCTTAATATCTCTTAATCTCTAAATCACTCTAAATATCTCTTAATCTCTAAATCACTCTAAATATCTCTTAATATCTAAATCACTCTAAATAATATCTCTTAATATCTAAATCACTCAAAATATCTCTTAATATCTAAATTACTCTAAATATCTCTTAATATCTCTAAATCACTCTAAATATCTCTTAATATCTAAATCACTCTAAATATCTCTTAATATCTCTAAATCACTCTAAATATCTCTTAATATCTCTAAATCACTCTAAATATCTCTTAATATCTAAATCACTCTAAATATCTCTTAATATCTCTAAATCACTCTAAATATCTCTTAATATATAAATCACTCTAAATATCTCTTAATATCTCTAAATCACTCTAAGTATCTCTTAATATCTAAATCACTCTAAATATCTCTAAATCACTCTAAATATCTCTTAATCTCTAAATTACTCTTAATATCTCTTAATCTCTAAATCACTCCAAATATCTCTTAATATCTAAATTACTCTAAATATCTCTAAATCACTCAAAATATCTCAAAATATATCTTAATATCTAAATCACTCTAAATATCTCTTAATATCTCAAAATTACGCTTAATATCTCTAAATTACTGAAAATTACTCTTAATATCTCAAAATTACTCTTAATATCTCTTAATATCTCAAAATTACTCTTAATATCTCTCAATATCTCTAAATTACTCTTAATATCTCAAATTTACTCTTAATATCTCTAAATTACTTCATCCTCCACAGTTGAGACATCTGGACAGTTTGCCTCCTTCACCGTTGTCAGCCCCCAACGGCTCTGGACAGAGAACAGCATCTTGTAGGTGGTGGCCTTGTTGAACCATGTTGATTTCGAGTGGATAATTTTGGACAGGACATGGCATACATGGCCAGATAATTATTGTTGCTTAAGATTGCCCTTCAGCTTTCCCACATTTAGGAATTCCAATTGTCAGTTGTGTTTTATAAAAATGGGACAAGTGTCAAAGCGACTTGCTAGGTTTGGATTAGGAAAATCAATGAACATAGTCCAAAAAACAATTCTGCACCACTCCACTCAATAGCAGGCTCTGCCAAATAGCCTTTCCGATACAAGAGAAAAGGAAGCTTGCAGAATCGTTGTCAGCAACCCCAACACAATCCCGCAACAGCACCCTTGAGCCACCACACTGCTTCCAAATATTCACCTTAGAGCATGATCGCTTCGCCCAATGAATCCCTTCTCTGGGCTGCACTGTAAACGATTTGATCCAGTCTGGAATTGATTTCAAGTGCAACTTTGTGCAGCATGGCGCAGGATTTTTACGCGTTATCATTTATCATATTTATCATGCGTTCCATCAACGCTGACAAGCAACGACTTTCATTTCAGGTGACTGTTAACACTGTAGCATCAGGCAAAACTTGAGATTGTCTTGAATGCCTGGCAGCTCTCAGTTTCGCCAAGTTGCTAGGCATTTCCAATGTTCCCATATTGAACTCCGTTGCAACAGACAAGGCTTGCCGCACCAACTGCAGCGATGGCGAACAATCGGATGGACTTGCTTATGCACATCATCTCGAAAGACATCTCAGTGCATAATGTGAATATTTAACAATCTTTAATTATATTTAGCCGTTTTGCAGAAAAGCATAGACAGCATAAAGGCGAGATGTGAATCAAACATGGCAGTGATCATGAATCGATGGCTTGTTTGTCGTTTATTTGGAAGTTAATTGAAGCTCAATTTGTATAGTTTGAATCGACCCTGAAGTCTTATATAGTTGTTGCTTCAAACACCTCAAAATTCAAGTCATCCGCCCTGGGTTTCTGGTTGCCAGCCTCTACTTTGGCAGTATCAATGACACGGTTTGGATTGTTGGTCAGGTCCTGCCACATTGCAAAAAGCACCAAAAAGAAAGCACCAAAAAGTGTCGGTCGATGTTTCACCTCATTTCTTTGATCGTAAATACTTTCAAATTTGGGCCAAGACATGATTCCCCTCATATGCTGTATCTTGATCCGGGGAGGTGGGACATCTTCTGTTTCCATCTGTTTCCCGCAGATTGTCACATGTCTACCATATACTTTCCACTTCAATGTACCCTCTGGTAATTTAACATAGCTATTGAAAATGGCCATTTATAGTGGATTTTCCCATTAAAAATGGTGATTTTCCATAGTTATGTTAGTTTACCAGAGGGTACCATTTGATCAAGATTTGATCAAGATTTGATCCATGCGGTCCTTGGGATTCGGATCTTCCAACGTGCCATTCTGCAACTCCCATCTGTATCTGAGTCGCAAATGGCAACTTGAGGGCTTCGTGCCGCGAGGGCTGGGAAAATCAACTTTCCAAACTGGAAAACCGGCCGACAATGCTTGGCATGTTCATATTCTACTGTATTCTAGCCAATTGCATCCAATTGCCCACTGGCCCCAAAATCTCCCAAAATCTCCACCCGGCCAAGACTTCGCTCGCCCCTTATGACAAGATCCTGGAATGTGAGGGCGGGACTTTTGCCGCAGACTTTAACACGTTTATGCAACATCAAAGATTTCCCTGCTTCCAGTGGCTTCCAGCTTCAGTATGCTTCAGTATTTTCAAAGAAAATCAATCAGAGCAATGCTCTTCTCTCGAGAGCGAACTCCGCATCCATCCAAGATTTTTGGTGCCAATTCCCAGCACCAGGGGTGGCCTTGGCAACTTTCCTGTCTGGAAAGAGTCCACACCCACCAACCGCACCGGAGTACACCTGGGTGACATGAAAGTTGCTGCCTGAGTCATTGAATCACCGAATCGATCCCTCGATCAGCAACAAAAGTGATTCAGAGCACGGCAGAACAGTTTTTCTAAGCCCCCCAGCTCATCCAAGTTGGTTGAGCCCGTCAACACCTTGGGCAGTACAGTTTGGCCTTTTGATGGGTCTGTCTTAACATTGAATGTTTTCTGCCCTTCCGCCTTCCTCCAAGGGAAAGAAAACCAATCCTTGAAGGGGATCCCTTGGGATCCATTGATCTTTATGATGTAGAGCCGAGCTCCCATAGGCATTGCGGCAAGGCATTGCTTATCATTGCTTCATGATCTTCATGTAAAAACGATCCTGCCAGCCACTTCCAGATACTTCCAGGCTTTCCGACGATCACTGGCGGCTCCAGGGGATCGGGTGGATCAACCTATCAGCAAATGCCCATGATGTCATGAAACTCATCGCGTGACATGTCGTTGCTTTCATTCTCTAATTCCTTTGCACTACAAGTTGCTTCATTGCCCATTGCACTACCCGGGCATGAATCACACTCTGAGATACCATACTGGATCTCTCTACCACATTGCTAGACATGCTAGATTATATGACTTTTCAATTCGGCTTCACCCAGTAGATATACCGCTGTCTGCACCATCATGAAAGCAAAGAAAACAGAGATCAAACAAGCACAGGCCAACACACACACACACAATGTCCTTATGCATTGTTTTGTTCACTTCCTGTCCTCTACTCACCCCATTCTGCTGCTCTGACACCCTGCACCTGCACTCCACCCAATGCAGCAGGAGACCACTCTCCATTGCGGGGGATTGTGTAGATGGTATCTGGCCTGAGCAGCTGCGAGACCGTCGCCAGGTTGCAGGTTGCAGCTTCCCCACGCCATGCACGAACAGTCTGAGTTTCACACAGCACGAACAGCGAGTCACCCACCGAGACGTTGATCACCTTGAGAGTTTGGAGCATCACAAGTCTTCGGAGGAAAAGATGCATCGCTTGTTTCCCTGGCTCAAATGCAACCGATAGATACTGTAGTGATACTGTACTACTGTACCATTGGTATTATCACATCCTGCTTCAGCTGGGTCCGAGTAGCCGAGGGCAAGTTGATTTGGATCCGTGAGTCAGTCATCCAAATACACCTGGCACAAGAACGATGAATTGATGACTTGCCATGTGTTTCTGAGGAAAGGACTTGCCATGAAGAAAGAACCCTTCCCCGGTTCCCCCTAATGTTAAACACTCTCAATCAGGATCTCAGAATGCATAAATCCAATACAATGTTTTCAGAGGGGTTCATATTTGAGGGAAGGGGTTGTACAACACTGAAACACTTTCGAAACAACGGCTCATATCCTACATTCGAAAGACAAAATGCAAGGTGGTCTGCTTCTCATTTCCACGGACAAACAAAAACACACTTGGGATATCAATGAATCTGAAACGCAGCCGTCAAGCAAAATGTACGGTGCTTTCCATCAAACTGAAACATAAGAAATAGGATAAGATGATATGACATGATTATGAAATGATATGAACATGGGTATCTAAATTTGTGAACTGGGAAAATATATGCCAGGCATAGAAACCATAGCTGGGATGGCGATGTGTCTGGAGATGGTCCCAGCAGCAGCATTGATGGCGGGGTAAAGACCTTGGCGCTAACGGCAAAGTTTCGGCATCCAAGGAATAGATCTTAAATGTATGAAATAAATTGAGCATATACAAACTATCAATATCATTCAATATCTATGAATATCATTACGAAATTCATCAAATGAACTATATATAATGAATCTACCGAATCTTACAAGTCTTTGACAGGAGGCTTTCGATCTCAATATTGATCCATCAACGGTTGATACAACATTCTGTGGCTAGTCGATCAAGGAAGTTCCCATCTAAATGGGGGTTTCCATAAATGGGGGTACCCCAAATGGATGGTTTATAATGGAAAAACAATCTATAAATGGATGATTTGGGGGTACCTCTATTTTAGGAAACCTCCAAATCATCTAAGTTCGATTCGGAAGGTGACCGGTCTGAGGCAATTGCACGAGCGCAGTCAAACACGCCATCTGGCTGAGTGCTGTAGTCCTGGCAGTGGCAGAGGCGTGCACGAGATCTTGCTACCTGGATGTCTTAAGATATTCTGTAGATTTCTGTAGATCGTTCCATTTTTTAAAACACATATATATATATAATTATATTATATATATATATTCTAAATGTACTCTAAATAAGTCAAAATATCTGTAAATGAAAAGGATCTCAGACTAATCATGGATCACCAATCAGCTACTTCACTGGCTGCTCGCTGTGTAGGCTTTCCAGCTGCAATGACCAGTTCAGAATCACTGCCCTGGCGGAAAAGCGTAAACTCTGGGCTTCCCAACGATGCGATCGGGCAGGAAGTCATTGTTATCGTCCTGAATATGACTCAAGTGACTGAAGGACTTCCTTGCAAGGGAAAAAACGAAATCAGTGCCAAATTCCTTGGAAAAGGAAATGAAATTGTTCTCTCATTTCCTCTTTCTTTCTCTCTCTATCTCTCTCTCTTTCTCTATTTTGAGAAGGGAACTTTTGTTGATTTACCCAATGATAATAAAAAGATCCACTTCGGTGCAAAGACACCTTTGAGTCCTGACATCAAATCCCAAACCGTTGGGACCCTGGCCCTGGTCACAGCACCCTGCAGGGTGGCCCGATCAAAGTTGACCACAATGGTGCCCGCCTGCCATACCATACTTTCACATACTTTCAAGGCTTCGGGGACAAAATCCATTTCAACCAGTCTGGGACAATCTGGGAGTCTCCTGTTTCAACTTTCACAAAATGCAGACAAAGATGGACACAGATTCTCACACCGTACTGTCCACTGGACTGATTAGATTCCTTGCGTTTCCGAATCAACATCTTCAAATTTCGTCAATTTCATCTACCCTTTTTTATACGTAGAAAAATCTGGACATATATGAGATATGTATAGATATGTATGAATATCTCATTGCTCTTTGCTCGTGGCACCAGGCCTCCATGGTGAATCTGGCATCTGTGAAGGATGGTGCCTTCAACGACAATGGAATACCCGGCCTCAGGGGGGGTCATGTCATCTGCATTGACCGCAATCCATTCAGAATCCAACAGCGAGGGGAGCAAACAATTGTCGCTTTTACACATCAAAACCTAAGCTCCTGATAGGGTGTATGGAAGCCTAGTTCTTACAAGACCACAAGGGCACAAGGGATCACAGATATCACAGGGGGGCACCATCCAACACAAATGAAATGACATTGCAGCTGACGTTGCATGTAGCAATGTACTGTACTTGGTAACGCACACTTCCGACATCCCAAGATGACCTGCTATGACATGCTGTGACCCTTGGTTTCTCTTGGCAAAACTGAGCCGTCAACTCCTGGTTGTACAGGGCGGCATACGGGATGTCGTAATTGATGGTTCCCACGCCTCACCCACAATGACCCACAGCTCCACCGGCACTCCCATTGATGGCACAATGGCTTTATTCATCTTTATTCCATATTATTCCAATCATGATTGGACCCTGGGGATCCATAAGGATCCATAAGGTATCACAAACTCAGCTGCAAATCTGTTGAGTCCCATCAGTCCCATTGCTTTTCCGAGTCCCAGTTGCAAACATCGTTCGTCAGGGTCACATTGCACCAGTCTCGCATCTGGCCCGTGCGAATGCTCACCTGGGCGAGTCAACATCTCAACATATCTCAACCTTCCGGTGCTGATGGTGAAACGATGTGAAACGCCCGAGTGCTGCATCGGTGCCGTTCATCCGCGCCTCTGTGATGACGAAGGCTGCCAGTTCTGGTTGATCAGGCGCTGGAGCCTCAAAATCTCAACTCTGCATTGTTCCAACAATTGGGCCTCTATACTATACAGATCTATACAGTACCCACTGTTTTGCCTAGTTGCCTAGGCATACTGCAACTTAGGTTAGGTCAAGCTTTCTTTACACAAAAAACAACAAACTCATTGCAAACAAACGTGCTGCCTTATAATCCGTTCTCATCGTTCCCTTCTGATGCACAACTGGGTTCTCCCACTCGACGGTGCGCGATGCCGCTGTAGTTGAACAAATGCTCTGACACCTGGTGATATCTTTTCTGGTGATATGACAGGTCTGGATAGGTCCACCTATGGGCTTTAGCCAGAGACTTTTTCAGCCAAATACACCACAAGTCCTTCAAACAGAATTTCGTTGCCGGGCAACAAGTTGTTGCGCCATACACCTATTCTCAGCACTCCATCTATTCAACACCCATAATGCATGCCAGCTTTACTGCCACGCCCGGGTAGATGTGGTAGTCCTGCATGCCGCATAGTTTCCCAACAAGTTGATTCCAGCAACACTTTGTTCACTGTTGCTTGACTGAAAGAACTGTTAAGATCTGTTAAGATCGACTGATAGATCTAAAAAAATGATCCAAGCATATATCAACATATTTCGTCTTCGAGAGTCCAACACAAGAACACTTGTGGAACACTTGAAAAAGCGGCAATGATAAACTTCTGTGCGTCCACCATCCTTTCTTCCTGACTGGCTGACTGTGAAGAAATGAGAAATGACAAATAAGGACTATCTGACTATCAAACAAATATCAAAATTATCAATTCAAATGGAATCTTGGGCACATCTCAAGACCATGTGTTGTACAGCCCTACCAAGAAGCCTACACATCTGACCAAACCTTGACTGGATCTGCGGAACCTCCAAGTGTCTTGATTTGAAGTCTCAAACAAACACACACGAACTGTATGACTCCGTGCTGCTACAAATTATATCTATATTCACTATCGGTTCTCCTGATCATCACTTTTCAATAGAATATCATCAGCTATAAAAAAAACTCTATCACCTTTCCTTGATTCCTTGGCTCACCTTTGGCTCTTCTGCTCTTCTGTAAGATCCCGAGCTGTTCTCCTGGGTGTTCTCAATGGGCGCCACGTATGTGGGATTGATGGGATTGTACCTGCCAGTCAAATACTGATTCAAATCCTGTCAGCAAACTGATTCCATAGATTATCATAGATTCAAGTCATTTTACTCTGTACTGTTATACCCAAGTTTTTCTTGACATCACCTCATGGTTGGCAAATAGAATTTGAACTTTAGGCCCAAGGCGGGGTGAACGAAAGCTAAGGTTCATATGAGCCTGGAAACATGATGGGATTTTGATGAGATTTTGATCGGATCTGGATATGCTGAATACAGATTGCCTAGAGACCTGGCAGGATTTGAGCCCGTGACCATCTGCTTCCAAATGCCCCAGGAGCTTGGGGGAGAGGGGGGGGGTCCCAGTGAAAAATCACTGTGTTGGACTCGGACCTGCCCCTCCCCTTGCTGAAGCAAGAGTAACTCCAGCTAGCTACCGCTAGCTTTCGTGATAAGAACAACTACACTGGGCAGCAATGGAAAGGAGGAGGATGGGAGCATTGGTATATTGGTATCTGCGTTATGAGATGTTATGATATGTTATGAGATGTTCTGAGATGTTATGAGCTAGATGAGCTAGGCTGAACAAAGGTTGCGAAATCTTCGCCTGACTGGTGGCCTGCGGCGTGTGGGTTGTAATTCCAAACTATTCAGGGACATGCTTGATTTCCTGCTTTACTGTATCATGCTTGCGCAAACTTGCGCACTGGAAGTCAACGACTGTTCGCTCTTCGATGTTGTCCCTGGCAAGGCCGCATGATGAGCGTTTCGATTCCTTTAGCAATCTGCTACAGAATGTTACAGATCTTTCTATGCCACAAACTACGAGGCGTTAAAATCCTTCCATGTGCTTCAGTACAGCAAGGCTGCAGCAACTACCTTATCGCCAAATGGTAGACCTGGGGAGCAACCCGACATTCGCATCATTCGCACCTGTAGACTCGCGCCAAGTAGATGTAGGACATGGACCCAATGCCAAAACCCAAGTACATGCGAGGCCTTGAAAGCCGGGCTGATGCCAAGGGTCTAAGGAGGGGATACAGCTGCCAACTGGTCAACTGGCATCGCCATGAATAGCGAGCTGGTTGATCCACTTATATAATACATATTAATACTAGTGAAAACATTGAAATTATTTGAAATGCGTGTAAAAAAATACTGATGTGCCACTCCACAAAATCTGAGAGTTCAAGCCCCAACACTGTGACGTCGCCATATTTCTCATTGGTGTAAATTTGAAGCACCTGCCATTGGACAAGGAAAAGGAGCTGCGAGCTTTGGAGGGGTATTCGTCCACAACCTCCTGTTGAACATCAACTTTCTTTGGTTGAAACAGCCAAGCATCAACTCAAATTCAAACCATACAAACTGAATACAAACTGAATACAAACTGAATACAAACAGATGCAAATAGTTGTGTCATTTTTGTGACGTCGTCTTGAAGTGCTTTCTACGCGAGCCAGGCCTTGAAATCTAAGGCACTATCGTAGACGATGAAGCCATCTTCAATGCGAATGAAATAGATATGGTCCTGGTTAGTGACTGCGAATGACTGTGACTTCTGTCAAGACCCAGACATAACTTGAGCATACTTGAGCTCAACAAATATGAAAGGGATCTGCCTTTGCCACGTAGCAGCGACTGCATGTGAATCATGTGACAAGCTGCGAGTCCTTCATGTCCTTCTTTTGCTGCGCAGGCCTTACAAGGATCTGATTGGGCCTAGATTGGGCTTTACAAACAGTTTCTCTGATAGAGATGGTTTTCTTCTGGTCTGTCTCTCGGAGACAATAAACACACTGCTAGGTCAAGATTGGTTTTCCTCACTGGTTCCTATTTGAGATGAAGATTCGCCATTCACTGCAAGCCGCAAAGCTTACAAGATTTGCATCCCTAAGAAACCAATGTGCCAACAAAATCCAACAAACCTCAATGAATGGGAAATCCAGGATCCTAAAATGGAGGTACTGTACCGTATAAGGCCATATTTTGTGGGGATATTCCCTTACATAGGCCTTACATAGGCCTTATATATGGTAGGTACCTCCAATTTAGGTTCCTGAAATGGCCATTGACTCAAGTTTCAGTCAATTTCATCGAGAGTATGTCGGTAGAAACACTCCAAATGCCACGCATATGTGGCCTGTTCACCGATTTTTGAGTCCCCCGAGTCCCCCACTCACACTGCGTAATGATGTAGATGTTCGTTGCCCTGGGACGACGCTGGCAGGTGCTGGCAGGTGCTGGCACTCAAATTTGGGCCTCTGCTTCTTGTCACCACAAAAACATCAGTCTATGGAGGATCACACGTATTCATTAGGTCTTACCTTGAAATGCGAATTAGAAATGCGTGCTTTCAGATGGCCTTTGGTGTTGGACAATTTAACACATTCAAATCCGTTCATGTCGCAAACCATTGTCATATGTTTTGCCTGTTCAAATGGCTTATTTGCGTTGGGTAGCTTTGTAACATTTTGTAACATCATAAACGCTCCAAACATAGTCCCTTGCAGAGAACACAAAAAGGTCACTTCACCAACCGTTTTTTCACAAACCCAGACCACCCTCTCGGGCAAGATACTGGGAGAGGATGCCCGATGCGCCCGAGAATTGGAGGTATTGCTCGGACCTAAGAGATGCCATGTGACAGTGGCGTACCCCTGCGGACCTAAAAACCATGTACAAACAAGATTTGAGTCAAAACTAGTCTGAAGGATTCCAAAGGTACAGTATCTAAAGGTCCCATTATTATTATTATTATTTTTACTATTCCTTTTTAAATTATTTTTCCTTTTAAATAACTTTTGAATATCACGTGTTAAACTTCTCCATCTCTGACCGCGACCTCTTCGGCCTCTATAGTGCCACGTCACTCATTGAATCGGATATCAAGCTGCGCCAGGCTCATGGATAGTCTCGGCCTTGATGCCAAGGTATTCCAAGGTTGCGACAGCAGGGCAGTTGCAATTAAGTGTGCAACACTAGTAAAGCACAAACGGATAGTTACGAAACAACCTTTATCAACAAAGACCAACACATGTCCTATTTTGTGTAACCTGTCCAAGCCAATCGACAATGGCATGATGCATAGTAGCACAAAACTCAGAAGCAGCCATCAACGGAGCTTTGTGGAACATCATCACATAGTACTGTACAATACTATTGACCCTGAAAGCCATGATATTTCGACGTTTTTCAGCGCGGCTGCTGCAAGGGCCCTGTCATCATGAGCCAAATAAAGCCTAATAAACATCAAAAAACCAATACTTCCCACAGGGAATCTCATCCGCCCGGCTGGGTTTGTAGCTGGTCTTCGAACGTAGTATTCACTATGATCCGGGCCAGCTTGTACCTGAGAACGACATCACCATTGCATACCATTACGTCTGCCCTGTATCTCTCCAAGTCCAGAGAGTCGCCGGCTGAAGATTGGGCTCCACAAAGTCTACAGGACCACTAGCTGGCTCACCCTTGAGATCTTGATGGTCATGACTCATGACTATTTGAACTTTATAACATTGTGAAACCAATCCTTTATGCCATGGAGTCAATCCCGCACGCCAACTCATCGCAAATCCATACTTTTATTTGCCTTTAAGGAGTCCTTTGAGAATAGTCCTCATTGCTTCGTCAGCACCCCAGTGGCCACTAGTGGCCTCCATTGCGTCGTTGGATTGATTCGACCTGCAAAGAAAAACAACTCAGGTGAGGGACAGGGCCCTTCCGCTAGGCTTTATTATCTTTATTCAGTTTCATGTTCAGTTTCATGTCTATATTAGTTTTTATTAGTCTATATTGACCTATCTTGCATACCCTGGTGTTCCAAAAAGTGTTGACCACACACACACACACTTGCTCAAAATTGCTTATCGACTTGTCAAGTTGGAATGCGTTTCACGTGCAAAAACAACACCATTGAACCAGTCAGGAGTTGAGTGTCTGTAGTCCACGAATTCTATCCAGCAACATCAATGATTCCCAACAAGATTGGATCTGACCCTTCCCTTCCTTGTAGCAAAGATCCGAAAATAAACATGTGAAGTTACCATGCAGCAAAGAAAACATCTGGGCTTAGCCAGTTCTGGGCTTAGCCGGTTGCCATTGCTGAGAAAATTGTAAATATCGAGAACATGAACGACTTGGCAGGTACGTGGATTGAGCGTCCCCAATCCATATCACTGTGCAAAAGATGCGTCTTCGTTGGATGGAGACATCTGAAGCACACTCCATCCTCCTCCAACGTTGAAAATTCTCATCGACATTGCAAAGAAGGTACAAGTTTTCCATCTGTTGAGATGATACACTCACTTCACAAGCAGCTTGAAATCGAACGCTTCATTAATCTTAATTATATAGTCCGTTGCACAAAGTATGACGGAAGAACCATGGGAAGTTGTTGCAATGCCATCTCTGACACATTGGACCCGGAGGCACAATGCCTTGAATCCTAAGGATAGTAGCTAAGCAGGAACGTTCAAAGTCCTAGGAAAACTTTCATCCATAAGAAACATTGAGAAACTAAGTACTTCATAGTACATCCAACTTTCTGTGAATGGGCCCAGCACAGGGAACCAAATGGCGTCTCTCCACCTGTGTCGCTCTCTGTGTGCAGCGCAACCAAACGACTGCCGTCCAAGTCATACTGTAGACCTTGGCGTGTAGATGCGTGTAGCATCGAAGCGTTTAGCCGTGGCCGTGCAGTGTCTGAGCTTCCCAGCCGTAAAGGATACCGGTGAGAGGCATCTGAAACTGAAACCTGGGAGATGATCATGATGCAGGCAATGCAGGACTGCACTTTGCAGCATTGAAATCACTGGCACAACGCTGGGAACACTGGTCTGCAAGGTCTCCTACAAGTATTGTAGTGACTTCCTAACCATTCTTACCCAAAGAATAAAACAGGATAAGACTACAGTGGGCAGACCTTCAGCAGGATTTGAGAAGTTTAAAGAACCAACATGTTCATACTGTGAGCCCACTACATACTATCCATGATCAGAAGGCAGAATAATACCATCATCGCATTTGCTAAAGTGATCTTTTGAACATGCTTCTTGTCGACAAGGTGCGAATGCATGTCTGCAGTCTGAGCAGCTTAAGTGACAAGAGAACCGAAACTCAGGTCCGAATCACAATTCATACTGTAATATACTGTAATCAAATATTCACAAATATTCTGGCTTCATGGACTTTCATATCACCCGTAAAACATCTAATTAGATGTAAGTAGCATTCGATTAGATCGAAGTAGCATCTTAGGGACTGCGGCACCATCACGCAGAACCTTGCTCTGTTCTGCTGGGTGCCCCCTGCAGTGCGTCTCCGGTGACGACATCGACTGCATGCAGGTAGTATCGCTCTGGCCTTGTAACTGGTGCAATTTTGGACGAGCAAAACTGAATTCATAACTTTGCGGCATGATTTCTCTGGTATTTTGTCATAATTTTTTATTCTGTCCACTGTTGATTGCTTCAAACTGCATGGCACAGTACACTGCTCCCGCAGATACAGGCCACCAAGTTCACTTTTTTCATCAAACACACATACACTTGATGAAACTGTTGTGCACAAACAAGTTGACCTGCACATTGTGAATATGAGATATATGAGTCATCCATTTGAAGGCAATTGTGGTTCAAATAATGTAAAGAAAATCATCATCTTCGAGTCTGCAGCTTTTGACACTTCCATTTTTGGAAAGGAATCAAGAGTGGATTGGCCATGATGAGTCCAAACCTTGTTGCCTGGTCCTCGGTGACACTGGGAACCCAGCTGCACACCGTCAGGGACAACTCCTCCTCGGATGTTGCTCTCTCGGATTGCCACCTCAGCGCTGTCTTTGGGATGGAGCAGGGAGATGGAAATAGATATAGATAGATAGATAAGATAAGAAAAGATAAGAAAAGATATGATCAGATACGATAGATAAAAACATATAGATAGAGATAGACAGAAACAAAAATATATAGAAAGATATAGAAAGATAGAAAGATAGAAAGATAGAAAGATAGAAAGATAGATAGATAGATAGATAGATAGATAGATAGATAGAGGTAGATAGATAGAGGTAGATAGAGACAGATAGATAGAGATAGATAGAGACAGATAGAGATAGATAGAGATATAGAACAATCTATTAATAAATTGATAGATTGATAAACCGATACTGTAGATGGCATCACAAGTTTTAAGCACGCCCCAAGAGCCATCATTCACTTCAATCCCAGGGCCCGTGCGACGGAATACCAAACGTATCGCCATGGGTCATAGGCACCCTGATTGGGTGTCATCACCAAAGAGATGCAACATTTCCTTTGGATACCAAAAACTGTTGGACGGCCAAAGAAACTCCAACAAGTATCAGGACAGCATCCATCTCAACAGATGTTGATCAGCAACAAACCACAGGTATCCACAGGTGATTCAATCATGGCCGCGAGGCACCCTGGGGTTGTTACCACACGGCTTCAGAAAACTGTTTCTTGACAGATGGGCAGGCCATGGCCTGTCCAGTCAAGGACACGAAGTCATATTCCCGAAAGACACCCCAGTAGTCTGGGAAACCGCCGCAAATGGGGTTCCTGGCGCCATGGTATCAAGTGGCATCAAGTGTTTTTCAAATTTTCGCAACATCAAGTCATAATAATAAGTCATAATAAGTCATATCAAGTCCCTAAATTCGAACCATTCATTCATTGACGTGCCCCCAAAATTGGAGTGACTTGCACTATGAGGAGGTTTGCCTCCACCTTGGGAGCGCTACGTCGTTGGGTCTGTCTGGCCAATTCCACTGTCCAACATGCTGGAATAGCATGAAATGAATTGACATGAAGAATTTAAATGACCGAAGTGAATCAACACGGTGAAAACGACTGGCTTTCATGCCATGGCTGAAGCGTAGACGAAAGACCCTGCAAGAGTTTCAATGGTATCCTATCATACCATACAAGATGTCTTCACCCTCTGGATTTGAATAGAACCAGCAACAAATTGTTGCCATGAGTTAACCTGCTAAATCAATTGAATCGAAACATCAACTGCTGACACCACTTATGACTTGTCCCTCCAACCAGCACAAATAAATGGCCGACCCTGGTCCACAAAGGCTGGCCTATAATACTTGCAATAGTACGTGCAGAAAGACTGCGGCACCCTCGGATATCACGGGTTCAACAAAGAATTTTCGAGCGCGATATGAACGAACATTGTATAGCATCACAATGTTGCATTTTGCTGCACAGGGAACTGCAAAAATCCCACACTGATCCACACTGCACATGCAAGTTCTCGTATCAACACATTGTGCACACGTGTACATGCAATGCGTGCAATGCAATGCATGCAATGCATGCAATGCAAATATTTTTGAATTGAAGGGAAATTTGTCTGGTAAGTCCCATTAGATCCCTGGTATCCTGTGAATTTCTCCTTGATCAACCGAGACCAAAACATTCAGCGGTTTCACTGAGGTGCCAACTCTCTAAAAGTGGTCATGTCACTTAGAACACAGCCACAACGGTCCTGTGCCGGAAACACGGCCCTTGATGTTGCTACGATAGGTGGAAGCTGTCCGACTTAATTGGGAAACTGAAAAAGCCCAGGAGAACCAAGTTGTCTGATGTCTGAAGTGCGATGATGCAACACACAGCATTTTCGATAGAAACTTCATGAAACTTCAGTTGGCGCAAAGATACAATCTACAGCTTGCTGGTGGCCGTTGGCAAAGTTCGGGGATGTGCCTGATGGACTGCCACAATAATCTCACCAGAGGAATTGCCTTCAAACTTAAGCTTGCAAGCCTGTGCGGCGCCGCGCTCAGTTTTTGAAGCTCTTGAGTTTCAGCTGGCGATTTCTTGCCTTGAACCATGATAAAGAAGTAGTCAAGACATGGATAGAATATGATAGAATCATGAGGTCCTGTGGATAGCAAATTGGGTTTCGAATTCAAATACATCTATCTTGGAAGAGTTTGGAAGGGTCACGATTTGCAAGGGTGGCTGAATGCAATGCACTAGTCCTAGTTATGCCCGTGGACTCGGATTAGCAAGTGTCTGCTTGGTGCTAGGAAATGGCCATTGGCGAGGACCCAATTGCTGCCAGCTCCGCAAACCATGGGGCGTGCCGCCATGCACTCGTTGGGGTCATAGGCGACGGCATCGCTAGTCACCTGGGCTGCAGGAATATCACGGCCCAAAGCCTGATCACTGAAGATCCTCTCACGGATTTTGAAGGCAAAATTGTTGATAGTGGGCACAGCCATGTTGCATCCTGTATTCATACATCCTGGACTCCTGGACTATGAATTTTGAAATAAAGCAGTGGTAAAGGAACTCTCAGCAGCCCATGCAGCCCACATCATTGTTCCCCATATTCTGCAACCTGGATCAGAGGGAGCTTAAAACGAAGGGGAATCAGACCGCTTCTTTGCGTCCAAGAAACGTGGGTGATGAAAAAGTCTGCTTCGAAGCATCCAATGTGAGTGAAACGAGATCTGCGACGGGAGGTGTGGAGCCGGTTCTCGAATGCGTTTACAGCAGCTTGTTTCATTGAGTCTGTAAATGTATTGTAAATGTATATTGAGAATTATTGAGAACTCTTCTGCATACGCCACACACATCTTTACGATACCATCCTTTGCTTGGTGACCTGCGAAGTCACAGCCATTTTCCAGTTGAAACATGGTCAAACTGACTTGTTCCCACAACATATTCAGCCAAAAAAGAGTGATTGAAGCGTTCAAGTGAGTATTCCCAGTTGGAAGCTTCTACTTGGCCGGTACAGAAACCAGTGGTTGAAAATGCTTCATCCAACTTGATCCAACTTCCCCATCTTGGAAGCGGGCATATTCACAGAGGAGTCAACCCCAGCGACGTAGCCGTCCCGCGTCAGGGCTGGCAAAGCTGAAATTTCAATCTGGGGTCAGTTTGGACATCAGCTCATTGCTTGAGCGTCAATGTTATGACTGTATAAGAATTATAAGATTGTATAAGATTGTATAACATTGTATAAGTGTATAACTGTCAAATATGCAAGTCTTCCTTGGTGGTGTTCTGCATTCCTGCCAGCACTCGTGCTAGTCTGTGCGTGCACAAAACCACACAACAAAACACTAGGAAAAATACTGTGAGTGCTCGTGAGACATCCTTAACACACATGTCAAAATTGTTAAATACGGCCCTTCCCTGACTTTGCATGAACGAATGTGGTTGCCTGCCGCAAGATGCTAAGTTTGGCCTCCACACCAAACAACACTCATCAACAGAACGACCCCCTCAGGTCTCCAGGCCATGCTTCTTCCAATCTGTTGGAGGCTGCGCTTCCTTAGGTGGTCACAGGACCATGGATCAAACCCTATAGCCACCTATGGCCTATAGCCACGACACTAGTCAATGTAAATTTGATATACAGTTTATGCGGGTGCAAGCACAGTGCAAAAAGCCACAACTGTTGAAATGAAGTGCTCCTCAACGATTTGCGATTTTAAACTCGGGCAAGACTTGAGCACTTCTCCACAGCTCCAAGTGGTGTCAATGACACAGAGCTTCCCAAGCAGCTCAGTTCCCTGAAACTAATCCTAAGCCTTCGGCCCAACGATCAGTGAGAGGGTCGTAGCCATAGCTAGGGCGACTTTCGATCGAGTCAATGTTGAAATTTGCATGGCCCAAAGGTAGGCCTGGCAGGTGGCGCTGCACTTCGCAATGCTTGGGATGCCACGAAATCCCAAGCGTTTACCGTAAATACCATGGCCACCACGGGCGTCGCCGAAATTCTTGGCATAATACAATCAATCATACACAGGAATGCGGCGAAGCAAGTTAAAAATAGTTAAAGTATGTTAAAGTGCTGCATTTGTGAAAAAATGTCAAGATATTATTATGATCCATATCTAAGGAAACTTATTGTAAACCATGAAGTTTCGATGGTAAACTCCTTGTCATGCCACTAAGGAAACTCCGGCTTTCGCCTGCGAGGAGCAGGAAGAGCCTCCCCAAGGACCTCCTGGCCAAGGTGCGCCGAGTGAAACAAATATAGCCTGTGATGTAGCACGATCATTGAGATATCTATAGATATCTTATGACACCTTGATATCACATATATATATATGTATACATAGACATATTTTTGATAATCACTAACTTGTATGTACATAATTGTAGATTTACATGGAATGCATTGTAATGCTGTCAATGTCATGCAATGCAATGTCGTGTAACAAATTGACATGTTATGGCAGGGGATGGTGTGCATTAGTGTGTATGCAACCTCAAAAGGAGAGATATGAATCATTGAAACCGGATGAACATAGTTGGTGGGGAATAACTCACCACAATGTAAACGTTGACATCCACCAGCTGGTGCTCCATGCCTGCGACTTTGCATGCCCGGTTCAAAGGCCTGGGCATAGTTTCATTGCAACAAACGCTTCTACTCAAGCTCTAAGGGTCATGTTTTGATGTTCTCTATATAAATATATATACAAAGCTCTATTTATCTCTATTTAGACAGTTTCAAATAGCTACTTCGCACAAATTCCAAACTCCTTGCATATATATATATATATTTGCCGGAGAGAATTCTCGGACCACCCTCGTCCCGTGGTAACGTTGGGTCCTATTTGCTTGCGAACAAAGGTCGCTCAGAATTCCTTGAGGATTGGTTCAACCATGTTCAGTGTTCAATACCTACTCGTTGTATCAAAACATTTTCCTTCAGTCTGAGAAGCACGCACAAAGTCTGATCAACGTCCAGCAACCATCTGCAACCTGCTGCGGCGAGAATGAATTCCAACCATACCATAACATTCCATATCAAGGACTTGTCTTTGAATGTGCAACACGCTGAACCGCCCACTTCCAAACCGAAAGGTCACCCTGTCTCCAAATCTTCTATTTAAACCTTGGAACCCTTCGATCTGGCATCGTCTGGCTATTGTGCATAACCTAAAGTTATGAACATGACATAACAATCATAACATGATCACCCACATATATACTCTGTTGGAAACTTTTTTCTACGAGTAAGTACTTCATCGAGACATATCGAGACAACGAAGCGTAAAGTTTCGCCAATCTCTTGGAGTTGCCGCGAAAACCGTGGTGACTCGCGCCTGGGTATGATACAGGATCAACTTCCAGGCAGGTCTGGCTGAACAATACTAGCAGCCTGCACCCTGTGGGATGGATGACTTAGCCCGACTTAGCCTCACTGGCTGATTTGGCTATGGGAAATGTGTGGAAAGGTCTGGGAAAGTTGTGTTTCACGGCTGACTCCTGGAGCTACCTTCAAACGTTGAACTGACTGAACTGATTTGATTGGCCGCCATGCACAGGAAGACTGAGCATTTGCTCTTGAACCATGAAACCGTCCACGTGGCGACATCTAACCAATAGCATCCAATAGCTTTCAGACTGTCTCGATGTGTTGGTGTGTTGATGTGTGTTGTATCTTCTTGATTTGTTCAAGCTGCTGGCTTTAGATTTGTATAATGTATAGATTTGTGACAAGAACGCTGTGTTTGTGTTCCCAACACTTTGTCGCATCCACACTAAAGTCACTAGATACTGTTCGGCATCATTGCCCAATATCAAATGCAACCTTGGGAACGAAACAAACACCTAGCAAAGGCCACCCCTAGCACGGTGTGGCCCCAACAACGAAAAAACTGTTCCTTGGAAGTCACATTGAACATAAAAAACATTATCATTCTTGCTGTCCTTGTCATTGTCTTTATTACCGTTATTGTTGCTACTATCCTCTTTGTTGTTACGGTGTATATTTATATATCGTGATAATATGAGATTAATTCATAATTTTAATAGTGAAACATAATGTATATACATATATATATAATGATATATATATATAATGATAATTATATATATAATGATAATTATATATATATAATGATACATATAATGATATATATATAATGATATCTATAATGAGATATATAATGATATATATAATGAGATATATATATAATGATATATATATATAATGATATATATATATAATGATATATATAATGATATATATATATATAATGATATATATATAATGATATATATATAATGATATATATATATAATTATATATATATAAAACTCAGCTGAGTATATCTCAATATTCTGATTTTCCCGAGAGCGTCTGAGCGAAGGGTTCTTCTAATAGTGGGGGTCTGTGGTACATCTTCACATCTTCACATCTGCACATCTACACATATCATCTTCGCCTCTTCACATCTTCTTATCTTCACATCTTATCCTCACATATAATCTTCGCATCTTCGCACCTTCACACCTTCACACCTTCACATCTTCACATCTTCACATCTTCGCCTTCTCGCCCTCCCTCCCTCCCTCCCTCTCTCTCTCTCTCTCTCCCTCTCTCGCTCCCTCTCTCGCTCCCCCCTCCCTCCCTCCGTAAAAGCTTCTGTGTGTAAGAGAGTCTGTGTGTAAAAGGGTCTCTTTGTAGCAGCTTTTGTGTGTAAATGTGTCTGTGTGTAAAGGCGTCAGTGTGTAAAAGTGTCTGTGTGTAAAGGGTTCTGTGTATAAAAGCTTCTGTGTGTAAAAGCTTCTCCGCACTGCGGTATATCCTTCTTCCTGTGTCTTCTTCGTTTCATCTTCCTTTTCTTCCTCCTTCAATTTATTCTTCCTTTCTTTAATGTCTGCACCATGTTTCTTCATTTTTAAATATCATCGTATATTTCTATTTCTATATTTATGTTTCATGCTATAAGATCTTCATACTTGCACCTCTCACTATGCTTCTCTACGCTCTCGGGCCATCCGTCGTCTAGTTTAAATGGCAACTAACTGCCTTGGCCTTTGCATGGTCGGCAGCTTACCAGGTCTTACCAGCTGGTCTTACCAGCTCCACCTCCAAGACCGACCAGAGCTCGCTCTTTTCAGCCGACTGGTCTCGTCAGCACGTGTGAGACACCTGCACTGCAGAGACGCCCATGACTCGTGCAACTTCCATCGATCATCGACTTCCCATGTCTTGTCGTTGAACCGACAAGTGGTGTCAGCATGAACCGATCATCCTGAGACATTGACTTTGACTTAGGTCAAACTCGGGAAACTGCAACCATCTGAAACCGGGGGACCCGATTTTAAACAATTTCAAACTCTCAATGACCATTATCAAATGAAGAAACGGCAACAACGTGGTCTGCCTGGAAGGAGATTTACTTGGAGTGTTGGCAATAAATCCAGGAATCGGACACGAGAGATTCTGTTTGTTTTCGCCAACCGTTGATATCAAAACCAAGGTAGACGACCTACGAGAATTACATGGCTTTGCCATGTTGACAAATGCAACCACAATCCCAAATTCACATTCAAATATCATGCAACGCTTTTCATGGGATGATTAATAATCATAATGCAACGCTTTTCATGGGATGATTAATAATCATTAAACAACAAAGGCAACTAGTGCATGGTGCAGTGCTGCAGTATATCTGGCCGGCTTCTCTTCAGCGCAGCCAGGGTGAGCTAGGGTTCTGCCCATCTCATGGATCAAGTCGTTGGCTACAGCGGCAAGTTACTTAGAGTTATTAACATAACATGGGAATTCCAACCGGGCTAAATACTGTAAAAAAACATAGAATACCACACCCTCGAGGGGATGAGAAGCTTCTCACATCATACGGAGAAGCTACAACAGCATCAACAAGAAACAGACTGGCCCAATTGGTACTGGCACAAAGGTAGCAACAACAGATTCATGAATATGTTCACAAAGTAGCACAGTGACTCTACAAGTAAATATCGCCTATCTAAACTGGTTCAAAGTCATCGACATCTTTCAATCCACCCAAAAGTCCTGTTGTACAAAGTTGATGCTTGCAGTTTTGGATACTGTAATGCATGTGGTGCACGTGGGAAGGACCCAAGCTTCTTAGGAATGATCATCCCAAGTTCTCGTGCATTTGCCATTGGCGGCCACGAAATGATGGAAATGCGGAAGTACCCCCCATCCTGGAGCCCCATCCTCTAACAAAAACAATGAGGAAGCAAAATGCAAAAGAATAGGTTCAATTGATTCAACGCAGCGTTGCATACCTCTTGGTATCTCTTGCTCATCAATTCTCACCAGCTTCTTTCAGCTAGTGCAGCTACTGCATCAGGAAGAGGTCGTACAGAATTTGAATTGCTCACAATTCTGGAAATTCCCCTGGAAGGAGTAACCAAACTATTCTCCGGACTGAGAATGGAAAGGCCATGAAAGGCCACGAAGGGCCCAAATCACTGGAAATGGTTGTGTACCTTGTCGCATGTTATCATCATAATCATCTTTGCCAAAGCCTGTAGGCACTTGGGGATCACCCAGAGCCGTGTCCCGGGTATCAGCAGTTCCAGCCGCATTTCGCATATTTTCGCATGGCCCAAGCCTCCGCTCAAATCAGCTTCGATGCGTCATCCGCGTCATACGCGTCATCTCTTCTTTTTGGTAAACATCGCAGTCATCGCATTTCGCATTTCTTTGTCACCTGCGCACAGTCACAAACTATAACAAAATGGCAGCAGGTCCAAGCCACACCAGATGATGTAGACAGTCTTAGACCTTACTATACTTTACTTCTATCAACAGGATCTGGATGCACCTGAAGAGACCTGCATTCAAGAGGATGAGCATTACTGGATCGTCGCCGGGACAGGGCATGCACATCTTTGAAGCTCGGAATGTTTCAACAGCTAGCACTGCTGACCAAACTTTCCATGGCTTGGAAAGTCCAAGAAAGGACATGGACAATGGATTTGAGTTTTCCACTTCCTTGGTGACAAACAGTCCAACATCCCCGATGGTAACGTGGCAGATTTTCATCAAAGCCATCCTCCGCCCAAGCCAAATACCCCAAGCCCTTCTGGCGACCTCTCGGAGTGGAATCCTGTCTCGGCATAGCTGGAAAACATCAAGCCACCGAGGGCCATAAACCGTACGGAGCTGATTCGGATTCGGTTGGATGGAGTTGACAGCATGTAGAAGAGTTAGTTTCTTGGTAGCTCTAGACTCTAAACCAAACACACAGTCACATAAAAGAATTTTGGTTCCGACCCCAAAGCCAAACCATCTCAAAGGCTTCTGGATGTTCTGATTCTGGTCCCGCCTTTGGAGCTGCTGGCACCTTGGCGGCAGCTGAGAGAAATCCTTCACAAAAAGATACATACCATCACTAGATCAAATAGCCAATACACCTGTAGTCATGTCATATGTCTATTTTATGTATATTATCATATCCTGCAATGCATTATCTTATACTGTAGTATACCAGGGTATCATCGATATCATACTACAACTGACTATAAGTATAACATTGTTTCATATCATTATGACATCATATCTTGACATATTATCTATAATATATACTGTCACATTATGTGTATACCATATATCTTTATAATATTCATTAATTTTACATAATTTTACTGTACTGTATACAAAGAAATTGGAGGTCAAACATGGTTTTTGGAAGTATAGAGTCAAACCTCGCAAACTGGAGAGACTGGAACACTCCCTCCACTGGGTGCTGCAACGTTTCCAAGGAGCGGGTCCACCATAGGAGCATCCATTGCCAATGACAAGCCTTATAGGAAAATGATGGAAATGGCTATCAAGTGGCAAGCAGGTCTTTCTAAGAATTCTTCTGTCAAACTTCGGCCAGTCAGACATTTTGGAAGTTGAGAAATTTAAGTACTGAGTACTGAGGTTCAAAGCGCAAATTGGCCTAAATCATACCCAACAGGGTCCACACAACCCAACTTGTCTCACACGACCCTTTGCGCGGTTAGAGGTCAAAGGTGGCATCCGAACAAACATGCTCGACCCGTAGCAGCACTAGGGGATATACATGCTGCGGTAATGTTTTCAAACAGTTATGTAGCTGTCAGAACTCATCAATTGACGCAGTCTGCACAACCTCTCGATAGCTCTTGAGAAAACAACAAGAAATTCCATGGGTTCAATTCTCCCAAAAGCGCAAGAAGCTGGCTAGGATGACCTTCAACCCGTTGCCCTAAAGCTCGCCTGGCTTTTTCGCAGGAGCCTAATCAATTGGAAACACATGCAAGCGCCGCTAGTGTTTCCAGTTCAAACCACTTCTCGCAGTTCAAACCAATGACTGTCAAGGAGCAACTATGACATCCGTGCAGTCTGGAAGCTTCTCACCAACAGTTCCTCAGTTTCCAGCGGTCGCGAGGAAGTTGTCAATGGGGTTCATGGCTCCTCTGAGTGGCTGGATAGCAGGAGCTGCCTTAGGGCTGAGGTTCTGCTTTAAAACAAGTCCCCAAGGCATCAACATGATCCAAGAAAGCGACATGTATTGAGCAAGTGTGTTTTACATATCATGAATGTGTATATCTGATTTGTAGCCATTTGGAAAGATATTCACTCCCATGGCCATGCGCAAGCCGACATTCAGGACTTGACGCCGAATCCAGCCGAAGGAGACAGTACTCCACAGCCTGTCAACCAGTTGGAGATCTCTTTTTTGCCAGCTGGCACACACTTGTAAAGCGCTCTTGATGGGATTGATTTGAGGTCTACAACATACAATAGAGAAACATTCTTTCCAATTCAAAAAGAGGTCACAAGAAATAATAGCCAAAGTTTGTGCAAACTTAAAAGTAAACTACGCTTTCACCATCAATTACAATATAACTACAAAGACTTCAGTATCTTCAGTGAAACCCACTGAATCGCTTTGCCCAGTCAGGTGACAAGCCTCCTGACAAAGGCCCCATACCTGGAGGAACCTGGCAAAACAAAGTTTCGAATAGTGATTTCTTGCGAAATGACATCATATGAAAATGGCAATTTAATCAATTTAATCCTGTCCAATTCCAATGGTGATTCAGAGGTGCCTTAGACAAAAATCGGTAAGGCACCTCTGATTTCGGCTGACTTTTGGGGGGCTTCTGGAAAATCAATGGCCGAGCTCAGGTCCACCATGTTCAACTCAAGCCGATGTCACCATGCCCATGGGAGTCATACCCATAGGAGTCAACGTGAGTCCCCCCAGTCCTCAGTCATAGAAAAGGTGGGAACATTGTGCAAACATTAAGCAGCCCACTGGAACCGTAGATAGGATTGGATGGTGAACCCCATTTGAACCTCCTTGAATGCACACGACTTTCATGTGCTCATGATTTACGACGCACCGTGCCGCAGGACTTTTTTGGGTCAAATGATGTCAAGTGACTCAAGTGACCACTTGCAACTCCATCCAGGGACAAGGCAAATTAAAAACTCCCGTGAAAACATCATGGTCATGGAATGTCATGGATCTGCCCTGAAACATCTCGATGGTTGCAGGGTCCTGGTGTCAAGCCTATGCTTGGTCCAGTTGTGGCCTCATTGAGCGAGCCGCTGAGCGAATGCCAAGAGTAAAGATAGACTTCACAGCGACATTCAATGAGAACTGAGTATAGCACTGGCCCCAATGGATTGAGGGACGTCGCTCCTGAAATTGCTGCAACCAGGCAGAATCTGCGAAGGTGGTGGTTTCCAAGGATTTTTGAGCCAGCAAAAATCAGGTCAAGAGAAACTCTCTCCAAGCCAAGCTAGGGCAGCAAAGCATACGGGCACTAAAGAATCTCAAGGCAGAGTCTCTGAAGGACTCAAGCATACAAAATAAAAGGCAGTTCAATCAGTCACTGGTGAGGAAATCAAGTACCTTTGAGTTCTGGATAGTCTTTTTGACATCGAGTTTTTCTGCTGCTTGACTTGCAGCAAATCAACATCAGCAAACCAAGGCATTTCCCCTCCTGCTGCAGCTGCTTGTGCCTTGCAGCACAGTAGCAAAATGAATTCAGTAGAATTCAGTCAATAATAGGTACTGTCCAGTTTGGATACTGCAGATACCAATACTGCACCTGTTCGGCCGAGAACTTTGCATGTTGACCACCAGTGTAGCGCTTTGATACGTAAGGTCTTCAGCAAGAATGCTGATAGATTGCTACAGTGCTTTCACACAGCCCCCTGGCCCCTGGCCAACAAGGAGTGATCAATAAACCAGTGCCAAGGATCTGAAGACTTATAACAAATTGATACTGCTGCAGGGCACCTTCGCGAGGACATTATGTAATTACAATATATAATATGCAGATATGATTTGCATTATATTCAAATATATATTTAATAATGTTATTGTTCAGGTAATTGTTCTGGTCTGACCAAGTTCCCACGGCACCTCAGCCATGGCCTCATCTCTTCTCCGCTGATCCAGGAACAGCACCAGCTCATGGAGAGCCTGCGCGGCGACAGGACATGTGGACCACTTCCTGTCACTTCCTCATTTTTTGGGGATTTCAATGGATTTCACCAGGAGTTTTGCGAATTGGAGCCAACTCACAAGGGAGCAAGTGTTGAAAGTTGGGGCGCCTGGGCAAATGCACCAACCTGCTTCCTTGCTTCTACTTTGATACTTGTGCAGCAAATGGACTCTGTTCTTCCAGCGACGCGCAGGCGCGACCCTTTTTGTCACTGCAAAGGAGAACGACCGGTCCGCAAGCGCATGTTCTCCGCCTGAAGCTGCGGATCAATGAAGGGAAACTTCCTCTAAACGTCTCTAAACCCATCAGTTGCTGAGATGTCAAGAGGCCTGCAATTCCGCCAGCTGCCGCTTCAACCCTTCACGGTTCAGCCTTAGCCAGCTCCTCTGCTTGGAAAATTGCACTTCAAATATGAAGAGGCCTGGCTTGGACTATTTTAATCTATTTTGCAAAAGTCAATCCGTGAAACAATGATTTAACCAATATAGAACTTTGGTGGAACAAAAGTGAATCCGTGATGAATCACTTCAGACTGGGATCCATTGGTGGATCCATTGGTCTCATCCATTGGTCCCCTGCCACAACTGTTGTCGCAATTGGGCAAGCTCATCGTGCGCCTCTTGAGGCTCGGCTCGCGGCTCGCCCAATGGGATCCAGCTTCCATGGGGATCCATATCACAAATGTCACACATTCAAAGTGTCAACGTATCAATTGCCCAAAGTTATTCAAAAAAAATACAGTATATGGTATAATATATATATATATAATTATATATATATATATGAATCCCATTAAAGAACTCATAATATGTCACAATACATGAACAAGTATCGAATACATTCGAATACTATAGACTATGGACGTATAACAATGTATAACATGTATTAAAAATGATTAACATGTATAAACTGACCCAAACCTGACCCTCTTGGCCTCAGCGATCCGCAGTTTCGTCTCCACCAAGGCATCCTGGGGGTCACCCCAGCTGAATGTCAGTGGTCCATGGGCCAATTCGAAGTTGCCCGAGCAAATTCTCAAAATTGACAAAATGCTTAAACAATTGTTAAACATATGTTTTCATATATCATTTCATATCATGGTTTCATAGGTTTCTTTCTATGACCGATGCACAATTGTACAACCAGCTGGAAGCTTTGCCATGCTTGTCCGCCTTCTCTGGTCCGTCGCGGGCCCAGTCACGGCCCTGACCAGTCCGTGCCTGCCGTAGCAACTTTAACAGTTAAAACATGTCCAAAGATCACCAGTTTGGTTGAAATTAAAACAATTCAAAACGCCAAGATGTTGCAGAGTAATTATTTGGCATTTGAACATGACATCTTAATATCGTTCAATATCCTTCAATCAACTTCAACGATCTCCAGCTGCAAAACCATCGACCGCAGGGCACCTTAGCCTCCTCGCGCAGCTGCTGGAGTTGAGTCTCCTGAGATCATCGTTTCAGCCCGTGTGACCGTCCGGTGATGGAGATATCAGGGGAATTCATGGGACATGGCTGGTAAATGCTGGTAGACACTGGCAATATTCACATGCAACATGTGTACTGTATGTATGTATATATATATATGTATATCTCGCACATAAGATATAAGAATTGAGAACTGGGAATATATATATATACACTATATATATACACTATATATATACACTATATATATACACTATATATATACACTATATATATACACTATATATATACACTATATATATACACTATATATATATGCACTATATATATACACACACACTCTTGTATCGCACATAAGAATTGAGAAGGATCTTGTGTAATCTTGTGTAGAACAACTCACATACAACTCATACTGTACTTGCTATACTCCATATCTCATGCCCAACCTACCAGTGCACACAGATTGCCCTCGACACCGCCTGCTTTGCAACTTCCTGACGAAGCATTTGGTGTTCCTGGGGCCAGAAGGCAATGCTTTGGGGAACTCTTATTAGAGCATGGCCTTTCGGCCTGTCCTCAAACTTTGGAACCACAGAAACAACATGAAACAACATGAAACAATCACATTCGAAACATTTCTGAAATATTGCAGCCGAATGAATGCTGAGCTACATTGGCTACATTCCACACATCACAACTTTGGAACACGTTGTTTTCCAAGCATTGCCCATCAGCCTCCGCCAGCTTGCTATGTTGCCTGAGCTGGCGAGCAGTTTCAAGAAAACGCCTTATCTCATCAGAATGCAGGCATAGGTTTGATCCCACTGAAACACCTAAATTAATCTGAGTGATTCGAAAGAGCTTCAGCTCGCAATTTCACCCTGAAGTTGGAAATCATCTTCAATATTGTGACTTTCCAATCAAAAAGTCTTCCAAACCTGCAACGTGTTCCCACATTGCCTAGCGGGAGCGTCAAGTCTTGAAGTTGGGCTGCGGCTAAGTATGACACTGCTCGATTTCCTCTGCTGCAGCTTCATCTGCCCTGGTCGTTTCCGAAGAAGCTCACAATTGGATTTCCATGGATTTCCTTTGAGAGATTCAAAGTGATTCAAATATAACTCTGACTCTTTGACGCACTTAATGAACATTTCACTTTGAACAGGCTATGGATGCTATGGACGGCCATTGAAACTCATGGCCTCTGCTCAAAGTCCAACTTCTCCTTTTGCTTCCGCACAAGGTCCAAGTCCTGCAGGCAGCCACTGTTTAGTTGGTGGGCTTGTTTGATCTTGTTTGGCTTGGGTGGAACTTCATTCCAGTAGAACTTCATCCAATTCTCCACTCACTGGAAGGCAATGAGAAACATCATGGACCAATGGACCAATTGACCAATGGTGCTCTTCAGTTCTCAGCTGGACCAATTCACCAACCCCTCAGGCCCCTCACCGAGCTGGTACGAGCCTCCAACAAGCGCCGCTTCTCAGCTGCTCGCCGCTCCAACTCCTGGCGTCGCCAAAATCGTCACTGGACTCGGTCCGTCACTGGTGGCGGTGTCCTCTTCCTCCTGCTCCCGGCGTTTCACCTCTGGCGACCACGATGTCTCGAACTACACTCGAACTACTGAAACGAAATCGCCAAAGAGAAGGCCAAACAATCCTCTACAAATGCCAGAAAATGTAGCAAAGTTCAAAGCCTGCAACATTTCTGTTTATGAATGTATATAATTGTATATGTGTATATATATATATATATATGTATGTATGTATGTATGTATATATATTACTATCGTACAAACAAACATCCAAATAAACAATCATTTAATAATATCCACGAACAAGTCCCATATCCACTTGTAACACTTTCAAAAAGCCGTGCACACTGGGCCTCCTCAGCCAGCTGACTGCTGAGCTCGGCAATGAAACGCCGCAGACCTGGCGACGAAGCAACGGCTGCATGGAGCTGCTTAATATGGCTTCCATCTGAATCCCATGCAACATCTGCTTTTAAGGTGATTTGTGATGTTTTTTTCCTTACTCATGATAATCCTTCTCTTCGCCTGCTGAATTGTCTTTCATGCAAAGTGAAAACGATATTATGATTATTTGCAAAACACTCCACAAAAAAAAACAACGCATGAGATTTGGATGCTGGATGAATCTACCATGCCTGGTGCCGCCTTGTCAGGTGCCTTGACGTGAGGCGATAGGATATGAGACTTAATTTGGGAAGACAACATCATATAATATATACAAGATATATACAATAGTAATAATATGTAATAATCATAATATATCATAATCATCTTATAATAATATTCCCAAATGGACCGTACTTGGTTGATCTTGATTGGCTCGGCTTCAAGGCATCCTTTCGAGCACTTGAGCACATTGGGACAAACATGACAGCACTCTGTACTCTTGCAGTGCTACATGCTTGCCACATTGCTTCAGGGTTCACAATAAACTGGCTTGCCATACTAGATGATATGGATGATGATAATTCCAATAATTCCAAATATACTAGATTCCCACTATACTGGGCAGTGTGTCTCCTAGAATTAGCAACCAAAAATGACCCTAGAATTAGCTCTTAAACAATGCTCAAATGGTTTGGAATGTCCGTGCACCGGATCTCGTGTCGAGCCACCGGAGACGCGGACGAGGAACTCGCTGTTCCAGTGACGAACGAGCTCGGACCGCCTGGGACGTTCTGTGTCGAACCATGAAACGATTCACCTTCGTTGCGCATCTTGCGATCATCGGTATTCGTTGACTAAACATGATGAAAAAACTTGTGTGTGGTTGAGATGGAAACTCTGGTAGCCTGTTAGACTACTTGATATCTGTACAATTGGGCTTATTGGGCTTGGCATCATGGCACTGCTGAGGCAACTTCCCCGTTAATGCCCGGCACGGCTGCAAGCGCCTGAGGCTGCAAATGACCTTGCATCTCCATAACCGCTACCATCAGTCTTCACCTGGGAGGCTGAAACCTTCACCATCAGAGCCATCGCGGGGCAAGGACCAGCGGGCAAAGTCACTACAGTATCGCTCGCCTCCACAGCCGCGGGCCATTCTTCGGCCTGTCAGCAAGGCCCAGAGATTTTGCGACATTCCTGCGGGGTGGTACTTTGGAAATGCTGTTCAGTACCTTCTGGAATTCATGTTATATATTATATATACAGTAAATACATGAATAAGTAAATGGGCAAATAATGAATTCATATATAATCGAAAAATAAACAAAACATAAATAAAGAAATACATAAACTGACAAAAGATAGACATACATAAACAAACACAACAATAAGTACTATGTATGTATATGTAAATGTAAATGTACATGTAAATGTAAATGTATATGTATATGTGTATGTATATATATATGTACATGTATATGTGTATGTATATGTATATGTAAATGTAAATGTAAATGGTGTATGTGTATGTGTATGTGTATGTGTATGTGTGTATATATATATATGCATATGTACACAAATGTATGTATGTCTGTCTGTCTGTCTGCCTGCCTGCCTGCCTGGCTGGCTGGCTGGCTGGCTGTCTGTCTGTCTGTCTGTCTGTCTGTCTCTCTCTCTCTCTCTCGTCTGTCTGCCTGGTCTGTATGCATGTATGTGTATGTGTGTGTGCATGTATGTATGTATGTAATGTAATGTAATGTAATGTCATGTAATGTAATGTAATGTATGTATGTATGTGTATGTAAATGTATATGTGCAAAACTATATATATATGATGCATACTGTGAATAAATAAATAAATATAAATATATATATATATATACATAATTTGTACATAGAGGTCTTCTTCAGGTGTGCAGGCAGGGTCCGTTCTTCTCTTTTAAACACATGCTGCTTCTTCGGCAGCATCTGGTCCTAAGCGACTCTAAGTGCCATACACGGCCAAATCCACCAGCACCCCCGAAGGATTTCAAGCTGCGCGGAGCAGGATTGAAATATGTTCAGATGTTTCAATTAATTGTTAAGGTACGTTAAGATGGATTGTAAAAGTATCGCTTTGCAGGTTACTTGATCTTTGGTGGCACATCTGACTGTCAAATCTGAGGGTCTGTGGTGGAAGCAGCACATGCTAAAAGCATAGCATCCCGCAGCATTGGCAGGAGCTTTGCAAGGGACTAACAGGTTTGGGTTCAGGCGTGGTGCCCGCTTGCTTGGAAACACATGAAACTACGCAGCAGGGTATCTGGCAAAGCTGCAACACATTGCAGAAGTTGCATTGTGAATGGAGTGACAACCATTCTTCGATCTGATGCTGTCAAGCAAACGGATTGTGATGAAAATTTGAAAAAGGGCTTTGACCTTTTGACCCAGCTTCTCCCTGAGTCTCGGTTCAGGTTGGTTACATTCAATGACAAACATATTCCAGCTAGGGAAGAGACAACTCTCGAAGTCCTAAACAACTTCAATACAGGTGAAACCACAGACTTACTGCTACACAACAAGGTCGAACTGAACAAAGCAAACCACTTCACAACATACCCTAATGAACGGCTCCATGTCAACATGTTGGAGCATTGTTACATCTGCTTAGTTTCGTCTAGGAAGACCTGCAATCAAATCATCCTGAGAAGTTGGAAAGGTCAACTTGTGAGTTGCTGAGCGCGACATTCTCCGCACGTCACCAAGTTGCCCGATTCAGAGTGCAGGTTACCGCAGGTTGTCAGGCTCAGCAAACGCTCCATTTAAGTGTTTGCCTCCCCTGGAAGCTCAACAGTCCTCAGACAGGTCGCTTCACGAAACAGAGATCTGCCAAGGACATTATCTTCCGTAACCACAGGAAAAGACTAAAAGAGTGCCTGTGGAATCACATATTTCATGGTTAAGAGGAAACATGTTTATGGTTAAGAATAGAATCCAAACCATGGTTTAAATAATCTCTGGCACATGTTTATATAAGAAATTGGCTCTTCATAGTTAGACTGTTCAAACCTAGGGAGACTAGAGAGACTCCATAGCATGGCATTAACGACAGTAAGAGGTGTCACCAATGACAATGATGCTTGAGGAGTTGCGATCTACGGCGATATTTTAGACCACACCCCAGGATCCAGGATCTCCAAGTCACGGTTGAGCCTCTATCCGATCAGCCTCCTGGAGTGGAGCATTGCTTGTGGCTCTGGTCCCTATAACTTGAACTTGCAATGGCATGATTAAAACAATACCTGAGCTACACATGTGTATGTTACATAGTGTGTGTATAGATATATACACATATATATATATATATGCACACATAAATAAGATATATAAGATTATCGAAGGAAGTTTAGAAGTCAAACTTCCGACAATCTGGGCAGATGAAAAGCAGAGATGGGGAAGAGGCAGAGAGAAGAGAAGAGTAGAAGAGAGAAGATGATAGAAGAGAAAGAGTCAGAAGAAAGAAGATGCAGATGCGCGAAAAGGTAGGAGAGTCGAAAAGTAGGCTCGCTAAAGCGGCGGGTGCGGAGCCATCTGGCCAGATGAGAGATGAAAAAGTGCACGCCGTTGTGGCGCGAAGCACATTTCCAAGTCAAAATGTGCAGAACACACCAGCTTCGGACCACTTTTGGAAGTTGAGATGTCGAAAAAGTGCACGCCGTTGTGGCGAGAAGCACATTTCGAAGTCAAAATGTACAAAGCAAACCATTCTCGGACCACTTTTGGGAATTGAGATGTCGAAAAAGTGCACGCCGTTGTGGGGCGAAGCACATTTCGAAGTCAAAATGTACAAAACACACCACGTTTGGACCACTTTTGGACATTCAGATCTCGTTTCGCGTGGCAGGCGCACGGGATTGTGCACCTTGTCAAAAGTGAGCAAAACGTGAGGGTTTTGTAGCATCTCCAAAAAGGATGGCAGGCATGGGACATTTGAAGAGGATCTGCAAAGATGCATTTTCCGTGCAGGTGCAATACAAAAGACATGTTCATCACAAATTTAGGAAATCAAAACGCGAATTTCCTGAGACGGGTTGCATTTTGGAGCATCAGATCTGTAGGTTTGCTAAGATGATTTTGCGTGATAGGTGCAGCACTTCGTATGACCTGGCATCACTTTTTCGTAGGCTTTGGTGCAAAGCCAGGTCAGGTTCAACAGGGTAGGTTCCGGAGCAGGTCTCGGGGCAAGAGCCGGGTCAGGTTCAACAGGGTTCCGGAGAAGGTCCCGGAGAAGGTTCCAGGAAGCCTTGGTGCAAAGCCAGGTCAGGTTCAACAGGGTTCCGGAGAAGGTTCCGGAGAAGGTTTGAAGCTTTGGTGCAGAGCCAGGTCACGTTCAATAGGGTTCCGGAGAAGGTTCCACAGAAGGTTCCGGAGAAGGTCTGGGAGGCTTCGGTGCAGAGCCAGGTCACGCTCAACAGGGTTCCGGAAAAGGTTCCGGAGAAGGTCTGGGAGGCTTTGGTGCAGAGCCAGGTCACGTTCAACAGGGTTCCGGAGAAGGTTCCGGAGAAGGTGTGGGCCTGGGTGGCTTTGGTGCAGAGCCAGGTCAAGTTCGGGTGCCGGAGAAGGTCTGGGAGGCTTTGGTGCAGAGCCAGGTCCGGTTCAACAGGGTTCCGGAGAAGGTTCCGGAGAAGGTGTGGGAAGCTTTGGTGCAGAGGTTAGGTTCAACAGGGTTCTGGAGAAGGTTCGGAAGAAGTTTCTGGAGAAGGTTCCGGAGAAGGTCTGCGAGGCTTTGGTGCAGAGCCAGGTCAGGTTCAACAGGATTTGCGGCCGTTTAATTCACGGAAACCATGCTGAGGTGTTTCCAGCGCTTGGCTTTGCAGCACGCTTCAGAAGGATTTGTAAGAATAAAACGTTGCGGCTGTTGGGGATACCACAGAGGCTTATTATAGTAGTGGTCTAAAAGAATGATCATGTAGACCATGATCCCGTTGTCGAAAACTTGGGCGGCGACTTCGTCCAAGTCGAGTCCCGCAGCCGGCATCTTCTTTGACAAGGGGTCCAGGTTGAAAGCCCACTTGGGAAGCCGTTTGAGCATCTCCCTCTCTTCATCATACTTTTGCTTCTGTTCGGGGTCAACCTGGTCCTCCTCTTCTTCCTCGACGTCAACATCCATGGCATAATCCTCTTCCGCCGTTTCCTCATCTTCGCCTTCTTGATCTTACTCCTCATTAATCCACCTTATCCGAGTTGAAGCTGTATATACACACAATATATATATATACAATATATATATATATATATACAATATATATATATATACAATATATATATACACAATATATATATACAATATATATATATATCTATACACAGATGATAATATATATATTATATGATATGTATATATAGTATAATATATACACATATTTTGCCTGAAACATCTAATTCCAGATTTCCAGCTGTGCTGATTGTGGCGCACCTGCAAGGCTTGTTCCAGTTCGCTGTTTTGCTCCATCTCCTGCAGGGTTCACATGGGCCGGAGAAACTGGATGCTAATTCCGCCGCCGCAAAATGTATTGAAGCCTGTTCAATGTACTCTCCCGTAATCAACCGCGGCTAGCTGGGAAATCCTCGAACTAAATGAATAGGAACATCATCTATAAATGGTGGGAAAATCCATTGCCATGTTTGATTACCGGAGGGTATTCAATGTCGTCTTATGACAACAGAATCATATCCCCCAATCCCAAAGTCTCGGAGTTCCAGTTCAAAGATCTTGCAAGTCTCTTGAGTAAAATCTACCAGTTGCACCCAGTGGAGCAATGTTGAAAAAGCGTTTGCCATTCCATTGTGATTGGTTAACAGAGATTCCCAATTCTTGGACGACTATTATCGCCAATATATTGGCTAGTGTAACCCCCTACAATCATTAACCACGCATTCATCAGAGACATCTTGATATTTTCACATATTTTCATATACCATCACATACCATCACATACCCCCATATTCAGGCTTGAAACCCTTTGAATCCCATATTAATTTCCATGACTAGTGACCCACCGATACCCACCGCGCAGCCGCCTGGAGCTTCTTCTCCGCCTCTTCTCGTAGTGGTCCCTGGAGCTTGGCCTCCTCTGCAGCCCGCAGAGCCTGCTTCAACGAGTCGATTTGGGGACTTGCCATGGCGTCCTGGGGTGCAGGGCGCACGGCTGATTCCAGTTATGTTGATATATTGTTAGTATATATTATATACATAGACATCATATTTAGATAATTAATGATATCATGATATTATGTGTCAATGTCAATTTGTATCGATCATCCGTCAATCAGTCCATCCATCTAAGTTCGTACATTGTATACTCAGTATACTCGAATATTTAGATTATTTAGTATATACAATCAAGATCTGTCAAAGTCATTGATATGGCGTATTGAAATGATGTTGTCTCATGACACAAAAATCATCCATTTTCAATAACGCATTCATTGTTGAAGTATGTTGAAGTTGACTATGTGAGCTTTCTCTTGTAGCTCGCTCTTCATTTTGGGCCATGTGTCCCATCTGAAATTTGATCTGCCGGTAACCTTTCACCAGTGATCCGGGATGATCCGGGTCTCTGTGACTGTAACATACTTTACCCGTGCGGATCTCGAAGAGAATGTCCTTCTCTGTCAATTCGTAAGCAAATCGTAAACATCTTGATCAGTCTTGATCGTTCTGTCCTCCAAAGCTTTGTAACCACTTTGCTGAGCCTTCAGGCACCTGAAGTGAAAGAGATCATGCTACAGTCACATGCACAAGCTGTCTGACTGCCGATGAAGCCACAAGTCTGACAACAAATCGGTTTCTGCGATCGATCAGGATGTACTTCACGAAAATCACAGAAAGTTTGGTCGGTTGAAACCAGACATCGCTCCGAGGCACTCTTGTCCACGCTTCAAGTCCTCTGCTGCGAGCTCATTCTTCTCTGCAAGGTCCTGGCGAGCTCACATTCCGGTCAGGGCGTCCCATGTGACGCTGGAAACACGCTCTGTACAATCCTTAGATCCTTAGAAATCTTAGAACAGAACATGATGTCAATCTTTGCGAAATGACAAATCAGCGGTGCCAAACCCTCCGTGAACAGCAAAATGTACATTAAAAATAGATAAAAATAGATCTTCTCCCATATTTCTCCCATCAGCCCTTTAGTTCTGGAGTCATTGGAATCGATCAACAGCTCCTGCAGGACAGAATGGAGCTTCTTGGGGCTGCCTGCAGTTACCACTGCGTATCCAGCTAGCATCATTGGCTGAATGTGTTGTACAAGGCTGACACCAAGAAACGAAATGCATGTATCCATCCCTTTCCGGAATCGATCTTACAACATTCATCTAGGCATACCGTGCAAAAGAATATTCTATGGACATAGACACTTGCAGCGTTGCAGGATGCAAATTGAAGTTTCAACTGCCCTGCAGCATTTCCAACCCCGCTCTTTCCAGAAAAACCGCATGCCGGTCGCCGCACTCTCGGGTGTTGTGCCAATGACTCACCCTCTGGGGATGGGGATCCGCGCCTAACTTCATGGCAGATTCCAATTCTTCCAAGTCAGTTGCGCATTGCTCAGCAAGGAGCTGCTTGGCCAAAGCCACCTGATCCGATCGGCAGCAAGTTCTGGCTGCAGAGTTGAGCACCAAGACGGCAATGATCCCAGTCCAAAAGCAAAAGGTGCCTGTCCTCCCAGCTAGACAGATCTTGTAGGAGAGAATTCAGAAAGCAACTTCTTGGCATTTAGATGCATTTAGATGCATTTAGATGCCTTAAACGAGTTTGAAATGACTTTTTGATTCAGAAAGGTGCAAACCACAAACACCCCAGGCACCAAAGAAATGGAGACCCTGGAGGCCCAGGCCTCACGGGAACGGAAACCTATCGATGCAGCTGCATCCACCCCTTTCTTAAGCTCGCTGAGGACTTTGCTCTCCTCAGTGGCAATAGGTGCTGTGAGTGTCAATATTTGGTGATCACTCGCGACTTGACTTTGACCAACTTTGACCAACTTTGACCGAAGGCGGCCCAAGGCACACAAGCTGCAGTGATTTCTTCTTCCAACTTCCGCCAACTTCCCAGCTGCTCACGGGCTTCTTTCCTCAGTTGAGCAAACAGTCTTGCTACTACTACATCTAAGAAACATCCATGCATGGCACCGCAAATCAATTACCAACTTTGGCTGATTTGGGAGGAAACATGAGGCCATAAAGGAAACATTGCCTTGCACGGACTAATGATCGAATGCTGGATCTTACATATCTTTCTTCAGCAACCCTCACAAGAACTAGTGCGGTACAAGCAGCACACCCTTCTCTGAAATGCCGGCCATGTCCTCTTGCAGACTTGCAGTAGCAGAAACAACACATGAACAGTCAAAAACTATAGTTTCACTTGCCAATCTGAAGATCCCAACAATTCAATGACTGCAAGCTGTTCAAGGATTTTCTAGGTACATAAGCTTGCATGTGGGGTGTCTGGGCGGCTTTTGGACTAGGCTTAACAGGTGTTGATACAGCTCACAGCTGGTGATCCCAACATTCGACTCATTTGACATTACTCCGATTATCTACGACCTACGATTCATTCCTGTCCTTCTCAGCTTTTTCGATGGCTTGCTCAAGGTTTTCGATCTCCTTACAGCAAACACACCAAACACATGCAGAAACGGTGTCAGGAAACCGACCTGTACACTGCGACCTTAGAACAAATAAGAACCATTAGTCTGTGACAGTCTGTACATTAATCCTTCAGGACTCAAACATCTTAAACATATCTTAAACATCATCTCATACCTATGCACATGGTATACCATAGGTATGGATACAGCTTGATCCAAGTCACGCCAACTTGCAAGGCCTCTTGTAGCTGTGCTTGAGCTGCTTCCACGATCAGCTGACGATACCTGTCAGAAAATGGCTGCTGGCCTCAGCCTGTGAAGGATGCCGAACATCGGCGACATCTATGTATATAATGTGATGCAACTATTGTAATAATCATTGTAAATCAACGTACCTCTTGTGGTCAGATTCTTTTCGATTGGATTCATCATATATACATATATATGTAACATGTGTAAACAAATACACACATATAAAAATATACACAGCATATGATATGTATATAATATGTATATAATATGTATATAATTTAAAAACCTTTAGAAGACCTAAAAAGAACCAAAAAGTGCATCTATAAACATATCCTAACCTAGAGAGGGAGAGCTATAACATCCTCAATCTATAATTTATAAAACTTACAAAGCTTTGGGATAACTCTTTTCGATACGCATTTTGTTATAATATGTATATAATATGTATACAATATGTATATATAATATGTTGTAATATCCATTGATGACCTGATTCTCTGGGCAAATGTGCAAACTCCATCGCTCTTGACAATCGATTAGCTCGTTCCGCCAAGTTGCAAAGTCAAAGCTGCATCACAGTTCTGGTTCTTCAGGCCAGCCTTGCAGTGGTCATCTTGACAGCAACATCCATGAGAAACAAATAAAAGAGATAACGAAAAAAATACGAAAGAAAAGTATGAACACACATACACCGCTGCCGACACTTGGTCTTTTTTCATGTCTTTTCCACCTGAGAAATGAAACCGGAATCAAACTGATGCTTTCATCTCTTTCACATCTACAATCGTACATACTTTTACATATATATATATATATTACTATTCTGCTGTTAGTAAAAAACACATAAATACAAAAATACATACAAATCATGCAGTAGGTCTGTGGAAAACACCGAGAGGTCACAATGGGACCAGAGGTGCTCACATCCCCGCACCTCTTCGGCTGCAGTCAAGGCATTTCGAATGACCCTTGGGATGGCAGATTTTTCCAAGGCGTTGCAAATGTTGGATGTTCAAATGTTGACCAAAACGGACCTTCTTCCGAATAGACATCATCAAATCATCTCACCATATGCAATCACTATGTAATACTGTTATTTATCATTTCATCATATGGCTATTCTCGTTAAAGTCCTGGCAAGGTATTCGAAAATAGCTGGGATTTATGGATGTTTATTCTCCCTTAGTTATATGGTAATATGTAACAATAGGTTTTGACCCATCCTATCCCATGCTCCAATCAGCTCCAAGCGTCGCCGTCTTTCGCACCGAGATCGCTTCCAATAACTGGCCATCCGCCTCGCGCCAGCTCTCCAGCCGTGTTTTGGCCGCCACCAACTCCTGGTCGTTGGTAACTGGTGGTTGGAGCTGGTTGTAGCTAGTTATGCCTGATACAGTACATTCTGATACATTCTGTCACTAGCTTCTTTAAAATCTATCTCGCACAACATGGAAATTACTGGCAAAACGGCAAAACAAATGTTCTGACATTTAAGATATGACATATGTTCTGATTCATAATGACATTTCATCTCACATATATCTTGACATCTTATCTGGCATTCTATCTGAATTTTGGCATTGTCTATGAGATCTTATCCGGCATTCCATCTCATGTGTTATCTGGCATTCTCTCTGACGTGTTGTGTGTTATTCTAAGTGACACTTCATCTGGCATCCTGTCTGGCATGCCATCTGGTTGTAACTGGTTGTAACTGTTTGCAGCTGGTTGAAAGTGGTTGCAACTCGTTGTAACCGGTTGCAATTGGTTGTAACTGGTATTGCTACAACATTCTATAAACTATATACTTTCTTAAAGCACTCTTTATTTGGTTCTAGGTCAAGAAAAAGTAGGATAGACACAAACGCCTGGTGTTGACAGTGCCAAATATTTACTGAGAAAAATGGGATGCTCCAAACTCCAAACCACTGATGTGGTAAACCTAAACCGTTTCAACAAAAATAGACGAGATCTCACTCTGTTCATCTTGGTGGCAGCTTTCCAATGGCAGTATCACAGTTCACGACTCCTCGTCCGACATTGTTGTCTCCACTTCTGCCACTTGAATCGCCTGCGCTGGAAACGAATCTTTTTGCCGGAAATCAATCAGTGACAACATGGACAACCACATTATTGCTCTCAAAATACAGTCTGTCACATGGACTTGGAAAAAAAGTGAACAACATGAACAAACCATAACAAACCTACTGGAGAGCAATCAAGGCATCTGTGATTCTGCTGATTCTCGGTGGGCCTTCTCCATTGGTTCGATCTCTCCTTTTTCCACAGCTGCTGCAATTGCCTTCCGGGCGTCCTCTAGCCTGGCATTCCGAAACTATTGACCATCTCGGAACTCTGAAAATTAAACAACATTGGTAGCTCGTGGTAATGCATGGTAATACTCACTGGAAGCCCGCCCTTGTATCTCACATGGGTTAGGCCCAACCACAAAGCCATGAACAACAAAAGAAACAAAACGGAGCTCGCAACACATGGCTTTGTTCCCAAATGTCAGGGCTCCTCTCCAATAACTGATTGAGGTTGCTGAGACTACCGACTACCAGACCATCACTGCTCCACCCATGGCTGGACTGCCGGGTTGCTTCTTGGCTTGCGTCTGTTCCCTCTTCTTGACTTCTTGCAAACGCTCCTGCCAGTTGAGCAGGTAACAAAAGATACAAAAGGCTGATCTCAAGGGGTGAAGGAGCCAATGATACAATACCGTCTGTACTCGGTTGCCACAAATCCACAAAGCACCAAACAGGACTTGCAAAAAAAAAACAATTCAGAAAAATTCTTCATTTTTGTCCGACCATGTCTGACCCCTTTGCTATCCACTTCCAAGAGACATTGAGAATCCCAGGCCCAGGCCTTAAAGGCATCCATGCGCAGCTCAATCATCAAACGACCCTGTGGGTCTGTGTCACGGTCGTATTCCTGAGCTAAGGCTCACCACACAGGGCCAACATGGCAAGCAGCATGGGAATCAAATGTCACTATGGCCTATTAGGAGATGTTGTGAGTCTTTCCAGCATCACATCCAGGTCATGATTATGTAAGAGTTCTGACCTCTGAAATTGCAGGGCCAAGGCCCTATAGCTGCAACAGGTGCTGAAAAACAAAGCATGTTGTCACACCAATGTCACTTGTGGCAAATCCACAGCAAGCGTCATTTGGCAAGTGCAATCGCCGATTCCACTCCAAGGTCGCCTCTTCTTCGGTAAGTTTTGCCTCCTTGCGGAATCAAAAAGCGGCGCTGCACCATGGGCAAATCCTGATGAAGTCAGGAAACTTGCACATGTAGTCATTTTCGGATCTGTTTTACATGGGATGCCATTTTGGCAATGCAAAAACAATCAATAACAGCTTCCCTCAGCTTTCTACGGCCATATTTTCTTTAAAGTTCACATGTTCCTGGTGCACTTCGGATCCCTTGCATCTCCGGTTTCCAGAAGTGGAGCTCTTGAGATTTTCGTCGCGTTCCGTGTTCCCTATGATTTCCATCACCTCACCCAGGCTGCCAGGGCTCCGTCATCAGCTTGAGTTTGAAGTCCTACGCAAGAGCTTAGCAGCTTGGCTCAAGATTTCTCCTTAAAAACATGGGATGCATGGGACGTGCAGTCTTCGGGGTTCAGTTATCTTTCAACCATTTTCAAACGCTACGTTTCTTGAGTATTCTTGAGTCCTAATGGAAACGCAATTCCAATCCCAAGTACATAATCTGTTCAAATAGATCGAAACACACAGCGTTGTTGAGTTTGTTGCTCGTATTGCCTCTTTACACCTCTTTCCCATGTTTTCAAGGCGATGCAAGCACAGAAATGCACATCCCTGTAGAAAACTGTATTTCAAGCACTGTATGTATGCAGATCCCACTGGATGACGAGAGCACGGGACTCCACTCCTCGAAGGTCTGTAGCGTGTTGAGTTGATCGATGCCAAAACCCTGGGAATCGGCACGTTTTGCTTCCATGATTCTCTTCCTCGGCAACTGCTTGGAGTATCCAGAATGTCAGGGAAAGTCTGGAAAGTCAAGAAATAGCATAAATTCAAGCACACACACATATATATATACATATGTGTAGTATACTGTGTATATATATATATTTATAATCATTTATCTATTATGATTATGATATATTGTGAAGAAGTAGTACGAGATTTGTATTTGGAGTCTATGGAAATCTTCAGGTTGCTGAAGAGGGAAACCTCAGGCCTATGAACTTCAGCAGCCAAAAGACTCCACGGCAAGCTCCTCTTGTCTCCTTCAGAAAACAATAACATGTACATCACACCGGAACTCAAATTGATTAGCACTGGTATGATTTGGCTTTTTCTAATCTCAGTTACAATGGTATGCACATATGGTGGACTCCATGTTTGACATCTCATGACTGTTCTTCAAACAACATCAACTCATGAACTCAGAGAAATCGTGGAAGCCGCCCCTGGCCAAAAATGATCGTCCGGCGCGATCCTGACCGTGGACACATCCAAACCCATAATCCAGCTTCCAGCTTTGTAGACTGCTGCGGGCAAATCCTCACATCAAATCACCACATCTGAATCACGGCCAAAAGCGGCCAAAGAAACCCTTGACCCTTCAAGGCATGGTTCAGCAGCAGCCTGTTCAAGGAAATTATAATAATATAACTTATATAACAATCTACATATTCTTCTCTATCCACCTCGAACCTTAACATGTTTAGTTTATTGTCTTTTCCCATCATAGCAACCCTTACAACTTGTTGACGGTGTATTTCTTGCGCCAACAGAACTACCGTACCAGTTGGACCTTTTGACCAGCGCTGTATCGCCGCCATGTCCTGATACTCGAAAGGAAATTTCTCGAAGTCCGCAGGTAGCCAATCCTGAAATGCTCTTATTGACGCACACCGCTTGAATGTCAATGCATAACAGGAGATGACTGGAGCCGAATCTATGGATCAATGCCAAAACACAAAATCAGTCGATGATTCTTTTCCACATGTTTCCGGAAAGGAGAAACCGACTCTCCATGTGATTTAGTTTCATAAGATGATGCGGGGCCAAGAGACGTGTTCTTTGTGAAGTTTGTGTCGGTCCTGGACACAAAGATTTCACAAAAAAATGACACGCCGTTGGAATTGTCTGATTAAGATAGACCTGAATGAATTCACAGACTCAGTGCCGCTCGGTTGTTTCCTCCACTTTTGATTTTCGCAGGTCCTGGATGGAAATTTTCTTGACACCCACCTTCGTGTTTCGCCCAGTGACCTCTGAATCATTGATCGACCAACCGCTACAGCGAGTGTGGTTGCCAAATTCAGAAATATACATCAGCTGACCTGCCATGAAGTCGCTGTCAATCATTCTCAATCAATAACAAAAACTGAAATCTAATATCTAACAAACTGATGAAAACAACAGTGCAACAAAGTGCAGCAATCGGGCCCACATTCAGCCAAGAAACGCTGGCTACTCGAATGAGGGCTGAACTTTTGAGTTTGCGCGCCGTTGGTGGCACCTAAGTGTCGCCCAATTGGGTGTCATCGTGAAGTACAAGTAAATTGTGTTGGAAACATCTTGAGGTTGAACACATTTGAAACCCCACCCTTTGTCAATCCAGGATGCATGACAATCATTGAACAGTTGCAGAAACAATGAACCCATACCAGAATCGCTTGCTCACGGTAGAGCGTATGAACTCTCTCATAAACACTAAATCACAGTCAAACCTGTTGTGTAACGATTTTTTTGTTACTTTGTGAGGCCATTAAAAATTTTGCGAGTTTTCCTGTCAAGTCTAGACAAAATGAATCCTAGATGTAGAATTCACAAATTTCTAAATCCTTGGACATTTTAGTATGTGTTTGTTTTTGTTTTTGGCGTATGTTGGGTTCATTTGTTGGTTTCGGGGCAATGTTCAACGTATGTTGAGCCTAAATGGAGGCTATATTGAAATATGCGTGCCTAATTCTATTGGACTGCGTTAGGTCCATGTTGGACCCATTTTTGACCCCATGACACTGGACTTAATTTTGATCCGTTAAACCATTAGGGTGTGTTGTTTTTCCTCGAACAACTTGAAATATGACTATGACAAATATATGATGATGTGAAAGGATGTGGATTTGGAACCCGTGTTCAGGCAATGTTAGGTCACGTGAATCTATGTTCAACCTATCTTGGTGCTATGTTGGGTCCATGTTACGCCAAGTTAAGGCCATTTCGGGTCTATGGGGCCCATCTTGTGGCAATGTTGGGTCCGGTTGGGTCTATGTTGGACATATGTCGGACATATATTTGGCATTTTAGCGAATTTTGAGAATTACGACCTTTTCAAAACCGGGAAAAACCACACGATTCTAGAACAATAAAATACACTTCCTGAACTAATCCGATTGATGCGTGCGCAAAACAAACATTGGCACCTTCGGTGCGGGCAGATTTTTGTTTTTTGTTGTTTTTCTCCCGCCCTTGCGTGGTGGTTCTCTGACGTTTTTGTTTTGCAGTTTCATATTTTTGACCGCCACCTTCAAACTCAAGGACACTTTACATTTGCAGTTGAAAAGGTGCTCAATCGCATGATGGTCATGATGCCAGATCCGCCTTTATGTGGAGTGGGCCACCGTCACTTGCATCAATTTACTCCAAACAAATTGGAATTGCAAACGCTGAGTTCCCATCAATATGCACATCTAATATGACCCTTAAAAAACACTGTTTAGTGGCGCGTTGCGGTGGCAAACACAAACGCGAACCAATCACACCGCATCCAAACCACCACGATAATGATAACCTGATCATGTAACCCGCTATACCTCATACTGCCCGGTCCGTTTTGCAACCGCGTCGCTGCTATGATGAGGTCATCACCAAATACTCCTGCCAGGGGTCAAGGTGTTTCTTGCACCGTGCATGCGATGCTCATCAAAAGTCACACCGTTGCACTATGAACGCAACGTGCAACTGGTCGTCGTCCTATTGCAATGGCAGCAGTCTTTTGGTCGTCGATGATGCCATACCGTGTGCAACAGTAGTTGGCCGACCTGTGCCAGAGCTCCCCCGAGTTCCTTCTGGTAAAGCGGCCTTTCATGCCCGAAGCGCAGAGCTCTCTACATGCTTGGTGCCGCGCAAGCGGTTTAAGTGTTGGGCCGCAAGCAAGGCGCCCGATGCCTCTCTTTCCCGCGCGTTGTAGAATGTGGCGCCGATGCTGCTGCCGTGACAAGATTAGGGGGGTTGGTTGAAACTTTCGGCGCAGCTGGTATAGGTTTATCACTTGGCTTTCAGGTAGTTGGATGTCTTCTTTGGCAACGGCAACACGCATGTAAGTGAATGGCCCGTCGATCTCTACATAAAGAAACAAATGTTGCGAGCCGTGCGTGATGTGCCTGCATGTCAGTCTATCAGAAACGCAGTCTCAAATCTATCTAATGGCAATTCATTGCATGCCAGTCAGCCTGACTGAAGGAGATTCCTCGACTATGGTTTTTGGGTGGGGAAGGCAAAAGGATGGTATTGCCTTCGGAGAGATGTGAGTTGGACATGAAAAATTGCTATGGCAGTGGCCAAACCGTTGAATGGACATAGATTTCTTGGAATGGACCTTGTTTGAAATAGGTCAGGGTGTAGTCCACATGTGTGGGGCGATTCCCAAAACAAGCCCAGGAGGGCGACAAAACATTTTTGCACGAGAAACGTGCAATGCAAACTATATGCAAACTGTATCAACCAATCGGCAAATGAGCGAGCAAACCAAATGAGCATCACGCCGCGCCACAGCGAGAGCAATCTGACACGCACGAAGTGATGAAAGGGTGGCGCGAGCGATCTCGAAAATAACACCGCCCCACAACGACCGACACACACACAGTGACGAGAGGGTTGCACGAGCACATGTTAGATTTTCACCAAATACTGCGGGCGCCACGAAAAATGAACAGTGAAAATGTGAAAATAGGCTGCGGCCATTTTTTCGTCGAAGTCTCTGAAGTACTGC